CCAAAGCAGCCATTGTTTTGGCATGGGGCATAGCCACCACTCCGCGGAGGAACCCTTGTTCTCCTAGGAGCACAATTGTACTCCTAGGAGTCATTATACTGTAGCGAGTAGCACCTCCGACTATAAGTAGTAGGGGGCTTAGTATAGGAATACCTCAGTCGTTTCTATAGCCTCTCGGGCAGCAGCTGAGGTATGTTACATTACATTTATTAGAGATCACCTTAAACTAACATCTATGGTAGTTTCACTTAGGTAAATAATAAAGTCGTTTCTATAGCCTCTCGGGCAGCAGCTGAGTTTCACTTAGTTTTATTAGGTTATGAGCCCTGGTGCGCAAAAGCTACACAGGAAATATTTCTTATTTGAAAGGGCAACCTCGGAACCATGACCACAGCACACGATACATCCGCATGTCCAGTTCTCAATGGACCCAACAATTTTCAGATATGAAAACTCCAGATCATCTGAAAGCTACATCGGGAAAAAGTTCTCCGGGTTGTTACTGGAGAGGAGCTTAAGCCCTCACCAGGAAAGCCTACCTCCCCGGAGGATCCTGAGATCACCTGGATACTTAAGGATGAGAAGGCACATGGAATCATCCAGGACCACATCTCTGATGCCCTCCTAATGAGGACTGGAGACCTCACCAGCTCCAAGGAGTTATTTGATAAACTTGTCTCACTCCATCAGACGTCCAATATTGCCTCGGCCTTCTATTCATTCCAGCAACTCACCAAATTGTCCTGGATGGGACATCACCTATCCAAGACCACATTGCGGAAATCCGGACAATTGATTCACACCTCTCCAGAATGAAACTAGGAGTTGATACCAAACTCATGGCCTTTGCTCTTCTTCAATCTCTCCCATGCACTCCTGAATGGCAAATATTTCAGTCATTGGTAATTAACACAATTGAAGAAAATAAACTTACCTTTGATGCAGTTGAGATCCGGATCACTGCAGAAGTTGCACGACAGTCAGGGAAGGCCCCTAGAGGTTCCAAATCAGCACTCAAATCCGAGGAGAAATGGTGTAACTTCCACAAAGCCAAATCACACAACACCTTGGAGTGTCAAACACTTCAGTCAGCTGAAAAAGGTCAAAGGAAGAAGGGAAAGGAAAGACACAAGGATAAAGGAAAAGAGAAGGAAAAGGCAAATACAGCAGAGCAATCATCTGGATCTGACTCCGAGGAGGAACAGAGTCATATTGCATTGGAACATGTACATATTTCCAAGCCCCTTGCTAAACACATTCAAGCTTACCTTGTGTTGGAACCCGATAAGACCAAAACAACAATTATTATTGACTCCGGAGCAACATCCCACATGGTCCCTCACCACTCCTGGTTTGAGCCAGGAACATACCATATTCTGCATCCTCCGAGGACAATCAGTTTTGGGGATGAATCCTCTGTAAATGCCATTGGCATTGGAACAGTAATCCTACAAGCAACTGTTGGCAAAAAGGACTACAATATTGCACTGTCAAATGTCTTACTTGTGCCAAACTTCATGTTAGCACTCGTCTCTGTCCACAAATTGTCCAAAATGGGGTTATCAACACTTTTTCCAGCAGGGTCAAATGCTTGTGAAGTTCGGAAAAAGGAGGAACTTATCCTCACTGCCTTACACAAGCGAGGACTTTATCACATCCAAGCAAAACCCAAAATCAACCTGGAGTCAGCTTTTGCAGCAGTAGATGTAAATTTATTGCACAGGAGAATGGGACACATTGGAATGGACCACTTGCAACAAATGGTTACAAAAAGACAGCTCCAGGACAACAACACCCTTACCGGAACCCCGGAGTTTTGTGAACCTTGTGCTCTAGGAAAAATGAAGAAATTACCTTTCAAGTCCACTGGAGGAAACCAAGCCAAGTGCCCCATACAAATTGTGCACACAGATGTTGGAGGACCAATCAAACCAACTTCCAGGGAGGGTTTTCAGTACTGGATTATTATTGTAGATGATTTCTCCAAATTTCCATGGATATATTTCCTAAAACATAAAAGTGAAGCACTGGAACGATACAAGCAATGGAAAGAAGATGTCCAAACATTCTTCCGGACTCATTTGGGAAAAGAAAACTTCACTCCACTATACACAGAATTCCTCCGGAGCAATGGGGGAGGAGAATATACTGGCAATGCATTCAAAAATCAACTCCAAGGAGATGGTGTCATCCAAGAAACTACAGCTGCAAATACTCCGGAACAAAATGGCATTGCAGAACACATGAATCAGACATTGGCTACATTAGCAACCACTATGCTCCATGATTCCAAGCTCCCAAAGTCATTTTGGGTAGATGCCATGCAAACAGCTGCATATATCACAGCATGCAGCCCAGCATCAGGACTCCATGGAAAGACCCCATATGAAATACTGTTTAAAAGGAGAGTTGATCCAACTTTGTTTCATCCTTTCGGATGCCAAGCATATGCCTTGATTCCGAAAGACAAAGGGCAAGAGAAGTTTTACTCCAAGGGGCGCAAAGCCATAATGATTGGCTACACACATGGAAAGCAAGCCTACAAACTCCTAGACACTGAAAAATGAACTGTGTTTTCCAGTTGGCATGTCATATTCAATGAATCCGGAAAGGTACAAAAAGACGACACTGCTCCCTGGAACACAGACATTAGCACAGATCAGTGGGAGGGACTCATTCCAGAGAATGCTCACTATCCAGACCAAAATACATTGGAGGAGGCTGATCCTGACCCTCGGATCTGAGATCCAAATGAATTGCAAATGGAAACACATCTCCAAGGAGATGTTCCACAAGCAATGGAACCATATCAGCATAAAGATTCAACATACAGCCAACTGATGTGGAAAAAGTCCGAATACAGCTAGACAGCCTGTCCATTGGATCAGCTTCTGGAAGGCATACAACACCTCCAAGGAGTCATCCAACACCTCCGAGGAGTGATTCAACACCTTCAGGAGTGAGTGGGGCAACAAATACACAAATGCATCTACTCCCTGGAGTATCTGCACAAGTTCCTAAAAGAGCAGTCATGCCTGCTGAAGTCCTAGGAGTACGCAGAAGCAGTCGCCAGACCCGTCCTGCAGACAAAAACCGAGATTATCAAAGGACTCTAGATGAGGAACAGTCTCAAAAAGAGCAGCATGACAACTCCATGGAGAAACCTAACACTCCTGAGGTTCATGAAGAAACATCTGATACAGAGGAGACATTCTTTGCTGGAATAGCAAGTACCAGTCCATCTAACACAGACCTTCCAAGGACACTAAAAGAAGCCTTATCACGTCCGGATGGAGAATTATGGAAGTCTGTCTTGGAGGAGGAACTCCTAAGTCTCAATACTAATGCAGTATATGACACTGTTCCACTTCCGAAGGGAGTAAAACCCATCACATCAAGACCTGTGTTCCGGATCAAGTTTGATCAAAACGGAAACATTGAGAGATACAAACTCCAGATTATTGCACGAGGTTTTACTCAAAGGGAGGGGATTGATTACCAGGAGGTTTTTGCTCCGGTTGCAAACTTAGAGTCAATCCGAATTATTCTAGCCCTGGCAGCAAAGTACGACCTAGAACTTGATCAAATGGACGTATCCACAGCTTATCTCAATGGAGAACTTGAAGAAAAACTGTACATGCTTCCTCCAGGGGGTGTTCCTATTCAACCTGGATTCTGCTGGAGATTGAAGAAATCTATCTACGGGTTAAAACAAGCTGGTCGTACATGGAACAAAACTTTTGATCGCAAGCTCCAGGAGCTCAGTTTCACAAGACTAAATGCAGAAACATGTCTCTATGTATCCCGGGACAACAAACAAATATGCTTTGTTGTTGTCTATGTAGATGACCTCCTCCTAGGAGCTTCATCCCGAAAATTCATGGATATCACAAAAGCCAAACTCGAATCCATATTCAAGATGCGGGACCTTGGAGAAGCAAAATACATCCTCGGAATAGAAATCCAACGTGATCGTTCAAACAAAACAATATCCCTATTGCAACGCCAATACATTGACACAGTCCTGGAGCGTACTGGAATGAAGAACTGCAAACCAGTATGGACACCAATGGCCCATGGATCAAAACTCCTTGCAAATGCTCCAGGGGAAGATATTGTGCAACACGAGATGCATATTGAAGGGCGTCAAGTGTCATACCTCTCAATTGTAGGCTCCCTCATGTATGCCATGCTTGGAACCCGCCCAGACATTGCCTACATTGTTGGAATACTAAGCAGGCATAGCTCAGCTCCAAGGAGCCATCACTGGGAAGCTGCAAAATGTGTCCTCCGATATCTGAAAGCAACCAGGGACATGGAACTATGATATGATGGCACAGATGTCTCCATGGACATGGATTTCTATGGATATTCAGATGCAGATTGGTCTGGAGACCCAGACACGTCTCGATCAACATCAGGGTCTGTCTCTATCACCATCCGAGGAGCAATCTCCTGGACAAGCAAAAGACAAAGCATGGTCGCTTTATCCTCCACGGAGTCAGAGTACATTGGATTGAGCAATGCTGGACAACACCTTGCATGGCTTCGGACATTTTTTGAAGAAATTGGACATGCTCAAAATGGACCTACAACATTGCAATGTGACAATCAAGCAGCTATCATTCTTACACGAGATCCACAGTTCCGTGCTCGCACAAAACACATTCAATGGAAATATCATTTTATCCGAGATGACTTAGTATCAAAGGGAGAGGCAGTAATCAGATACGTTCCTACAGGAGATATGGTTGCAGACATTCTCACTAAACCCCTCACTCATGAAAAACACTGGAAATTCTCTAAAGCTATGGGACTACGGTTGCACTCGAGTGGGAGTGACAAAACCGGATAAACCCGGTCTCTGCCAAAGCAGCCATTGTTCTCCATGGAGCATAGCCACCACTCCATGGAGTAACCATTGTTCTCCTAGGAGCACAATTATACTCCTAGGAGTCATTATACTGTAGCGAGTAGCACCTCCGACTATAAGTAGTAGGGGGTTTAGTATAGGAATACCTCAGTCATTTCTATAGCCTCTCGGGCAGCGGCTGAGGTATGTTACATTACATTTATTAGAGATCACCTTAAACTAACATCTATTGTAGTTTCACTTAGGTAAATAATAAAGTCGTTTCTATAGCCTCTCGGGCAGCGGCTGAGTTTCACTTAGTTTTATTATGATGACCTTATGCATTGTGAGATAGTCAACTGTAGTGATGTTCCTGATGTGTAAATGATAGTTACGTGGGATCGTTGCTGTGGCGGTGCAGATACAGACCGTCGCGGGCTTGAACACAACTTGAACCGCTTAGACTCGGAACCAAGTTCACATGTCGCAACCTAACATAGGCTTAGCTCTTCCTCATGGAATCAAACCACATCATCGGACATTTTCTCTGCCAGTGGCAACTCTGTCCCCTGATTGTCCCTTTTCTCTGACCCAGGGAAAGGGTGGTTATCATATTCCTTATCATGAATATCGAGGAAATGGGTCACCCAAAGAGTTCACATCATTTGGAATTCCAGGCGACATTTACATAGATATCTCGGAGGACTCTTATAATCTTTATGCTCGAATGGAACAGTCAGCAGCTGTACCGTGGAAATTGTGGTGTGGTCCCGCACCTACTGCCATCGCCAACGAGCCTTTCCTTAACGCCATTGTGGGTAGTGACCTTCACAGGTCACTTATTCGCTATCCCTTTCTGAAGCAAAATCGTTATTTGTGGTGTGATGGAAAAACAATCAATTGGCTTACAATCAAAGCTATGAAATCATCCCGATCTCAAATTTTTGGTGATGGAAATTTACCTTCCACATGTGTTGGGTCAGGAGCCTGGCTCATCAAGAGCTTTCTTGACCATGAGCAAAGGTGCAATCAGAACCAGAAACGGATGATATCAGAAATCAACGAACCCGACGAAGCTGAGTGCAAGGGTCCAGTAAAAAGAATGAAGCATTCCGAATCATCCCACAGCCAGTCACAATCAAAGGTGAGGAAGCATCTTCAGCCGACTCAGTCCAACTATCTGACCTCTGTCAAAAGCCTAAGGACTCAGAGTCGGGGCTCTTAGCTACTGGAACCTCTTTATCTCTCTATGATGTTCTCCTAGCGGCACATGTGGATGGCCCAGTAGGTCCACCAGGTCAAGGGATCCTTGATAATGAAGGGCATGTATCAACTTACTCCACGCTCGCTTCATCATCCGAGAACCATGATGGGATACTCCCTTCCTCTGACGCACTGCTTCATCAATCAAAGGATGCGACTGATTGTGGAGATATACCAAGCCAATCTGCCCAAGGGCGACCTATTTACAATGAAGGTACCGGGTCGCACGATATCTTGCATACCCTTCTGTTGTCGAGCCTTCGAGAACCGCATATTCAAAATATGGCACAAATGTTGAAGCAAGGTGAGTCTCTCGACATTCTAGACTGCTCGTTACTTTACGCATTGATATCCAGTCATGAATGACGCTGGAGGTGAGGTTAAACAGATGCAAGATCAGATGGAACGGGAAAGGGCATCTTCTCAAAAGCAGATCAAAGAGCTTGAGAGCCATTTCATAAGCGGTTTGTGTCTGATCTAATAACTTTGGTTTTCTGCCACACATGTATTTGGTCTCAGTGAACAAAGCGCAAGCATCCGAAATCAAAATGCTGCAAGATGAGCTTAATAACAAACAGATTAGTGGTGCGTATTTAATATCCCGTGCCTTGTTTACACTTGCCAAAAAAAACCATATTTCCGATGCAGCAAGGTCAGCGGTCACCAACACGCAGCAGCAGGTTCAGGAACTCGATCAATCAACGATCCTTCGTATGTCTATTATGCTACCCTCGATCTATATCCTCGCTAAAGGCGGTTTCAGTGAAGCAGCAAAATGCGTACTTATCTGAAAAGCTTGCGCGCAGTAAGTACTTTTTTGAAGCTTCGTAAATCCGTTCGTCTTATTATGGAACAAATAGTCGTGACTCTACATACCATCAAAGTGGAAACTCTAAATAAAGAGTTAGAGATGGAAAGTAGCCTTCGTAAAATGGCGGAGGAACACATGCAAACGATTCTGGTAAGCTTTGTTCTCTAGTGGTCTACGAGTGGGCGCGCCTGTATCTTATCGTTCGGCGATACCATAGTCCTCAAATACTACGGGAAAAGATATATAATGCGAGTGCACTAGACACTAGACTGTCGTGCACTAGACTGTCGCATCCTTGGGTACCGCCGGCGTCAGCTCGCCAGAGGCATTTTGAGAACTCCATCTATCGTCGCTTATACCCGAGTTATGGGCGCTTATATATGCATTTGGGCGCAGCTCATGTTGTTACTATTATCTTGCTTGTCTGGTCGTTGCCCCTCTGTCTTTGCTAGTGACGCTCTCCGCACATAACCGTTGCTCTGTACATCTTTGATCGTGTTCCATTGTCTTGCTATCGATACCGCATCTCTGTAAGAGATTATATTGTTGAATGGAGCATGCAGTCTTTACATGGTCCTGACACCAGTTTGTCGTACTAGAGCCAATGTCTCCGAGCCAGACCACCGTGATCGCCAAACGCCAATTTGATCCCCATCCTTGCACTGAACTCCCTCCCAGAGCGCTCAGGCCTGCGGGTGTCACAGCATCTCGAAGAGCATTCTCCATAACCGCACCTGAACTTTGCAAAGATTATCCTTACGTCTTGCAAACAGAAAATGACACTCTTTATGTTCCATATCGTGAGTATCGGGGAAGTTGTCCACCTCTGGCCGTGCCTCGTGGAGATTCGTATGCACACCCGGGCGATGTCTATATTGACTTCAGCAAGGGACGCCACGCCCTCTATGGATGCACGAAGACAGATTCACAGGGAATAACGTGGGTGAAATGGCGAGGGCCTGCTCCTACAGACTCCACCACTAAAGCGCATCTGAAACCTCCATCAGTCGCTTCCGTTTTCAAATGGACCCTTATTCAGTATCCAGATCCATGTGGATTCAAACGCTACTTATGGTGTGACGGTCAGAACGTCTCATGGTGTTCAGAAGAAGACGTCAAAGCAAGCAGAGCAAAGCTATTGGCGGATCTTGACCCAAGCGCAAAGTCGTATATCGGTGGAGAGTGGGTAATTGAAAAGTTACTTGCGTATGAAAGAGGTCTATCCTCCCAAACCAACTCGAAGCGCGCTCTTCTCGCACAGTCAGACTCAAGTCAACATGCCGAAGGTCCATCGCAGAAAAGAGTAAAGACAACCACTGCCGAAAACATACAGGTTAGACACAACTTGTTTTGTTTTCACCCAGAAGCTGAATTTCTTTTTCTCAGCCTACCGGACTACAATCAGGTAAAACTACAAATCCTGCGATACCAAATACGGCTCCTCCATGCCCAGGTTCGACAAAAATCTCAGTCTCAACGCAGGCAGAAGATACAACCCAGAAACATGACGCACAGCTGGATCCTCCTCCCAACGCCTCTTCATCTACACCAGCTCCCCGCACTCGCCAGGTCCAAGTTGTTGGGAACCCTGGCTTACCTAGTAGCTCTCGCGATCGACAGAATCATGATATTCCGAAAATGTTTACAGACGACAATGGTACACGGAGGTTCTGGGCGATGCAAGAAATGTACACGAAAAACCTCGTCGCTTTGGGGCAGGAACTTCGCTCCATTCGTGAAACGAATGTGAAACTTCGAACAGACCTTGACCATAAACTGGGTGCGCTTGCCGTGGTACCTGCCCCAGCTGTGGTCCCCAATCCCCGCTTGCAGGACGCATCCACGGACTGCGAAGGTTTACTGGGTGCTGGTGACAGCGTGAAAAACGACATCTTCCAAGTAAAACCACCTGTCGAACGTGTTCCAGAGTCTGGTTCCGCTGACGACGACACCTCATGTGCTCTCATTTTGCTAAGTTTACAAGGCCCGACCAAAGGAAACCTAGCGCTTAGCTTTCGCCAAGGTCTGTTTTCTCTTCAAAGAAGATCAATGTCTACCTTATGCTATATACAGCAATGAAAGAGGCTCTCCATGAATCTGAATTGGCGCGTGCTAAAAATGAAAAACTGCAGGCAGAAATCAACCAAGAACGTTTGGCTACTCAGAAAAAGATATATGATCTCGAAGAACGACTAACCCGCGGTAAGTGCTCGAATTCGACCATATAATATCATCGTCGTAATCGTCACGGTCGTTAGCGAAGCGACAGTTTGTCCGTGATTTTGAGAGTCTGAAGGTAGATTGTATGGTGGAACAACATCTTCACGACGAGGCCGAGGGGGAACTGATACGTCAATCTGCTGAACAGGAAGAAAAGCTGCGTAACAGTATGCACATCGCCTCTTTCTTTTCAGCCGTCTTATAGTCGCACTTAATAGTTGAAATCTTACATATGCAAGAGGAGGAAACCTTGACCCTTGAGCTGCATGTGGCAGTCAATCGAGCAGTTGAAGCAGAGGAGCAATGGGCTGCAGCACAGAAACAAATATCTGATTTGGAACATGGGTTAAGCCTTGGTGAGTAATTGTTAATAGATCATCTTTCCACCAATCATTGTTCATATCAGGTACATATTCAAATCAATCAGTTAATGACCGGTTATCCGAAAAACTAGAGCAAGGTAAGGACGTCTCATTATATAGGAAATTCACTAGTCCAATAAATCCACAAAAATATCAGCCGGAACTGCACATGCTTCACAGGTAGAAGGACTGAAGACAGAACTTCAGAAAGAACAAAATCTTCGTCATGAGGCGGAGAAGAAACTACAAAATCTTGAAGGCAATCTGTTGAAAATGACTCAGGTCGGTCTGGGATGGGTGACACATTTTATCGGGATGCTAACATTTAGCATTGTAGTTGATGCACTCTATGCTTCCTTCTGGTTCGCAGCCCGAGAATTGAGGGCAAGTACGTCAGCAAAGAGCACACCATATTATACAACAGTGCGTAGCGAAGCTCATCTGTATATTTTTTTATTACTTATCTGAACACTGGTGGCGGCCTTGTAGCTTTTATTATTGTACTTGTATTGTTCATGTATCAACGGCAGCACCTGGAATATTGTACACCGACATCGTGTACCATCCTATATCAAATTGACATGATTGATGTTCGCAGCAACGTTGATATTGAGTCTTGTAAAAAGCTCCCTATCGTGCTGTGCACACTCCCATAGATGAGACCGTACTTCTGCCAACTTGATCTCTTCTCGCTCATGTCTAGGTTCGGGCTTTTCGAAATCAAAAAAGGACAGCTCAAATTGCCGCAGGCGAGCCAAACTAGCTTCTCCCGATCGCAGTTTAACCATGTTGACGACGGAGTCGAAGTCGTTCAAAGACGTGCAGGCGAGATGAAGCTGATTGAGATTAGGCAACCACATAGAGGAGTTATGGTTGGCATAATCGTGTTTAGCCAACGCATTGACCACTTTTGATATCGATCGCAGATGAGGAAATGGTGTGTACCAAAGCGTCTTCAGATACGGCATGTTTACAAGGCACTGTAAAAGTTCTGCCCCCGAGAAATCAACATACTTGATGCACAATGTTTTAAGTTTGCACTCTGAACGTGAAAGGAGAGCGTAAACCTGTCCTGGAAACGGCTTGTCTCTCCACCAAGGCAGAGCTGTGGTCATAATTGTAGAATCATACTCCAGCTCTTCTAATTGAGGGAGAGTGAGAGCATCAATGAGCCCACTCAGCCGAGATCTTGGTTCCAAACGACGAAGTCTGAGGATTCTCAGGCGATGTAGCAGGATCGTACTAGGCATGCCAGGGCTGGAAGCATCCCCAATACCCAACGAGCATATCTCGAGATTGAGACATTGGGCTAGGATGTGATGATAATTGGTGCATGCCCTATACCGCCTATGCCTGGCGTCATATAGCAAGGAGAGTTCAGTCAACTGTGCCCAATTAAGGACAATTTGACCGGGGCGTAGTGGGTAAGCAGTGAAAGAGACTGTAGTTAGATTGGGAGTCGAGTGCAAACGCAGGTTCAGGCCGCCAGGAGTGACAATTTCGTCGCTATCATGTGCTATAACGTTCTCTAACGCTGGGAGACTATAGCGAGCGACTTCGAGCAGAGAGGTAAGGTCGTCTGAGGCCATAAATAGGTTTAGGCTCCTCCAACGATGGGAGTGGAGACACAACATGCGAGTGAATCGATCGATGGTAGAAGAGGGTAAATGTCCGTGGCTAACCAGAGCTAGTGACATCGGTAGGGAGCCCGAGCGCTGTAGCCACGTCTCTAAGATAAATAGGTTTTTCTCAACAAATATATCCCATGATACCACAGAAGGAGGGAATCGAATAGCCAGCGAGGTCCACGCGCCACGGGTTGAGAGGACTACCTCCCTCCAAACCTTACAGACCCGACCAAGTATAAGTGGTGGCTGTGAAGAAACCGGTGACAATGGTTCATCGTGGAGGATACAATGTGTGAAAATTATTGCAATAACCTCCGGTGGCAACCTCCTCGCAGGCGAAAGCAGAGCTCGCAGGTTTCCCACCAGTTCTGCAAACTCGCGTCGTTTTCCTTTTAGGTTAGGTTCTGCGTGGCTTGTACCATGACCACAGTCCTTCGGCTTGCAAAGGCCATCCAGCATAGGTCCAAGTGTTGTAAGGAGATTCTGCGCATACCATGCGTCAAGATCGGATGGGGCACGGTTCGTGCCGAGAATCTGTAAGAGAGATGGCTTTTCCAGCGACAGTGAGCGACGTGGTATAACTCAGAAAGTGAAGCCTTCTCACCGGAGCATTCAAGACTGCGTCATATGCAACACTCGAAAAAGGAGAAGACATGACTAGAACAACTGGTATAACGGATGGAACAGAGGAAGTAGGTCCCATTTATATTCTATCATCACTGATGGGTGGTGGTTCCAGCGCTCGGCGTTATGTTTATCTTATTGCATCCCCAATTGGAGAAAAGCCTTAGTTGAAATGATGCGAATACATAGCCACGTCCCCCAAATCAAGACCATGTGACATTGAAAACTTGATCGCCGGCACTTTCGTGCACCATCCCTGAAGAGTCTCAATACTATTTCGCCGTGCGAATTTGAGGAGGAAGAAAGAGAATATAGGGTTGTGATGGTCATCCCATCCGAAGACGACGAAGTATTTGACACGCAGCGTATCGAGAGCCTGTGCTTCAACACTTGTCAAATCAGTGAAATAGTAGTACTCGAAGCAGATATATACCTTGCAATTTATCTATAGGGCGTGTAGCAGAGAGCAAGAAAACCTAGGCGAACGTTACAGACGTTACAGGCTTGGGGATGTGGATTATATTACTGACCTACACCATTGAGCATAGGTAAAAAGAACAGTAAACATAACTAGAGAGTTTAGAAATGAGATTTCGAGAGAAAAAAACACCCACTAGCCTCTAGAGCGACTCGGTCATCATAAAATCACTCGCGTATTGAGTTGTTCGCCACATGACACGATGCGTAAAACCACCCACAACGTATTGACAAAATGGTCAAGTCTCGAGTGTTATATTCTAAGCAGAATCTGACTCTAAGGTTGAATGCACTGGGTGAAAGTAAACAGACTGAGTGCTGATGCGGCCGTTGGCGCGTCGGCTCAGGTCGGCTCTCGGAATATCTTCTCCATCTCCTAAAAAGGAAGGTATCGTTGTTTGAGTGGCGAAGGGTATGCCTGCAAGTTCAAGCTACCAGGTCATACTCACCGTAGGGCGTGGTATCATGGCAAATACCATCCATCAAAGCTCAGAAGAATCCCCCTATAAACGTATTGCAGCTCTAGAAAAACAGGTCGAGGAGCTGGGAGCTGAAAATCAATGGCTGCGGTCAGTGGTCGACGGATACGAGAACCGAAGGGTGACCGACCCGTTTAGAAGAATGGTCTCGGACGTGTTTGGAAATGATGTTTACTCAGAAGACCTTGTTGATATCTGCAGAGATGCAGAGCTCAAAACTCTCAGGGAGAGTATCGTCAACTGTATGTTCCTCCCAACTGACCCGCCCTCTTTGTCCCTGACTCAGGCTTTCAGTGGCGCGTTACATTGACAAGCGACCAATTGAAGATAATGATGGTGGCTTGTCTCTAGAGGATGAGAAGACGGACTTTGATGAGGACATGTCCCTTCAGTCCAACTTGTCCCCAGAGAATCATGCACGATTCATCCTCCACTCCAGCATTTTGTACTCTAACCAATCTGATTACTACATATGTAGGAGCTGGTGAGGACTATACATCATATTTCGTGATATAATTCTTCGAGTCAACCTGTCCTTTGCAGCACCTGTGGGCATATGACACCTCCACAATTTTTGCAATCGTCGACTACTATCGAAAAACGCATCCGCCACTATGAGACAAGTCACACCGAGCTTCTGGATTACCTCACGAAATTGGATGATGAGCAATTAGAGCAATGGGCCGCACAGATGACGATATCAGGTACTCGGGTAAACGAGCAAAACGACTGATCGAATAGTTTGGTTTGTATTAGAGAATTCTAGTGGGTACAGTAGTTCTGGGAAATACATGTCCGAGGCGTACACAACAAAAGGAGTGATCGGAATGTCCAATGCGGGTGGTATATGTACAAATGCTATGGCGTCGATATGCCTATAAATAATCACGTACGAAGCGAACTTACCCTCCGCCCCATTCTTGGGGCAAGGCGTTTTCATCGTCCTACAACAAGGCCTGCGTGACATAGAAATCGCGCGCAGCAGACAGCAGCTCAATCTGACGTCCCACCCACGCCTTCTCCACCACAGCTTTCTCCCTTGCCCTCACATCTTGTTTCACAGACTTGACAGTGGCGGTGAACCCAGCCGATATTGGCCGGTGGTCAGAAACATTGACCTCATACCGCTGATAGTGCAGCAGTCTCACACGACCTGGGTCGCGCGAGCGCCAAAGGACGCGGTCGCACCAGGCTGGAACACGACGTTTCTCTGACGAGTCGAACTCGGACGAGTTACGATCATACTTGTAGGTCGGGGCAAACGTCAAGGGACCTTCCAAAAATGAGCGGAAGCGGAAGCCACGGTTGTACTTCATCTCTTTTGTGAGCTGATCATGGACTAAAAGAGTATCGTACTCCCCCGAGCTTATCGCAGCGATCACAGGATCTCGGCGCTGATCGATGCGATAGTTCATATCACCATTAACCTGATCTTAGATTAGCTTGGTGCAACACTGAACACGTATGTAACTTACAAAGACAATCTCATGATCCAGAACCATGGACCCATCACCGCCCCCAACATATGCGAGAGGCTCCTCGATCGCATCAGATGCTGGGAAAACAGATTTTTCTTCCAGCATGGCGGCCACGTCTGCGTTTCGCTGGCGAACATGATGCTGACCAGCAGCTAGATGACAGTTGATTAGGCATAGAGACGAGTCGTCTATGACGAAACGCGCAACAATCCCTCCCTGCACAGTAAAACTATCAAACCCATCCTTACAATTACAATTGCAGCCAACACTCACCTTATTACCGTAACGTCCCCCCATTCCACGCTTAATAGAAGCGATAGCGACATCTTTCAAAGATATCCGTTCCGTGTTCTTGGCAAACATGCAAGTGAAGAGTCCTACAAGACTCTCTGTGTGTATCACGGTGTATGGGGAATCAGGTGGCATCGCCAATTTAACGGCGATCAATAGACGATCGTGCCATCGTTTGTAGGCAGACGTAACCTTCTCTGAAATCTTCCCGTCTTCCGTCTTCTTCTTGTTACCTAGCAAGACTGTCTTTGCTGCCATCTTTCTAGATTCTAGATCGATGACCTCTTGGAATCCAAAAGAGATGATATCAGGGCTGTCAACACTCGTCAAAACGTCTTGCAAAAATGATATGTTCGCTTGATCATGGGTCAGTGCATCTGGTTTGGCGGCGTCGACGTTCCACGACACGATGAGGACGTTGATATTTCGGAAAGTGCTGAATACGCTTTCACGCTTCAGAAGTTCCTGATCTGCAATGCATATAAAATGAGAACGTGCTCTTCGCATAGACATATTTCACTTACCAATCCATTCCCTACCCAGTAAACCATCCCAGAATCTAAGTTGTTCATCACGGCCAATGCTAACAACACACAATCTCTCCGTCTTCTCGATGGCATAAGGGTCCACTGTTAATTTGAGGACTGGTAACCCGTTATGCGCGGCCCAGCAATTTGTTACGACCCACGGCCGATGTTGGACATCGTACGCAGAAATCATGCCTTTCCTACCACCTGCCCATAGCCGATCATTTACGCCCTCCAGACTCAATACATCGGATGCCGAGATCTTCATGACTTCGACACACTGCGGCCCACCATCTATAGCATTGAGAGACCAAATGCTAATAAATCCACCTTCGTGTCCAAGATAGACATGATCTGGGTGTGAAGGGAGAACAGTTCCCGAAGTCACAGCCCCGACATGCTGTGATGGTAGAATGGACAATCCAATACTTCCGGGCGAAAACAGATCGTACACTCTGATAACAGGAACCCTGTTCGTAGGGCCTGAGCCGCTCGTTTCTGACCTGGCGGACGTCCACAAGAGCCCACCGAGCATTTTAACGAATTCTTGTTTCTCCGATATCCTGTACACCCGCGGCTGGGTATATATTAAGCTGACATCACCATCAGCTATACCAACTGCCGGATCGAATATCAGTATTTTCCCAGAGTCGTCCGCTGTGAGCATTGTTCGTCCATAGCGGAAGATATTGGTGACTGTATGCGCGTGTGCGCCGAACTTCGACGCGACAATACACTCGGTCCTAACGTCAATCTCGAACAAATGACCCTCTTTTGTACCTGCCCATACGAAGAAACCTCGATCTCCTTCATTTGCAGCAGGACGGAATTCCATACTACTGATCTTGGAATCTTTCATTCCCATTTCTTTCGTATCGGAGCTCCACGCCGGACTATCACTTATGGAAAGGTCATAATACTTGATATGATGATGCGATGCTACCACCACGCTCGGGCCCGCCACAGCTACCTGGCCAGAAAAGGCTGGCACATGAATCTTGAATTCTGAGTAATTGAAACAATCCACAACAGGCCTACGGCGCGACGACCTGCTACTGTCGGGCAATGAATCCATCGTCCGAGATTTCGGATCCTCTTCCTCCCCTGAGTCCTCGTCTGAAGAAGGCGTTGGGGGACGGCGCACAGGAGGCAGTTTGTCTCCTAAGCCAATAATGCGCGTAGGTGGAGGGGGTAACTTGGTATTTCCCAAAGGCTTACGTTCACGTTCTAGACTAGCAGGCGATGAGGGTTCTGCTGCGACTGTTGCGGGCCGCACAGGCAACCGTGGCGCGCTCGAGTGCAAGTCCTCGATGGACTCGGTTGCAGCGATACGCCGAACTGGAAGCGGTGGCGGAGTATAAGAAATTGGGGTAGAACTTGAGGAAGAATCATTACTTGATTGTGCACCTGCACCATTGTGTCTGGGAGGTGGACGAGGAGGCACTTGTACAGCAGGTCGAGATAAAGCCTTCGAGCGAGGAGGCGAGATGCTGGATATACTACTTTCGCTAGAACTACTAATGCTGTCCGAGTTCAATTCCTCTTGACGGTGACGAGTTCCATGGGGCCTGCGGGGAGGGATGATAGGAGGTATAGATATCCCAGAGTATCCAGATCCGATATTGTCTTCATCGTCAGAGAATGGACTGTGATGGGATATACGCGGACTGGGTGGAACCGATAAGGTTGATTCTGGGCTTCGGACGAGAGAAGAGCTCAGGACACGCGGTGGGTCTGCATTTATACTCCGAGGAGGTACATTGGTGGGGCGAAGAAGAATAGGTTCGCTATGAACAGCAAGAGGCTTGTCGTGTGGACTGAGGCGCGGACTGGTCATTTGCTGAGGAGTTGTAGTAGTTACGCTGTGAATGATGGGGTCAATTAAGATAATGAATCAATGAATAAAAGCATATTAGATTAAGGAAAAGAAAAGAAAAGAAGCTGGAACTGATGATTCCAAGAAGACGAATGAACGGATATAGGATGGTACCAGTGTCGGCTATCAGATTAAGATGCAGTGACTGTAGTATAGCTGCACTGTCGTGAGGTTAATGGATCCAAACACCCCCATGCCTTGGAGTTTGAATATGTAGCTTCGCTCACGCCTGCCCTATGCCCATCTTCTGAGAAATTCAAGCCTCGCAATAGGGAAATGTGCCAATCCAGAGTCCATTACTATGTAAGATGAGACGCCCAAAATCCGGATGCGCAGCACAGAAAATGACCATCGAAAAGAAATCTAACCGCGCGCCGCGATGGCAGTATAACTACCAGCCACACATAGCAACTTCTCGATAATGCAAAGAGCAAAAAGCTACGAAAAGCAAAACTCACGAAAATCGGTTCCGCAGTGAAGCTACCCCACCCACCCGAGGCGAATCGTCGTCACTACCGGCGTAAGGCTGTGCGGGAGGCCTCAGAATCGGGGGTAAACGCTCAGGACTTAGTCTAGGTGACAGAGCGGAAGGGACTGGAACTGGACGCAGGAGAGGAGACGCGGCGGGAGAGGGGTTCGGTCTCTTGGAACCTCTGGCTGGCGGTGGTGGTGGAGGGGCCCGCTTGAAAGGATCTTTCATATCAGAAGAAGACGAGGCAGCGCGTAAATGATGCTGAGCTGGTCGAGGCTCTTCTTTGCTGGAGGCAGCCCGCGGACGAGGGGTTAGTGGGGGTCCGGGTGATAGTAGCGCAGGACTGGTGGGATGCGGTTTGAGCATTGAAGAGCTCTCCACCGCCAGCTGCTCAAATTTTGATTTGAGACTTCTTACAGCTGGCGGTGGGGTATATTCTATGTCTGATTGCTGGGACGCAGCCATGATCCAATTCCTATGGAATATGGAGGGAACGGGAAGGAAAGGAGGCCGGGGGAAACACGATTATTGGTGCTGGTTTATGAATGTTATTAAAGAATGCAATGAGGAACGATACGATGATACAAGTCAAGGGAAGAAATGCAAGGTGGACAGACGATGTAGAGAGGATATCGAAACAAACCAACCAGCTGCAAGCAATTTGTGGCACGACCTTGCATTTTGGACAGACCGCTCTCGGAAAATACAAATATAGCCACACATGGCTCGTATACAGACAACACAGATCTTGTATTAAAACAACAGTCCACTACATAGAGAGTAAGTACTACGGATACAATGCACGGTAAGTAGGGCTACAATATCTAACGAATAATACAAAAACAGAGAGCACACACAACAAGTCCAGACAATAAATAAGGACCACACATCTCTAAGGACATGTCAGATGCGAAAACAAAGCAATAAAATAACTAACGACAAAATGCGCCGGGAAGCAGTACCAGATCGGATCAAAACACAAGGAACATCGTGACCACAGCAAACGCTATTGCAATTCCCGGTCGTCCTTGATATAGCTGGTGCGGCGCACTATTGACTGCAGCCAGTGCAGGTGTATATGTGGGAGCCTAGGATTATAGAGTGATCAGCTACTGATGCATACAAAAATTTGATCCTATGAAAGACATACCACTGTCGTGTCTGTCGTATCCGTTGTTGATCCAGCACCTGGAGACCCATTTGCAGAATCACCAGCTGGGTCAGACGCATCGCCAGCGATAGTTGGAACAGGTGCGAAAGTCACAACTGTGGTTGGATTGTTAGCGATTGTGGGAGATGCGCCGTCGGTAGACAATGAATAAGATTCCACGGCGGATGTCTCTGCATCCAAAGCGTGTAGGAAAGGTCTGCCAAACTGAGGAGATGCTAATGCTTCAGATGTCATGAGTGAAGTTGCCCGTTTGACCAGAATTGATGAGACATACCATTCCCAAAGAGAGAGGTCAGGATGACGACAAAAGACAGAGTGGCAGTAATGAAAGTGGAGCGGAATACAAACATCATGTTGGCAAAAAGAACGAAGGAAGGAATGTAAAGATTGGTGGGCAACGAAAGCGGGATGAAACTGCTTCGAGTGTGTAGAGGAGATGAAGAGGTCTTATATGAACGGCGCTCCACCAAGTGTATCCTATGGCTGGTTCTCAGATTCTGAGTAGCTAAGCAGGTACAGGGCAAGTCACCGTTAAATAAGCGTTGGAAGTGATGAAGGTAGTACAAGGAACGTCATATATAGAAGGGTTCGTGAAAGACGTACCGCTCTTGCGATGGCGGTCGGGGGAAGTCTTACTAGAAACACTAGAAGCAATCCGGGCGAGCTATATGCAGTGAGGTACACAAAGAGATGCCATGATCGTCGACTTGCCCGCTCCCTTTGACACGATCAGTGGGCCCACGAGTGCAGTGTCCTTTGTATTTTCGAGGGGTGGCATTGGGTGCCTTCCTGGTAAGTATTAATAAAAGAGATTAGATTTTTCTAGTCGGGACTAAGTTTACAAAGCCATGAAGCGACGCACGAAGAGATGCTCACGAAACTTGACGAGCAACAAACGAACCACCAAAAACAGAAAAACAAGATGGTGGCAAGCCCTACCGTAAGGTTAGGGTCTCTCTTTCTTTTCGACCTTCCTATTATAGCCAGCGCTGCAGTACCCTCACAAACACTTCCACTGATGCGGCGTCTCACTTGCGTAAAAGTGCAGGATTTAGCATTTGTGATCATCTCAGGATGGGCGGTACTTGGCCATCACCTAAATCAAGATCATGATATCTTCTGTAATTAGTCGCCAGATGCTGTTTCTGTTCGCCACCACGTAGGAAATATCTTAAAATACACCCATTGCCCCTGCTACCACGAATGTCTCGACGACGACAAAATGTTCCTTGATAATACAAGCATACAATATCAATAACAACCTGTGCCTGCAATCGCAGCGGCCTATTCTTGATTTCAACTCTAGAATGCAGTAGACATCACTAGTTTCCCATAGGTAACGGAGGTTCAGACGATGGCACCATACCGTGGAAGCGGTCGGTGGTGCAGTTCTAGTCTGGTAGAAGGAAGTCGCTAATATAATCAGGTAAGTATCACAGCTGCGGAAACATGGAATGAACAAGCGTGGGCCCGGATGCGGAAGATAAGTTACAAGCAGCTTGCCCAAACGGCCTTTACGGGAATGATTGTGAATTCCTATGCTAATCAACATCATCCATCCCACCCAGTCGCAATGGAGGCGGACTCGATGAAGATTCGTCCAGTGTGTTACCACGCGACGCTGACGCACTGGCGGTGCTTTTATTAGACCGTTTGCCTTTCACGTTGACAACCATCCTCTTCTTCTGTTGTTTGCAGAACTTGTTGAGGGATTCTAGTGCATCGCAGACGTATAGCTTACTGGGTTTATCCGACAGGCTGGGATACCGTCGTTGATAACGTTTTTAATCTCAATGCCGTCGTAGGGGAGAGACGCTTACCGGCCCAACATTTCATCCACAATGTCGCTTGCTTGGATGCAAGGTATCAATTCCACGATATTTTTGTAAGCTGTGAGAAGTACCGCAGGCCCTCCTTTGATTGATCGTCCCGTCTCTATCCACCCTTCGAGCCTCTCTTTCATCTTAGGCCGGAACTCATCTCGCAGGTCGTCAAGATCAGGATCCTCTCGATCGATGTCTAGATAGCTGAACGTGTCGCCGTCTTCGTCATCCAACGCAGCTGGCAAAGGAAGACCCATCATCATAGCTGCGAGTGCCATGGGATGCGGTGTACTTGATGGTGGTGTGATGACAGCTTCTACCCAGTGTTCGACACGACTCTTGCGTGGAAGAGAGTTGTATTGCAGCGCCAAGATGTCCATTAGCTCTGACTTGTTTTTTTCACTTTCCATGCGGCAGAAACCAGATATGAGAGCGGCCCGTATTGTACGGCATGAGTCCAACAACTCCTTTTCAAGAACCTGAAGAGCGTAAAGTTGGAAAGAAGGGTCGTTGGCGATTGAGAGGGTCGCTAGCTGGAGTGATGGGGCATCACGTGGGCGGAGTAGTTGGGAATGAGAATTAAGAAGGGAAACGATTTTCTCAGAGTCTTCTTGAATAGAGAATATATTTAACGCGGCTGCAAAGTTTTCCGAGCTATGAGTTGCAATTCCAACTAATATCTGTGAGGTCAATTCTTCCATCGCGTCTTCATCCGCGCAAATAGTACCGAGACTGCTGTAGAGAGCTGCGGAGGGAGTAACCTTGAACACGGCCACCAATGCGTCGTGAACAAGATCTCGTAATCGTATCCTCTGGTCTTTGATATACTTTGACCAATGGATACTATGAAAACCACAGAGGCAATGATCATCGCTGCAGTCACTTGAGTCATCATCATCAGTATCGACGTCCCAGTCGTCGTCGTCACCATCACCGTCGATCATATCCTCACTGTAGACATCATCCATTTCTTCGCAGTATCCATCGCTATCGGCTGAAACGAGCGTAAAGTGTCTGAAAGACGCGGTAAGAAAACACGCCCACGTTTTTTCCCACCGTATAATATTCTTTCCAGCGACTTCCATCCCATTATGTTTTGAATATCATTCAGCATTCCGGGGATAGCCTTCTTCTGCTGTTTCGAACCGTACGCAAGGAGTGTGACAAACAAATCGCGCCAGATCCAAAGAAGCACTTCATCGATATGATGCGCGCCTGTGAAGGCCCAAGACTTTACATTTTTGCCGGACATCTTCTTGAGGACCACCGGCACAAACAAATGCATGAAAGAACACTTGCACCTAGGCATACACTGAGCAAGGTTACGAAACTTTGAGCATGACACTTACCCTGTACGAGCGTTGGCAATATTTTCCAAGACGTCAGACGCGAACAAAAGGCAAGTATGTGCCAACGAATAGTTAGTGCGAAACTCGTACACGACTTGCCATATATTATTCAGCCAGTCTAGAAGGCTATCGATTGTCTCCATGAGGAGTTCTTCTACATTAGAACGCTCCTTGACAAAAGACCGCTTCGAGTCGCGGTTGAGTTCGTCCAACAGACCATTGATTTCTGCCCTCTTGGCTTTCAAGTCGAGAGAAGGCAGCTGAGAGAACTTTTTGTGGTGACGACTAGCAGAGGCGACAATTTTTTTGGACTTGTCTTTGGAAACAAGGTCAAGGAGAGGCACGAGCTGTCTTTCTACCAATGAAGATTGTACATCGGGTGGAAGCGATGCATAGAGACACATAAATCTTGTATAGATCGCGTTAGATTTCAATGCAAAGCGACGAGAGAGAACATTAACTTTGCACTTGGATTTGAGGCCATTCTGCACCGAGGCGACTTTATCTTGAAGGGACCAGCCGCGGCTTGGGCTGGTATTGGTCCAATATTACGGCATCTACACGCAGCACGTGACTTGGAAGTTGCTCAAAAAAAAGTTCCGTTTCGTTGCAACGGTCGCAAGTAAAACAAAAAGGCTTGCTTTTATTGTTGCTTATATTGTTGTTGCATTTTACTGCAGCTGCTATGGATTACGGCCAGCTCGTCGTATTTTCTCCGTTTATGACGGTGATTAACGCAGGAAAGCGGGTGAGTATGGCAAGGAGCGAGTTTCCGGATCAAGACCTATAGTAATCTGCCTCGAGGCAGACTTTCCTTTCGTGGTTGCCGACCCCCTTGTGCATTCAAGCTGTTCTGCAACGTTGTCTCTCTTGGCCACGTTGGAAACGCGCGTACGCATTGCTATCAGCTATAGGTGATCTTTTCCTGTGTCTCTTCTTTGTTCTCTCGCTCATATCCTTACCCTCAAGTCTTCCAGCCATATCAGAGCTGTAGCTGCAAATACATAGATCATGACTAGCCAGTCACCGCAGCGAGCGCGCAAATCACAGATGCTTTCTGGCGCTCAGGGTACGTGCGCTTTTCCTATGACTTCTGCTTCGTATCTCGCTGGCGCATCTCCATGAATCGTCTGCACAAGAGGATGTCCAAGATGGACGTCGATCTGTACAGTGCTTCCACGCCACATCAACCGGCAGAACTTTACGTCTTTATCGACGTTAAGGATGTCTTTCTATGTGGTCGTATGATGTGGTCCTATGCTTCATTACCCTTCGGCTTTCTTTCCCTTTGCCCTTGCGGCCCATATCAGAACTCATAATTGTTTATATTTTACCTATTAGTTGTGGACATTCGTCGTTAATAGTGGCTAATATTTTTTTTTACCCTACACACAGGTACTCCCCCTCGTGAAATGTCGCCCTCCCCAACCTTTCGCGATAGGCAGCGAACTATCAAAGCCCAGTCTATGCCAATCGTACCGTCGGTCTCGCAGATTTACGGCGTGCCAGCGAATTCGCTTGCAACGCAACGTCAAGGGCAACAACCAAGCCCAACGATGATGAATATCTCTCATCAGAAGCGACCGTCATCCCCTTCAATGTTACAAGGGAATCATGTCGTTACTAAAATGCCGTCTCCGCCGAACCCACCTTCTAATATGAGGGACGAGATGGTACAGGAGCGCTTCACACCGCCCCCACCGCCTCCGGCACACACCCTTAGTCAACCGAGTATTGTCCAACATATACCACCACCTCCCCCGCAGCATTCTCATAGCCAGCCCAATATACACTCCCACATGGCCACGAACCCGCCGATCGGGTACCCACGCCCAATAAACAGGCTTCCACCACCGCCGTTTCTCAACAACTTCCACACTCTGGAAGAGAGCTGGCAGATGACGGACGAGCTTATGGCAGAGATCGAGAGAGCGGATCTCGCACAGGCAATGAGTCAGCACCCGACTGCACCAGGTATGTCGGGTGTTGCGTATGCTGGGGGCGCACAGAGCGGAGCAGTCTACGTCCGGGAAACTTCGTCACCTGTTAAGGATGACAGAATGCGGGGTAATGAGCGTTTAAGCCCGAAGGAGCTGGATGGTCAGGGAAGCGGAGGATCGTCGGGTCGACGACCCGTCCGAGTTGATCGTGAAAGGGAGGTCCAACCTGGCTCAGATAGTATCAGGCCTCGTGATCGTCCCTTACCGGCCAGTCCGGCAGGTTCGCCTCAGGGGCAAGCCCAAGCTCAAATAAACACCCCAGAGCGAGGTTCTCCACAGTACCATACACCTATTGGATCATCGGGCGAGCAGTCTAACGGGTACAACCCCTATAAACGTGACTCATATCAATCAACCATGCCATCTCAAGCTCGTGCTCCAACGCCACCATCCTTGCGTAGGGCATCCAATGCGAGTACGACTGAAACCGTGCGTAACACACCTCCAGCCTCGACCAAATATGCAAGTCAGACTCCGCCTCTTCAAGCGATGAAGGCTCGTACTCCTGACAAGTCTCTTCCCGTCCAAGAAGAACCTGAAGATGACACTGCTGTATCACCAAAGAACGGTATGAATTGGGTAAGCAGAGAAGATTATAGACGTCCTCATGAGGTGGATCGTCCTGGATCTCCGGGCGCTCCTGAGAATCGAAATGGTCACTCGCAACAATATAGTCGTGCTGGCCCAAGGGATGAAGATGACGATGACACGTTAATTGAAAACGAGAGTGAAGATAATATAGCTCTCGAAAGAGGTAGAGAGACGGAGGAAGAAAGCTATACCCCACGATCTCCCACCGCAAATCTACCAGAAGAAATTCCAAATAGACAATATGTCACGCAAGTCGCAACAAATACGCGGTTGCCTATTATTCCCAAACACCGCAATGGCTCAACCGATCAACTGGGTCTGAGAAGCTTTGACCCTGCGGTGTTTGCACCACCTCCTAAATCTAAGGAGGAGAGTCGTGAGTCGCCAACTCTTCCGCCAAGATCTCTTGGTACTGAGCAGTTACTGCATGCACCAGAGTCAGCCATGCGTAGTCAGCAATTCCATCAATATATCAATCATGTATCAGAACAGTATGAGAAGAACGGAAGATACCATCCTCCTCAGGCGCAATCTCAAGACGACGCGAATTCTATCGATGATTCCACCTCTGCATACATCCAATCATACATACAGTCTCCGCGGCCAAATGCCCCTATCCCTCCAACTCCACACAGTCAAACTGCCGCTCCATCTCCCCTTATATCAGGTATGCAAACGAGTCCCGCCCCGCCAGCTGGTTCTCCATATCCATACCCCTTCTCACATGTACGACGGTCAAATACGTATTCCGGTTACCCTGTTCAACCCGCACCTTCCTCCAATTACGATCCCAATCATCCATCTGTCATTCAGGAACAGCTCGCTTTGCAGATGCAGATGTATGCTCTCAACAATCATGCTGCCATGTCCGACTCGACTTTCTCACCTTCTTCCACGCCCTTCCCTGGCGCCGGATACAATCCATGGGCTTTCTTGCAAGCTTCCAGAGCGTTTGGAAGTGGACGTGGTGAATCCACTATGAGCATGCAGTCGAGTCCTAGCCACGAGCCTGTCAGTCTCCCGTACCACTCCAGCAAAAGCCGAGGGCTAAAGAGGAGAGAACGATCGTCTAACCTGCGCCATGTAACTTCGGCTAGGCATAAAGTTCAACCTCCACCTCGCGTTGAGAGTACTCAGCCGAGGGAAACTAGTCCCGAGCCTTATTCTTCAGGAGAAGAGACTGCGGGAGAGGAAAAATATGACGGTGGCGAGGAAGGGGTCTGGGTCGATGATGGTAACGCCGAATGGGTAGATGAAGACGACGAGGACAAGGATGACCTGTTAGATTTAGAATATCATCCTGATTATATCAACAATTTAGAGAAGCGACGCAGAAGATGGGATAGTCGATGGGATGCACTGGTTCAAGCAGTAAGTGCTTTCAACGATTCAACAGCTTACGCTTCTAATTTTCTAATCGGGATAACTACTACAGTTCCAAACTTTGGATAGAGAGACAGACACGACACTGGTTCTGTTGGCATCACCCTCTCATTCTACAAAATTACATGCTGTAACGTCCCGGTCAATACGTCGGGAATTAGCATCGAAGCAGTCTATGGCTATGACCAATATTCGCACATCTTTCAGTAATATCGCTGCTCGGAGACGTGCTACTCGTGCTCAAGGAACGTCTCTCGTGGAGAGACTTCTCCTTAACGCCAATCTTTCTGGAGAAAGCTCCGATGGGAGCTCCGAGTCCCGAGAGGGAGATCTCAAGCGAGCACTGGAAACTGCTCTGGGTAGTTTAGGAGCCCTTCGTGGAATTTATGAGCAACGAGTGGCACGATGGGAGGATGAAATGTCGAGAATTAGCGATGAGCGCGAACGGGTAGACTTGCTACTGAAACAGACACTTGGCGTTGGTTTCCCGAATGGCACAGATGTTCGCACAATGTAGCCTGCTCTACGAGGTGTGGTTGGTTAGACATGTTGAATCCACCCTTTCATGATTCTATGAACTGGTCTTCGTTGTATGTACTCACACGTAAATAGCATTTTACTGACTTCCTCTTCCTCTTTTTCTTTGCATCTTCTGTCTATCTTTCATGAATTGGTGAGTAGGTTCTATCGTTGCTCGTTGGAAAATACTGACTTTTTTATTTTTCAGTACCCTAGTTTTCCATTATGACGTGTGTATATGATCTGCATGTATGTTCCATAGAAGTACGCCTGCTGCCTGCGTGCTATGTCTTGTATATCGTGTATGTACATCCAATGAGCCATGCTATCTGGTTACTTGCGGTAATTGCCTTGTCGGCCATTATTCCGAATGTCGAGTTCTCAACAAGTCATCAGATCGTTACTTGTCAATGTGCAATTAGATTGGCACTGGTCTGTATTGCACTAGACCGAACATGGACTAGTACAGTGGTAACGCGTTCCTTTCATCAATACTTATTGGTCTGGTTTGCAATTCGCACACAATATCGAGGCTAGGGTGCGTGCCTCCCTTGTAAAACTAGCAGTTCGCATCGTGATCATAATTTGGACTTCCTTATCACTTATAAAGCTCGGCGATTCAGGTTCTTCTCTGAGTATACAAAGCAACGCTTCCATTTATTATCCACAATATTTTCTTGAGATTTAAATCCGCACTTATCATGTATCTCTCCCTCCGTCAACTTTCTAACGCTTTCTTAGCACTAGGAGTACTTATAACAAGCTGCAAGGCTACCTCCTTCAACCCGAGAGGATATCAAGCAAGTCTAGCAACATGCAAAGCTGTCAACCGAATTTCAGGAAAAGAAGTAGATATCACACTTAGTATGTTCCGCTTTCGAGTCTATCGTTCTCGACGAGACAGTTAAATCTCTACTTAGAATATGTGGATATCAACCCTGATGCCAAACCTACCATCCTTATGCTACACGGCTGGCCTAGCCTTTGGAGCTCTTGGTCATATCAGATACAAGAATTCCAGGTATGACAATATTCTCTCGTACTATTCAGTTGATAGAACATCAATAGAATGACTACCATCTCATCGCAATGGACTTGCGGGGCTTTGGAGAATCGACGTCGCCGGGCGATGTTCAATCCTCTAACAATTTAGCAGATATTGCATCTGACCTTGCGTGTGTTTTAGAGCACGCGAAAGTAGATTCAGCCATATGTCTCGGGTGAGTCCTTTTGGGACGCCAATGTCCTGCGCATTGTTTCTGATTGTTCATCAAGGCATGATTGGGGTGCAGAAGTATGCTACGAAGCGGCTCGGAGAAGGCCTGATATCTTCGAGGGCGTTGTAGGCATCACTGTTCCGGTAATTGACCTGTTTTCCTCATACTTTAGCTATTTTGATATATCATTTCCGCTCTTTGTTACCCAGTACCTCCATTCCGCAGGTCCTTTTGTGGACAACACTCAGCTCATGCAAACCATGCCTCGCTTGGCATATCAAATCTTCTTTGAAAACCATACGACCGAAGCTATATCTGAGCTTAACAAGGATATTAGAAGGAGCTTACGGGCGACACTCCGAACAGTTGCTAGTCCACCACCAGACAATTTCCTGACCAACACCACCAGTTACATGGGCGCCTGGAGTACATTGGACGAGGTAAATCTGAGACCCACCTTGAGGAATGCCGCTAATAACACTCTGACAGATACCTCCTATTCCTTTCTTCACGCCAGAAGAAGAAGACTACCTTGTAGAGCAGTTTAGTATACAGAAATTTGACAACAGTAAGTGACGATCACTAAGCGCCATTAAAGCTCTCGTACTCATTGGCTGTTATCGTAGCTTTGATATTCTACACCCATGGAGTAAGTACCTCTGTAAGAAGTGAGCTGCCTGAGTGCTGATCACTGACCCCCTTGCTAGGATCGTTATGGTACATGGAAGGCTGCCCAAGAGCAAGGGAATTTTTCTATCCCTCAACCTGCTCTCTCTATCCTTCCCTTGAACGTATGTGTTCAGCAGAATAAAATTAGTCCAAATGATATTGATCTGACGGATTTTGTCAGGATCCCGTGGCAGATTGGGTTTTCGCTGCAAAATATCTGAAGTCGGCGAGTTTTCTTCCACAATTAACGACTAAGGTGAGATATCGAGGCTGATGGAACAGATGCATATATTGACTGTCATGGTTTTATAGACAATGAGCGGTGCCCACTGGCCTCATCTCGAGAACCCTGATGCCTTCAATTCTATCCTGCGGGACTGGTTGAACAAGAATACCAAGAAAAGCGGTCCTACACTCTTCACCCAAGCTGCAGATGAACTATAAAATATTAGCCTGTCCTTCTTACTGTTTGTTTTAGAATTCCTGCACTGTAATCATTGACTCTTGACTCTTATACGTCGTTATATTCTATATAGTGCAATGGAACAATTATCGGATGCTTTAATGCGTTGGCAGCGCCAGGATACCCCCGTAATCTCGTAATGTCGCATCAAGGCCAAGGAGAGCGTCTATTATACATCACCTGAATATTGTCATCCGCCATTGATGTATTCGCTATGTTGAAGTCTCTCGTTGCTCCAGCTATCGGCGCTTGTGAACTCGCAGGATCTGTGTGTGGTATACCGTATATCCAAGCCGCCGCTACTTTACTTCACAGTATCAATACCGCATGCAATCAGTTCGCAGTTCACCGGGTGAGTTCCTGATCAATTTCTCCTTGTCTTATTAGTAGGCTCAGGCTCATGAGACAGAAAACGGCAGAACAGCTTATTTATGAATGCACGCTTCTTTTGAATGTTCTCAACGACTATGCGACTGGGATAGCAGGGACAGATATTGGCTTTGTGGCCGATGAAGTGATGGCGTACGTGATCCTATTGCAAACACGCTTACCTCTTGCTCATCAAATTATCTAGTGTCCTGGAAATAGTACATGGTCGCGTACAAAAATGGGCAAGTTACAGCAAGATCGAGAGTTACAGTAACTTTGTCCCTTCGTAGTTTGTAGGCACGCTAGTTGACAAAGTTTTGTTGCAGTGAAAATGTCGCAAATACAAGATGGTCTCGATCAACGCACTACCGAGGTCAAATGTGCATACCAGAAATTCAACGTGAGTGTGCTCAGCTCCCTTTGAGATATCCTATCGGGACTGAATATCTCGTGTTCAAGTTGGATTCCGCCTTGTTGATGCATAGGAACCAACAACAGACGATGCAAATGATACAGGCTCAATCTGCTGGGGTAAACAATGCATTACTTGACATTTTGACTAACCAGCAAGAGATGGCACGTAGGGTCCAAAATACCCAGACTGGTATGATGCATAGTCAAAAGACCAAAGTGATAACTGATGTAAAGCTAGGAAATGGGCCATCAGTATATCGAGGCCATCCAACGGCAAATGGGCCGAAAGTGGGGGATAAATCTGCTCGTGGGGCCTCGGGCGAGACGAAGCCATGGAAGAGTAAGCAGCCATGGCAACCTCAGCCTCACTGGAAACAGCGGAAAGCAGGCGAGCGAGGACAGGGAGGAAAATTTGAAGAAAGAGGCGGATGGAAAAGAAATACACAAGAATCACAAAAAACGAATAGATCAGATGAAAGAAGTAGAATGTCTCAGAGCAAGACAGCCCCCAAGGAGAAGGAGCGCAAGTGGCGAAGCAAGGCACCTGAAGAAAAACATCCCAAAGCAGAGGAGAAAAGGCCGGCATATCAAAGCAAAACAGTCCCCAAGGAACATCAATGGCATAATAAGGCATCTGAAGATCAGCGCCTATAACGCGGATAACATCGGGTTTATACCCGGCCTCGATGACTGTGTGCAAATCACGACGATTGTGTTACATGGAAAATTTGCGTTTCTTGAGTGACAGACATGGTTGATGTAGTAGAACTTAGGCTTGGGTACAGGACTGGCCACAGCGTCACTGTGCACCTGGGGACCTTGATATCCTTATAAAAACACTGAAGTCGACGTTGAGACTAGTTGGTTGGAAAGATTTTGGTGCCAAGTTCGAGGGTTCGCAGGATCACGGCTGGGGGACGAATAGCCGATGAAGAAACTATGAGATCAACGAGGTGAAGGGGTTTGTGAAGGAAATATCTCGGAAACAAACCAGTCCAAGTAACTCACTTCATGACTTATCAAACGCAACAAATCCAATATAATATATCACTATCACTTATTATTTACCGTTAGAAACTGCAACACTTCTATCGCAACTTTGGTTATCGTCGTGTCGGGTGGTCCAACTTCTCCTTTGAGTATTTTGGCGACGACTAATTTGAGTGCAGCCGTTTCTGATTCTGAGACGATCATCTCTCTTGAGAAAGAATCCTTGCTGTTGAGCAGTACGTTGCGAATACAGATCATCCCTCGGTGAACCAAGCCTGGACTGCTTTCTGACTCTATCTCTTCATCGCTTTCCTCGTCTGACTCATTTTCCAAAATAAGTGAAGGATCGATTAGACGTGCGAGTATAGGGAATACACGGTGACGATCCATTTGTAGTTCGAACAGAGCATGACAAGCGCTTGGAGCACTTGTTACCGTAGCCAAGGCACCGGATGCTGCTAGCCTGGTTGGCATATCTTCTACGTCTGACATGGCTACTAGGAGCTGAAGCTTCGACTGTGCTGCCTTGGACTGCTTCCCACCGTACTTCTCGAAGACCTCTTCCGACCCTGCAATAAGATTGCAGATAAGCTCCACAGCGGCTCTCCGAACAAGTGTGTGATCGGACAATATGAAGGCCTCCACCTTGTTGAGTAGGCCGTCTGCTTTACCGACGCGAGCGGCACATTCAGCGGTATACGAAGATATATTGGTCAGCGCCATCATCACCTCGAACTGCTGTAGAAGCGTAGAAGAATCGTGAAGGAGCAGCTGACAAAATGGCCTGACTGCATCATATATGGCACCCTCGTTGGGGCCAAAAACCTGGAATGGAGAAGCTGTGATGGCGAGCTTCGCCAAAGCCTGTATTGCATTGAGATCGTTGACGTCGAGTGAACTCGCGTTTGGCTGCGAGGAATGAGATGAGGCTAGCGAATGTCGTATCAGACTTATCAACGCTTTTGCGCCGCCACTCTGCATAATCTTCCCTCTGTTTTCTTGATCCTGCGCCAAACTGAGATAAGCTTTGCCAGCAGTGACTCTTACCCCCTGACTCTCCATCCTCGATGCAATTGCTAGCACACCCAGCGCACCTTGGGCAACCAGTGATTTGGCCCTTGCTTTGACGCGAGCGTCATCTTCAAGCGCATCATGAGCTCCTACTTTGGCAGACTTCTCTCCAGGCTTTGTCATTCGTTTCAGTTTCTCCATCTGAGCTTGCTCTTCGCTTAACTGAGGTTTGTAAGCGCATAGGTTGGATATGATGACGAGAATTCCATAGAGCGATGTTGAGTCGGAAGACGGTTGGCGACGAGGGAACAGTGAAAAAAGCTTGGTCAGAAAAACTGAATCGTATGCCAGACTTTCCTTCACCACAGGGTTGACGCTAAGATAAGCCAGGCCCTCGATTGTATCATTTTGGGAAGACGAGCTAATCCCGCTAATAACCATGCCCTTCAAAGTCTTTGCCAGTTCTTCATCATTCGCTGCGAGTTGTGACACATTAGTCGTGCCGGTGGAGACTGCGGCTGTATCTGCGGCAGATCCATGCGACATCTTGACCAGAGAGACACTAGCAGCCGCTCGAAGAGCACTATCTTTCGTCTGACGAGATTTGGACTCCAGCCATTGAGTTAGTTCAGAGGGGATTACGGCGCGACATGGTTTGTAACCACTGGCCTGGCCAAGGAGGTGGGCGACTTCGAGAAATACTTGAGGGGATGAGCAAAGATCAAGAGCATCTGTCACGAAATCGACGAATCCCTCCATTTGGAACAAAGACGAGGCGGATTGCCAGTCAACCTGAAATAAGGCAGTCAAGAAGGATACGACATCCAATATATCGCTCTCCTGGTATTTGGTGAAGTAAGCTACAATGTGTGGATGAAAGACTTCGGTGAGAGATTTCGTAGCTAGGTCATGGGAGCCTTCCTGATTCTTTCCTGCATTTTCTGATGAAGATGTTCTGACGCCTTGACAAAATGCTGCTAGCACGAGATATGCTTTTGAACGCAAGGCTGGAGTCTGAGAAGGAGAAAAGGCGGTGACCAAGTACGATAGTTCATCAGGTAGCACTGAATCGAATGCTGCTGCAGTCCGAGATTTTTCGAGAACAGAATTTAGTATCGGGTCTGGGGCATTGCTCGCGGTGGTGGGATCCATGAGGATGAAGCTTGGTGAAGCTCAAGACGTTTAAGTTGCCTGTGTTACAATTCCAAACGGATGCAGGTGGCAAGGGTGCTGGTGTGGCAAGAATCGCGATCTAGCACAAATACCGAACATTTGTCTCGGGCATCCAATCTGGCATTGTGATGAATTTATGCTCAATCATGTTTGGCTAGTATATGCACGGATACAAGAAAATGTATGGACAAAAGTATATAACCAAGGGATTTTCAATGCCGATGGCTGCATTTACGTGTGGGGGAATGCGTCTGGCTATGTTGCGAAGATAACGTTGTCCACCCTGCTGCTGTCCAGCTTCCACTCGATTGTGATGCAGCCGTAGGCCCTGGTGGAGTCCGCAAGAGCATCGAGTGTCTGATCTTAGCAGTGGCCACAGCGGTATTCGCACCCGAAGAAGCTATAACCTTCTTAACAAATTTCTTGACGCGACCAAACGGTTTTCGTGCAGGTTCTTGTATGGAAGGCAAAGGTTTATCGTAGAGCAGACTTGAAACATCAAGAAAGTCGCCATCGAATACACCTGGCTCGTCGTACTTGCAGTTGGGAATGGTAGACCCAAAGGCAGAGACAGGCATCAAGTAAGAGCCGCTGGAACTGCGAGGTGTGGGGAGGAACACCATGCTCTTGAAAGGCGTTGGAGGCGTTGAAAGTGACCTTGAAGACTTAGAGTGCATGGATGACGAAGCGTACTTAGATACTGGAGTTACAGGACCAGAAAGACCGGAATCGAGTATTAGCCATTTGTCTCTGTGGCAGCATCACTAAAGTTATCGAGAGTCAGGAGTAACGTACACGCACGATCTTTCAAACCATCCACTTTGTTTGAGCTCCACGCGAGCAAGCTGAATCAGCCTATCAAGAGGACTACCAGTGGATAACTGATGGCAATGTAAACTTCGAACAATTCTGCAGACCGCAATGAATGACCCACCGCTTTCATCAACTCTTCAGAAGAGGTATATTCCTAGCATTCCAATGAAACAATTAATTAATAAGCCATTGGAGTTAAATAAAGATAGCACCTCATCTAGATCGTCTTCTGACACGTCTCCCTGTTCATCTATGCCTAAGTTACGGGGGAAACATACTGATATTTCCGAGGTGGAAGTCCACTGAGAGAGAAAGGATACATCTGTCAAGTTCATGATGTCGAGTTCATCGAAGGCATGGCTAAAATCGATTAAAGAATCACGGAGGCGCAACCTTGCTGGATGAACGAATTTATTGGGCTCGGAGCGATTCTGTTAGGAGACGAATGTAATCGCAGAAACTTGTTATTTTGTAAATAGTGCGTACTGTTTGTGGCTGATGTGTGGCGATCGAGTTCAAACGGATGGTCTTGTAGAATTCCTTTGCCAGTGGATTGTCGAATGCATCCGCGACCTTTGCTAGGAGCTTCATGGCGTCGTGTTCTTTCGATGACATATTCCTTGACATGTAAAATTCGAAGAAAACAAGCTGCGATTCCAACTTGAAATGTCTCTGTTGGGGTTTGCCACTTGACTAGGGGGAGGAGGAGGATCGAGGAGCTGGTCACTTGAGGAAATATCTATGGAGAAGCGAGGACAGGCTGGAAGTAATCTAGACTATGGTTGCTGGAGGTACGCATTAGTCCAGTCCGTGACATGATTTATACATGCCTCGTCAGCCACAAGTTGAAGCAGGTCAGCCGCAATTGATGCACTGCAAGTAGGAAATGGGATTTCCTAACATCAATGAACTACGCTTTGTATGAACGCGTGCAATAAATACATTTCTATATTGACAGCACCCGTCCGATGCATTATATGTTTAGCGATAATGGGCTCAAATACTGGAATGGAATGAAACCACGGATATACCTTGAGATTTAAAGAGTCAAATCAATGAAGCATATAATATGTAGAGAAAAGGCTTGCCATTTTCACGTGTCTCCGATGTACAACCTACGGGATCAAGGATAAAAGGAGCACAAAGCTACAGGATAAGTTCTGCAACAGGCGATACCAGGATTTCAATAAGTATGAATGCTATTTAAGAGTCAGACGTTGCTGTCAATGACCGGTGGCACCTGCATTACTGAAACGGGGATGTTTCCGTAACACCCTAGATCTGGCTTGTAACCTAGGCATTGACTAAAAATAGACCTAATATCTACGGTGGAAATGACAGTGTCTTATAATCCCTTAGCATGGAAATAGACTTTATCGCTACATGCAATGTATGTGATTGCTTATAAACAGTTACGCTTCTTAGGAAAATTTGTATCTTTTCCAAATCTATGAGCGGATAGGCTGCGTTTGCCAACTTGTTTTGCCTCTATAAGATGTTTTTGAATGTGTACAGAGCAAAGGATAATGGCAAACAATAGCAGGGCTAGCTTGATACTTCCACACCATGGGGAGCACAACCAATGTGCCTTTCCCTTCCAGTTGAGTACAGTTCTCTATCTTAAACTCACCTTTTCCCAGACCTTGTCCTGAGACACGCACATCGGCCAAAAGTACAATGTCTTATAATCCCTGACCGTGGAAATAGGCTTCATCATTACATGTAATATGTGTGGCTTTGTGTAGGTAGATACACTTTTTGGGATAATCGAGTGAGTAGGCTGTGATTGCCAATGTAATCTATTACCAATTAATGATGTGACGAGACTAGAAAGTTCAGTGATCATTGCACGTCCAGGCCACAATAGCACTTCCTAACAGCATATGCAAATTGTCATGAAATTTATTGGCCTCCTTCATGTCACAATATTTTCCCTTCATCATCTGGGTGCTTTGGAAATTTATGGTGTTGCCCTTTGATGTGATAATTCCAGACAAGGGAAATAACAGTGAACATCATTTGGTTTTACCTGCTCTTCCAGTGTAGCGCAATCTTGCCCCTGTTTTGTGACTATAGTTGGCATTACAATGCATCTTATTGCTGTGAGTGGTTTTGCTTGTTTGCAATGATTGCAAGGATCTGGATATCTAGTAGCAGGATTAACACTAATGATATTTTGTTATCTTTAGCTTCAAGATCGCCAACCATTGCGCACATTCGTGGATACTGCACACTCTCATCAAATTATCATGTGACTTGGTTTGATATATCTTATCCCCGTTTCATGGAGAGATTATATTATTATATGTCCTAAAATACACCATCATATGTATACTAGGTGCTATTATGAATGTGTCCGGCCCCATTCGTAGTCAGTCTGCTCAACACACACGTGCTGACTGAGCAACAGACATATTCTGATGTATGGCCCTTGGTATCATGACCTCACGGTGTTTACCAAAAACTTTACTAGACGCCAAAGGGGGCAAGTAGTAAGTAAGAGTATCCGAGAAGATGGTGTAGGTGAAACACACTTACCCATCCCACCAGAGCAGAAATTTGTTGACTCTGTGAGAATGAGCCATGTTACAAGGGCCCTCAAACCAATCTACAATATTATGATAGAACTCTTTCAGGTCAAAACCACCGTCAACTATACGCTGTCATGCACCAAAGTTGATTGGTAGCATGGACAGGTGTCAATAACGAAGCGAATATTCAAAAAGACTCGCCTTTGTGCCACACAGGCACAGTGCCACGTGGAATAGTAATTAATATTGCCCTTTTTGAACTTGTGGCTGATCAGCACCACCTCTATTAGGCAATCCAGTCACGCTCACCTTTGCTTTTCCATCCGGTACTTTCCGCGTTTTGGCATTTTGGCAAATTTTCACGTCGCCACTGGCTACACATTGCATTGCGCCCTCGCTTTTGTCGTTTCCCTTACTCCCCTTCCTTTGCCTAGTCCCACTATGGGCCCCTTCCTCTCCTTTTTATTCTCACCTGACAGTCGTTTCTGGGTCCCCATTCTAATCCACTTGTTTGTCACCTCCACCCTCCTCCTCCTCATCTTATTTGCACCCCCACCATTTCTGATGTCACCACTTCCTATCCGCTTCCGTCGCCAATCCGTTGACTACCACGTGCCACTGCTGATATCAGCAAAGCCCCGGCGGCCGGTCCAAATAGGGCAACAGGTCCATCTTCATGACGTCGATCTACCATCATATACTATCAAAACATTGGTCGCTCGTCTTGCCTGGTTGGAGCGTGGGTGGGTAATTTTTGAGCTGGAGAAGGTTCATCCCCTTGTGTCGCCCATGTTCATTGCTGTCCCATTCACTTGGGTACACTTATCTTTTGTCCATCGTCTTCGCTACAGCTACACCTACCACACACTGCCTGGGACTCACTTGTTCCAAATTGGAACTACTCCTCTCCCTCCCTCGTTTGATCAGGTGGTCCAACACAACCAGTCCATTGGTAAGGCCATGGAACTGTCGGATTTGGACTAGGTGGTGGACCGGTGGCTCCAGTTTCTTTTTCTTCAGCAGGACATTCATTTACAGTGCGATTATTTTTGATTTTTGAATCATTTTTATGGACACATATTTTTTTAGAATGCCTGACTGACAATAAAGGAACTGTGTTGATACTGATAGTGTTTTGCCTTGCCCTTTTTTTTTTACTGCATCTTCCTATGACATCATGATTTTCCTGCTCTCTTTTTGCTATTGGACTTTACTTTATGGCTGTACAAACCTGTGACATTACTCACAGCATTCATTGTTCTATCTCTTTCTTTTCCTTTTTTTGACAATCTTATCCTGTACTACCTACGCAGGATTTGTCAGCATACATTCCTTCCTTCATGTTCTTTCTCATTCTTTTTGCACAGCTATACTGTGCATAGCCTACTTTTCTTTTACTATATAAACCCCTGTATTTTACCTTGTAAAAAAAAGAAACAACAAGAACTCCAATCCAGACTTCTTCTCTACTCTCAAGTTCACTACTCTGCTACTTGTGATCCAGTGTGGTCACAACACTTCCCACTGCTACCACTGTTAATTGCTGTCATCGTCACTTCCCACTTTTGAAGTCATTGTTATCCCTTTCGATTAGAGTCCTTCTGAGCACTACAGTTTGTGCGTCAGGAGCCTGCTATCACTGGGAACCTTGTCACCTTGTCATCCCCGTCGTTCTCAAACCTACCTTGTGCTACAATTAGCAAGGTAGTGCTTGTCTATACTCGTCACCAAGCCCCTATCCTTCTATAAATTCAACTATCCCTCCTCCTCAAAACCCACACTCATACACCTCTGGGTTTTACTTTGAAGGATCTTTATACGTACCACCCCACGAACAACCAGACCACTCCACTGTTCTAGGAGGCAAAGCCATAAACAAGTTCCGTGGAATCTGGGAGGATTGTGTGTTAGTTTGTTTTGTGTGTGGTTTTCTAACTGCAGTTCTCATCATCGACATCGCCGAGGGGAGGAGTTTCATTGTGATGGATTCATGTTTGCTGGCCGGCAATGGACACTTAACACCTATATAATAGTTTCAGATTAGTAAACACCTCTTTCAAAGCACAATGGACGGACTGTGTGATCAATCTGAGCCAAGTTTTGCTGCATCTGTCTGAGAGACTTGGAGTAAGATAATATCAATAAATTATTGGACAAACCGCCGCACAATGTCACAGTAATGTTACTAAGACTTCAAGTTTCCTTTTAACGTGTCCATTTGATTGCCAGTGCAACAATGCCTCGAACTTGGAGTCAGACTCTCTGGTACAGACAGCAGAATTGCCACATTGGTGCTGATTTCAATGCCTTTGGATATGATCCAGAAGGCAGACTTTCTCATCTTGCTGCCATATTTTTTGGACCTTCGTGCTATCCGAGGAATATCAATGGCCTGGAAGTCTACAGAGGTACTCCTCAGCCGCCTCAATATGGCAGACCTTCTATCATTCAGATGCCTTACCCACCCTTTGCATGGAGGCCCAAAATGCCCCCTTTCTATTATGACTGCCCAAGTCATCCATATATCAAATCACTTGTCAACTTCCACCCCAATATCTTCGCTGTGTCAACCACTTTCGGATGCCCAGCTCCTTGTGAGGATAATACTGATGGACTGGAACAGCGCAGGGTACATCATTGTTATTTTGTCTGTTGATTGTAAGGACTATTTTACTATTTTCTTATCTTCTCTATGTCTTGGCTCTCGAACACTTTTCCCATTACACCTCTGGCTCTAGGGCTAGAGGTATTGTTTGCTATCTTACTTGTCATAGCCCTTACAGGCTTTCTTATTAAGAACAAAGCTTGAAGGAAGTGTCTAGCCACTTGCTGAGAGCAATCAGGGACTGGAACTAGAGTCCAATGTGAGTAACTTTATTATTAGAGAGTATGACAGGTATACAGTACCTAGAGTCCAATGTGAGTAACTAGAGAATAGGAAGCATTGGACTCTGCAATACTGTCCGAAGTTTTGTAAACAAAGGTAAACAAAGCAGCCACAAAGGCGAAATAATAGAGAACACAATCAATAGTGAATGATAGAAGAATAGATAGAGAAAGGAATGAAAATATATAGGTAGCACAAAGGTGCAGAATCACCAAAACTAACATTTCTTAACCACCGTTACCACTTTATATCACAGATCCGAGACTGGGTATCACTCCCAGCCAGCCAGCACAATGGGTAGGGACTGGTAGTAGGCATCTCACCAACCAGCTCCAACCCCCATCAAGGTCTGGATATACTAATAAACACTTTGATCAGGATCGTACCTCATCATGAGGATACAGTTCCTGATCGTGCGTGACAAACATCTATTATTAGTACAATTCTCTCACCCACTGATTAATCAAGATAAAAGTCATACAATAGTTCTTCCCTTTTTCTTATTGGACGATTTATTCCTCAGACCACTTTTCATCTATTTCTCCTTTCGGTCTGAGGAACGGACGGTTAGCTATATAAACCCTACACATCACATGTATAGCTCTTTAGTTTTCTATTACTGAATTTACCCGCTTTACTCCTCAACCGAAACCCTTGAGTTTACTCCCAAGTCCTCTACTTGCTATATTTACTAGTATCTGTCGACCACAAGCTCATTGAATCTCTTACTCCCTGCAAGTGCAGTAGGAGACAGGTTTTGTTTTTGTTATAGTTTATCGTTGCCTCACATTGATTAGCCATGTATTTATCTTCAACAACAAGTCCTCTCAAAAGACCACATATTGTCTGGCCAAGAAGATCGAGAGAACTGTTGCAGACCAAGCTGAGAATAAAGACGTTGCATGTAGTAGTCAGCTACCCAAGCACATCAGGGATCTAAATATTTACACGTACCCTATTGACTACCCAACAACTGCAGACTTCCTTTGCACTCTCAATGCTGAGAACCCCTAAGAAAACTTCATAGCCTTGCTTCCTGTTCTCAAAAGGGATAGCATCACTCATCTCAATGATTTTACAATTATTTCCTGGGACAGCTTTCGGATCATGTCAAATATGGAGCCAAAGAAAGTTGACCATATTTTTGCTGAGGTCTGGAAACCGTTGTCGGCTGTGCACATGCAAAACGCAGAAGAAGTAGAGGAAATAGCGGCCATGTTGAAGAAAGCGAGGGAATAAGGGGATAGAAAAAAAAAGGGGGTGAGCAACTGAGGGTTTGCTATGTAGTTGATGTTTGGCATTTGGACTTGTCTATAAAGGATAGCAGCTATCATTAATTTATTATAAGCATATTTTTTGAATAAAGTGATCCACCAGATACAGTGATATTGCTAGGATTGTGTTGTAGCATGTTGTTTTGATGGTGTGCGGTCCTCTACCACTGGCATTCCTAAGTCATGAGCGTTCAAGGTATTTGAGTTCAGGTGTGAACGCAACTTACTCAGGCTCTGGGTGGCACTAGGACCCACTAGTCTGATCCAAATAACTATTATTCCTAGAGTAGGGGGCTATTAGGTATGGTCTTCAGTGGTAATGACATGAGTGCTGTGACAAGATCAAAATAAAATGGCAACAAAGACTTGAGTAATGAAAACTGAAAGACAAATGTAAAAGATGAAAAAAAAGAAAAAGAAAAAGAAACAGAACAACACGAATACAATTGAGGTAAAAATGCAGAAATATAGTAAATATTGTCCATAGGGAATGATGGTGTTACCCGCTGGATCAGGACAACTTATTGAAGAAGGGGGGGCTGGCAGGCTCCTCCCCATCCACTGTTGCAAGAGGAGGACTTAATCCTAGAGCAAAAAAAATATGACTTGCGATAAGATATGATTAGGTAATGATAAGATAAAAAATTCAAAGTCAGCATAACCTTGGTCCTCGCTCTCTCTCCACAGCGGCTGGAGTTTAACATCAGTAAACAATGGTCGCCACAGTGACTCGTGACTGCGGACATTAAATATAGGAATTGTATTTTTGAAACACGCCAGCTAAATCTGGAGTTTACGGATCAAATATGGAAGCTCCTATTGAGTGAGTGTGTTACAATTGACGTACCAGTACCTACTTACACTTCACTTTTCGCACTTTTACTTTTATTTTTCCAAGTCACATGACCAGTCATGTGATATAACACCTGACCAATGTCTAGACACCTCACGTGACTGGTCACATGCTAAACATCAGACTTTAAACTTTATTTACAACTGTACAGTACCTCATGTATTTTAGTATATATACAGGAGCAATACATGGGGAAGGACTCAGCGAGTCCTCCTGTTGTCTACCAACAACTCACTTGTTGAAACCTAATGGGTAACCACTCCCACCTCTTCCTCTTCTTTTGAGTGTTGTTTTCATTGTGCTCCAGTGCCCCAAGACTGTGTTTTGTTGGTGTTGTCACAGAGTGTGGTCAGGTGGTCACAAGGCCACCTATACATTGGCCAAGATTCAAAAAATCACAAAAGAAAGACTTGGTACACACCCATGCCTTCGGCAAGCCGAAGCAGCACAGGCAATTGTTGAAGGAGGCCATGATGTTATTGTCAAAGCTGGAACAGGAATGGGCAAGACACTCGCATTCATAATACCACTACTACTCAATCCTAATGGCATTCAAGTGATTATTACCCTATTAAATCTGCTAGGCAAGCAAAATGTCACTTCTCTTGAAAGAGCTCAAATTCATGCAATTGCGGTGAATGCAGAAACAGCCACTGTGGAAAATTTTAGGGTGCGTTACAGACCTATTTTCTTGCCAGCACTAATGATACCTGGGGAATAATGCAGGCCATTAAGAGCATGATGTACAGAGCAATAATCATTAGCCCTCAGCAAACAATGAAAGCAGGTAGAGAATTTGAAAAGATTCTACAAGACCCCCTTTTTAACTCACATCTGATCAGTATCGTCTTTGACGAGGCTCATTGTATCACCAAATGGGGTGATTTCCGACCAGAGTACCAAGAGCTAGGGCATTTACGGTACATATTGCCCTCGCATATATCGTTCCTTGTAACGTCAGCCACACTCCCACCGGACACACTAAAAAGTGTCAGTAAGCTGTTACACTTATGCAGTGACAAGCTTATCACCATTCACCACTCGACTGACCGTCCCGACATAACTATTGGAGTTTGTAAAATACAGTACCCACTACACACATATGCCAATTTATTTTTCTTCATACCTGATGGCTAGAAGCCTTCCGGCCCTCCCCTGATTAAATTCCTGATTTTCTTTGATAATATTCAAGATGCAATCAATGCGACCAAATTTTTACGGAGCCGCTTACCATCAAATGTACAAGATAAAATCCAATGGTTTAATTCTGAAATGTCCACCCACTTCAAGGAAACCAAGTACCGGCACTTGTTATCCGGTGAGACTTGGGGTCTTTGCACCACAGATTCATTCGGAATGGTAGGCTCTTTTAACAAAAAAACAAATATTCACAATTAATTAATGAGTCCTATTAAAAAAAGGGAATGGACGTACTGGATATCATTCTCGTGATACAGTAGAGAGTCGCACGAGGACAGAAAGGGAAGATGAGAGTAGAGACACTATGGCAGCGCATTGGTCGGGTTTGCAACCGGACACTACAAGGGACAGCCATTATATTTGCTGAAAGAGAATTTTTTGATGATGAACGCAAGAAAAAAGAAGAAAGAAGCCGAGCAAAAAAGAGAAAGAAAAAAAGTGATGCACCAAATACTCCGGCCAAAATATTTGTTACAACAAGCTCCAAGGTGCCAACTACACCTACAGCTGTGGCTGTTATGGCCAAACGTACAGGCAATGCCTCAACAGATGACAAATTGGGGCCAGAGACAGAAGATGGCAAGGAAACCAGTTTGATGGATGCACTTTGTGCAACTGCGGCAGAAAGGAGAGAGGGAGTTTTAATGACCAAGCAGCGTAAACTAGAATTAGACCCCACCTTGGATTATTTGATTAATGCCGATGTACAGCCAGGCTTAAAGTGTAGGAGAAAAGTGTTTGACCTGTATTTTGACAACAAAGCTGCTGGTGAGAATAGCCGGGTTCCTATTATGGCTATATCTGTTGTTCTTACTTTCTCACCTTGCTTTTCAGATTCCAACCACCACTTGTGTGACCCAGTCAGTCCAACAGGCTGTTCTTGCTGCCATATCTCTCAACCCCTCATCTGTTGCGACATACATAATCCCGAGTCATTTTCTTCTTTCCAAACTGACACTCCAAAAATCACCAAGTTACCAAATTGCTTAAGAATTCCGAAGTTTGAAATAGGGCCATCTGACACGACATTTCTGGGTTCTCTAGAAGAGTGGAGGGAGATGAAGACGCTGCAGGTGTATGGGGCAGCTTACCTATCTAGCATAGGCCCTTGTCTGATTATGACAGACAACATTGTTGACCGCATAGTTGAATGTGCACATTACCACAAGATCAAGGATTTGAGCAAGCTGAAGAAGGAAACAAAGTGGATACAGTCAGAGAAGTATGGTGCTGAAGTCATAGCATTGATACAGTGCCATGCACCATGGCCTGTTGGTGCTACAGCATCTCCATTTGCTTCAACCCCGCTTCGACCATCTGCCAGCACTGGCTCTATTAGTACCACTACACCAGTCCTTCCTAGAAAGAATAAGTGTGGTGCTTGTGGGCTTGAGGGCCATAATGGTATGTTTCAGTTATATTGGGATTGCCCATTGTGTTCACCGGACCCAGCTCGCAATTGGGTCTGCGTGAATCATCCCTCCCGCTCACTCTCTTCAATGGCTATTACTAATAAGGAGAATGCCTAACTGCCATTTTTTGCAGGGTTTTGAATGATGGTTCACTGCCAGCAAACAACTCTAGAGTTGTTTGCTGGCTGTTTTGCTTCTCAGCTTCAATTTGCCAGCAATCCAGATGTCGACAAATGCCAGCGTGACCAATAATTTCATGTGTCCGATGGAAACTGGGCTTTGAGCAAAAAATCCCGGTTTTCTTTGGGTGAAGCCTTGCCACATCACACATCAAGCTTGTCTCATCTTCCCTGGCAGCCACAAGCTGTATGAAAACTCGCCAAAGTCCATTTGCCGCCGCCATTTTGAGGTGAAACAACCCAGGTGCAATCATCACATGTTGAAACCGGTCCCAAGGTGTTTCCTCAATCACTCAATGTTCTTGGACAGCCTGGAGACGTTCTCCCATGCCAAGATCCCCATAAAACAATACTACATAGTCCTCAAGATCATTCTCTTCAGGTTTTCTTTCATTGCCGACATCAAGCCCACCCTGTGCCAGTAAGTCCACTACAGCACATATATTTCCTGAAATAATGGAGTAATTGATGTCCATGGCTTGAGCAGCAATTATAGGAGTTTTGACCACTGGTATCTGTTCAATAACTGGTGGTCCTTTGAGCTAAGACTTGAAATGAGAGAAATAGGATGGGCCATAGTGACACAGGTCATGTAAGAACTTCCAAACATTGTAGCTTTGGTGGATGTTTTCTTCACCATTGCGAGAGATGACGGCTAACAGACCTTTGTAAGTTCGTTTCTGCCTTGGATTCACTGTTGTGATAGTGGGGTTTAATGATGATTTAATCCATAGCTCTTGCGAGCATTTTAGATCCTGTGGAGTGATGTTGTACTGGAGTGGAAAGAGCAAGCCTGAGGTCAAATGTTTCAATGACTCGGCTGGATTCTCCACAGTAGGAATGCACAATTTCAGCTCTACATCAAAATTATCATAGGCATACACTGCCAGAAGTGTTTTCCCTAGCTTACAAAGGGCATTCTCACTCTGGATAGATAGCAATCAAATAGCGGCATGTATTGTGGTCACTGAAATGGAGATGCCCATGCGTGCCAGAGTATTGATGACTTTTTCTGGAGTATGCGCAGACTGAAGGAAAATGCCTATGATACTCTGCAAGGCATGTATTTTTTGGCTGGTGCTTTGCATAATTATACTGACTATAACAACTTTTTCCTAGCCCCATACCATATAAATGCAATATTGGAGAGGGAGGACAACACTTTACTTACTACTACAATAGCTGCTTTTTGACGCTCTCTTGTTTTGGAAGCCTGAGACTCTTTGTCTTGGAACAAAACCTCGGCTATTCCCTCTAAATCCATCTCGTCTACTTGTGCCCAATAAGCATCCTCTGCTTCAACTCCGTTGTTGTGTTCACTCATAGTGGTTTCTGGGCCATCAATTGATCTGTCTGGGTCCCCATCAAGTAGAGTGTCCAGTATGTCCCACAGTACTGGTGCATCACTTTTATACTCTGCTGCCATTTCTTTCATGCAAAACTCTTCAAGTTGGTTGGTTGTAGCCTTTCTGGCATTAAAGTGCCAACTGGTATTTTTGCGGACCAGAACTTGTATCTCCTGCATGCACTGCTTCTCAAGAATATGTTTGGCCCATTTTAGAACGACTTCTTTTGTTTGGATTGTGAGGGAGGGGTGGTTGAAAAAAGCAACAAGGATAGCTGGGAACAGTGTTTAGAGATCTTGAATGATTTAGTGGTGTTTATAGTGAGAAGATGGTTGTCGAACATGGTGATGGATTGATCACTGATGTTCAGTCTTGTGTCCTCACATCAGCCTATTCTACCTCTATCTTTCTTACTAAGAATAGAAACAGGTCGCGTGGAATGGTTATTTTATTTTTGAAAAAATTGTAATTTTTTGGTGTTCAATTTTTGGTCTCAGGTGTCACAAGTCACTGTGGCGACCATTGTTTACTGATGTTAAACTCCAGCCGCTGTGGAGAGAGAGCAAGGATCAAAGTTGTGCTGACTTTAAATTATTTTTAATCACATGACTATCTAATTATAGTGCTACACCTTAGCAATAAGTTTTGCCTCAACGCCCTAATAATCATCCTCCTCTCTCGCAACAGTGGATGGGGTGGAGCCTGGGGGGCTGGTTGAGATTGACAGTGTTATCCATTGTATTGGGACAAGTTGGAGGGCTGTCTGTGATTGCACCCGGTGCTGCACAATTTCTCGAAGAGGGGGACGGGTGGTTGAGGGTGAGGGTGAGGGTGATATTATATTGACTGTCTCCAATGTCGTTGAAAACACTATGCAACGCTGTCATGCACCAAAGTTGATTGGTAGCATGGACAGGTGTCAATAATGAAGCGAATATTCAAAAAGACTTGCCTTTGCGCCACACAGGCACAGTGCCACGTGGAATAGTAATTAATATTGCCTGTTTCGAACTTGTGGCTGATCAGCACCACCTCTATTAGGCAATCCAGTCACACTCTCCTTTGCTTTTCCATTCAGTACTTTCCGCGTTTCAGCATTTCGGCAAATTTTCACGTCGCCACTGGCTACACATTGCATTGCGCCCTCGCTTTTGTCGTTTCCCTTACTCCCCTTCCTTTGCCTAGCCCCACCATGGGCCCCTTCCTCTCCTTTTTATTCTCACCTGATGGTGGTTTCTGAATCCCCATTCTAATCCACTTTTTTGTCACTTCCACCCTCCTCCTCCTCATCTTATTTGCACCCCCACCATTTCTGATGTCACCACTTCCTATCCGCTTCCATCGCCAATCCGTTGACTACCACGTGCCACTGCTGATATCAGCAAAGCCCCGGCGGCCGGTCCAAATAGGGCAACAGGTCCATCTTCATGACGTCAATCTGCCATCATATACTATCAAAACATTGGTCGCTCGTCTTGCCTGGTTGGAGCGTGGGTGGGTAGTTTTTGAGCTGGAGAAGGTTCATCTCCTTGTGTCGCCCATGTTCATCGCTGTCCCATTCACTTGGGTACACTTATCTTTTGTCCATCGTCTTCGCTACAGCTACACCTACCACACCCTGCCTGGGACTCACTTGTTCCAAATTGGAACTACTCCTCTCCCTCCCTCGTTTGATCAGGAAGTCCAACACAACCAGTCCATTGGTAAGGCCATGGAACTGTTGGATTTGGACTAGGTGGTGGACCGGTGGCTCCAGTTTCTTTTTCTTCAGCAGAACATTCATTTACAGTGCGATTATTTTTGATTTTTGAATCATTTCTATGGACACATATTTTTTAGAATGCCTGACTGACAATAAAGGAACTGTGTTGATACTGATAGTGTTTTGCCTTGCCCTTTTTTTACTGCATCTTCCCATGACATCATGATTTTCCTGCTCTCTTTTTGCTATTGGACTTTACTTTATGGCTGTACAAACCTGTGACATTACTCACAGCATTCATTGTTCTATCCCTTTCTTTTCTTTTTTTGACAATCTTATCCTGTACTACCTACGCAGGATTTGTCAGTGTACATTCCTTCCTTCATGTTCTTTCTCATTCTTTTTGCACAGCTATACTGTGCATAGCCTACTTTTCTTTTACTATATAAACCCCTGTATTTTACCTTGTAAAACAACAAGTACTCGATTCCAGACTTCTTCTCTAATCTTAAGTCCACTTCTTACTGCTACTTGTGATCCAGTGTGGTCACAACACTTCCCACTGCTACCACTGTTAATTGCTGTCATCGTCACTCCCCACTTTTGAAGTCATTGTTATCCCTTTCAATTAGAGTCCTTCTGAGCACTACAGTTTGTGCGTCAGGAGCCTGCTATCACTGGGAACCTCATCACGTCGTCATCCTCATTGTTCTCAAACCTACCTTGTGCTACAATTAGCAAGGTAGTGCTCGTCTATACTCGCCACAAAGCCCCTATCTTTCTATATTCCAACTATCCCTCCTCCTCAAAACCCACACCCATACATCTCTGGGTTTTACTTTGAAGGATCCTCATACATACCACCCCACAAACAACCAGAGCACCCACTGTTCTAGGAGGCAAAGCCCATAAACAAGTTCCGTGAAATCTGGGAGGATTGTGTGTTAGTTTGTTTTTGTGTGTGGTTTTCTAACAGCAGTTCTCATCATCAACAACGGGCAACCCAAAGGACAAGTCACCACCCCTTCTAAACTATGTCTTACCTCGGGTGATGGGATTTTGATTAGGAACCCTGAAACACAAGTTGAGGTCTGGCTTACAGGCAGTGTTGACTATGGGCTCTGTACTTTTCAGCAGAAGAAGATTGCAGTGCATTTTCTTTGTAGTACATACCTCAAGAGGCTTCTCGTCCTGTTATACGCAGACATTGTATCCAAAGGTGACATGGCCGATCTTGTCAGTAGCATCAAACATAGGATTTTCTTGGTTGAAGCAAAGAAAGACAATGAATTTTTGCTGAATTGTTTGCCAGACGCTATCAGTCAGGCTATGGTTATAAGTGAGAAGGATGGGTGCGTATTTGAGCCTCTGAAATATGGCCTATTTTCTAAAACAAATTTTAGCAAGCCTGTGCGGTTTTGCTTATCCAATGGTCAAAAATGGTTGTTTTGTTTATATCTGAAAAATGAGCAAGGTCAATGGATTGTATACAGGGGAACTCCAATTGGAATTGGAAGGCCGTCTAAAGATGAGATTCAGAAGCTTGTGGACCTTATCTATCACTGGGTGCGTGTATACAGTATTTGGTCTAAGATACATTCTAAGCGTATGTGTTCTCAGTTCATTGATTCAACAAATCCTTTGAATGAAAAACTATATTTGTTAGAGTTTCCTGAAGCCATGATTGCCTCAAGGTGGATTTATTGTTACTCTAAATTTGTGCAAGTTAATCCAAGTCCAAGGCAACAACTTGTTGCCCATGCAGTTTTCAAACAATGTTTTTTGATTTATCCCCAACTCTAAACATTAGTTGAGGAGGGTTCTGTGGGTAGCAAACAGCCATCGGCTCTGTCAATTGCTCTGCAAAATGAGGTAAATTAAATTTCTGATTAGTAATATTGTGTTTTTCCTTTTTTTTATGTAATTACTTCCTTTTCTGTAACATATTGTGTTTGTGATCCACATTACTTACACTCCAATTGTATAGTTTGTATTTGATCTCCGCCACTATTCATTATTTAGAACTCACAACCAACTCACAACAGTGGAACTTGTTCCCCGACTCCATTTAGCTAAATTCATAATGATAGACCAATATTTTGAAAAATTACATACGTAGAAGTTTGACTGACTTTTCACTGAGTTGATTTGAGTTGGAATATTAGACTAAATCTTAAAAAAAGGCTAAACTAATGTGGTTAGACTCTGACAGAGTCACATGCTGGTGGCCAGCACTGTAAATTATTCACACTCCATTTTGTCTTCTTGTATGTGTGCTCTCACATGATGGTTTATCATTATCCATTTAGCTGTACCATTGTTAACTGTCTGTTCGGATGGGGGGCTATTTAGATGTCACAGAGGTCACACAAGCTGGAGCTCCACTTGGCACTATTAGTGGTTGAACATGATTTTGAGTGTGGTGCACCTGAACTTTTTGAAATTGAGATTGCAGTACCTTAGTAGAGTGTTGTTATGATCTCTATTGGACATTTAAGGACTACTCATTTCTTTTTACTCATCGGTTATACCATCGGACCGATGACTCATTTCCTTCACGTACACTTCCGTTCCTCTCGCATTCACAGTACCTATTATAGTACCTAGTCCTCAACAGACGGACCTGCCCTAGATAGGACCTAACTCCTATCACCGATTCCTTTCCATTATAAATACCATGTAACAGCAGTAGTATTCTCCAATACAATTCTACGCAGTTTACGCTTACAAAGCTAGACTCCTAAGATCAGACTTCTACTCAGAAGAAGACCAACTCTTGTTGGAAGACCTCCACTCAGAACTATGTTCTCGAACTTGTCTTCGGATAAGTCTCTTTATAAACCTCGACGAACCCTCAGACTTTGTTAAGCACTTCGTGCGTAACAAGTGTTACTTTCTCGAAAGTCACACACATGGAAGGAGCTCACTCAATAATTCAGGATTTTGTGCTAGGAAAGTTGGAGTAAGTGGTAAGAATACATAGAACTGCTATGGGTTAAGTCATTGAGGAAAAATGACAGTGGAATGTATGTTTTCAGAAATGTCCAAATATCCCCCCCCCCCTTCATCTGAACTGACGGTAAACAATTGTATGGAGGAAGGGTTATCTGTCATATCAATTTGGACGCCTGTCTGCATTCTGATGTGCACACAGTTTTCTGGGAAAACAAAATAATGCCAATTAGTAAATAAATAAAGCAAAATAACAATATTAAGGTTCTGCCACCTTCCCCAACTCTGAACTAGTGTTTGAGTTTGCACCGGTCCAACTTGCATATCAACTATATCAACAACACTCCCATATGCCCCTGCCAGTGCTTGTATACTAATACTACTGCCTGCTTTCAGCTAAGTCATTAGTCTTTTGACCAGCATTATATATAAAGAGCTCTGTGATATGTGACAAACTTTTACTGTGACAAATACAGTATGCAACTGATCTGTCCTGGTCTTAATATACTGTATGGACAATAATGCAGTAGTGTTGCACACAGAAATTCTGGTTATAAAATGTTTCCTGAAGACAAATTGCTCACTCAGAAGACCTAGACCTTGATTTGGAGATGTCGGATTATAGTTCATAATAATGGTGTGAATCTTTGTACCAGCCTAAGGAAAATGGGTGTTTTTTTGGTAACATCATGTTGTCTTCTATCAGTGTCAGTAAACAAACCTGTATATGCTCTTGAAAATGAAGTTGGCACAACAGTTTTCATGCACAAAGTTTTAGCATTGCCTTAAGATTTGTTTGTGTTTACCCTAGAGTCGGGGATTGGCGCCGCTACGATTTATATAAATGATCTACTATGTAGTTGTTTTACTACTAGACTCGGTATGAATCGCGTGACTCTGTGAGATCCTATCCAATCCGGTACAAATTGTGTCATTTTCGACCGTGACTGGACTGATCTTTGACCCCGGTCAATATGCGTACCCTTTCTCTGTCCTCTGAACCGCCCACAGCTTCCATTGTAGAATTAAGCTCCATGGAATATAAGGCAATACCACCTGCAATCTCTAAACCTGTAGCACTGTCATCAATCCCACCACCAACCTCCAAAATACCGTCCGTCACGCTCGATAGCGATGTCATCACAGACAATATGGCTGCAAGGCTTTCCATGAGTTTTCTGGGCCATGTCATGTTCTTGAAGAGTCAAGTTCCTTTGTTGGTCTGCTATCTTCAGCACTCATCGTTCGGGTCTTAATGCTGCCTTTCAGTCCAGTCATACAGCTGGCGCGAATGCCTGGCAGTAATGTAAGCTTTTATCGAGTCTTTTACCATTCTCTGGAACTTGATTAATTCGCCCTTCAAACAAGACAAACAATCGCGCGTCCAAAAAGCGAGCTGAGCTGCTGAACTCGCTTGACACTCTTGCATCGCATTTGAACACGACATTCACCTCTCTATCCACAGCCATCGCGCTGAAAGAAAAGTCGGGCGCCAGAGACTCGGATGGTAGCATCAAAGATAGCTCCCAGCACGATCAGAGCAGAACATCAGTTGCCTATCTTGCTATCGTACTGGGATCAACTATCGGTGCAGCTAAAGCCCGGGTGATACTTGGTGTAAATGGTCTGGAAATCAAAGTCTGGGGCGAGAGAGAAGAACTCAATGTTGAGGGAACTTCGTCTGGTACGGATTCGGAAGATAACGAAGAAAGTCTCGAAGGTTCAGGTTCTGGCGAAAGCTCCAGCAGTGATGGCAGTGAATCAGAGCGAGACTCTGGTGCAGAGTCGGAACATGACGATGATGAGGCAGATTGTTTGAGTGATCGGGATAGCCAATCAGGGAGTGAAGCAAGCTGTTCAGACTCGTGCGAGTCTCCACCTCGTTCTCGAAGTCCATCTCCCACACCGTCATATCAATCGACACCCGACTCGGAAGCGCCGTCTCCGCCGCCATCACCATCAAGGCGTTTCCAATCCCATGCTGAAGAACAAGAGACTTTACGAACTGCTGAGAGACTTCTTTCACGGACGTTAGCGAGTGCCTGTGCAGAAGGAGAAGACACAGGAATGGCTTCTGAGATGGGTAAGTAAAATTGATGGACCCACAGTCAATATACGAACTTTATTGTTTCCCTTTAGCGCCAACACAGACGCATATACTCCTACGTGCACCCAGGAGATTTGTACATCCTGCTTGGATACCGAGACAGAATCTCAATAATTCGATGGACGATACTCTCGCAGACTTTCTACAAGAATCCCGCCCAGGAAATAGCCCGCATGGTATCAAAAAGAAAAGATCGAAGAAAGGAATCAAAGTTGAGGGCGTGTGGATCAAATCTCGGGGAGTTGGTGTAGAGGACCCGACAGAAGACAACGACGAAACTATTGCAGAGGAAGACGAGTATATTTGGTGGACTTGGGATGGAAAGCTAGCCGGATTTGCTGACTGGTAGATTCACTGACCCTATTCGTGGTTTCTTTACACTTGCACCAGTCATCATAACCTGACAAGAAGTGAAGCGGAACATATTGTATCGAACTACTGTAACAGTACCAAAATAAAAATACATGCATCATCCAAAGGTCCGCGGATTAGCAGAAGTGAAAGAGGTCTGCTGCCAGGGGTTAATTACCCTCTCCAAATATAACTTTCGTTATATAGATACCCGTCTCTTGTAAACTTCACTCCTTCTTTGGCTAGCATTTCCATCTTTCGGTTGCACTGTAACCCAGTCGTCTTGCCGTCTTTACTTTTAGCGTCAACACCCCACTCGCCGTAGAAACCGCCGATATACAGATTGGACGCGACGATGCGATGACATGGTACAAATGGTGCAAACGGATTGTTGCGCAATGCAGATCCAACTGAAAAGTCCATGTCACCATATATACGATGGAAAGACGAGATGGAGCTTACTAGTGCGAGGAGACCCCTCTCCAAGGGCAAGACAGATATCCTTGTACGTAGTCACGCGTCCCACAGGGATTGTCCTGACATAGTCATATACTTCCCACCGATGAGGTGTTACATGCTATGGCAGAAAAGAAAGCTCAGTAAATGAATCGGAAATACCAGACAACGCGTAAAATTACCTTTCCAGCTGCTGTTTTATACGAGGCTCGCTCTGAAGCGGTGAGCGGATATTTTATATTGCCTTAGAGGGTCATTCAGAAGCCACAATGCGTTTCGCAATGATAGCTCACAAACTGCGAGGTCTTGAGGTTCATCGCTTACAGTAAAAGCTTCAATGACTGATTTGCGCGTCTTGAAGGTAGAGACTCGGATAGTTGTAATTTTGTTTCCAGTGGTGGTTCTGATAGCCGGCATTGTTAACTTGGAATTTGTATGTGTATAATATTTATGATGGTGGTTAAAAGTAACGTGGAGTGCCCTTTTCGTGTGGGATGTCTGACTTTTGTGCTTATCGTCGCGAGTCAAATCCGAAGGCGTAAATCACTTGTGCAGCACGTGATCTCACCCCCCCTGCAGCTTTTTCGTGCCCTCTCTTATTTCTCTTGAAAAAAATCTTGACTTATGTCAAGAACCACCAACTTGCTTCTTGCCCAATCGAAGTCAATGAGATTCATATTGCAAAGTAAACAATTATCTACGCAAATGAATAGGTGGATCATACTGTAACATCTACCAGAAACTCGCTGGCAAGTCTAAGCCTTGGTCTTGTCTCCCACCAGCCTCTTTCCCAGAATCCTCATACCTCCAAGAGCAGTCAGAGCTCCGCCAGCAAGAACAGGGCCTGCTGCTGGCGCAGCTGTCATTGCAAACGATTGTACTGCGGAGAAAGCACCACATGTGGCGGCACCGTATACAGACGATTGAACCCCAGCGGCAATTGAGCCTGTTCCTTTGTCAGAACCAATAATAACTAGGCATAAAGTATGAACTAACCTCCAACTGGCCCTGCGGCACTGAAGCCAGCTGCGTTCGCAACCATTAAACCAACCGTGGGGAGAACAATCGCGCTTCCAACTACTGTAAGGGCGATACCACCAGAGATCGCAAGAGCGGGATGTTCGTCGTGGAATTTTTTGATATCTTTGAGTTCGAGGGCCCGTACATCTAAGGGTAATGATTAAGGTAAAGTTATGAGAATACATCGTGATGGGCCTACGGGAAATTCACCTGAAAACGCTTCTCCTACTGTGGCTTTCATACCTTGAAGGTCACTTCCTACCGTGGCTTTCATCTCCTGAAGTTCACCTCCTACCATGGCTTTTATCCCTTGAAGCTCGTCTTTTATAGCCTCTCGCAGAGGAGCGGCCTTATCCACCCATTTACCAAGGTCTGACCCGGATAATTGAGCCAATGTAGGTTTGTATTTCCATAGCTCTAACCTCTGTGCAGCGTTTGTTGCCGCGGCGATTGTTGACACCATCTCCTACGAGTTGTAAGAGTAAAATTGTGCTCTATACAGTAACTCAAGAGGGTACGGAACGATGTATGGTAAATGTACCACAACTTGAACCCCGCACAGCCAAAATAACAAGTGTATACAGGTTGTACCCACAAGTAGTTCATAGCTCGCCTTATATGGGGTAGGACAGAATAGACGCTGAGGCACTTTGACACGAACCAGTACACTTATATCAAGTTAGAGGCGGACTCATGTACTGTATCTGCGGCACGGTGCTGCCTAGGAGCTTGATTGTGACTGGCCAGCGAGTAACAACAACTGTGTATATAACACGAACATGTCGTTGGTACACTGTTAATATAAACATTGATATACGCCCTTACAATTAATATAAGCAACAACATGGAAACTGACTGCTCGTGCATTACAAGATCAGGTTTATGTGGTAGCAGTGCCTATTCACGGGGTATCCCTAAAGCCCATCAAATATTGCATGATCTGGAACGCAGCCTAAAGAACAACGAAGAGAATAAATATTGTTCAAGTCTTTGAATAATCCAGTGTATTACCACAGGAGCGAATTGGGGAACCCTGAGGTTCCCTGATTTCTCCAGGGTTATCATTAATGATGCCACCATGACAGATGACACTACTCACAGATCATGCTATTAAGATACGCCATTGTCATGTAAGTCAGCAGAACTGATGAGAGGCATTACACTTACTTCTGGATTATGATCCTCATTCTTGATGACAGACATCAGCTCCATGTTCAGAACACAACAGAAAGACTCACCCTTCAGCGATAAGAATGAAATCAGCAAGGCCATGGATGATCACACTCCTCTGGCTCTTCTCAATCACGTTCGGCAGAACAGTGGACGCTGGAAGCAAGCTTCCATCTCCGTTGGGGAAGACGTTGACGTTTGAGCATTTGGTCCATTCCATATCAACAGCCTGACATCGCTCCGGATAAGATTAGATCATCCTATGAACCGTGTGAGAATGGACGGTCAGACTGTCCGTTTTTGCACGGTCCAGCAGCATGGCACTGCTCCCCCCGAGTAATCTATCAACATCCGCTCTTTCAATGTCCACCCATATTGCACCAAATATCTTGTCTGAGGATCAAGTCCAGCCCATCCTTGAGCAAATTGTTATGCACTTGAAGCATAATTCTCCATATATGTCCAGGTGAGAAATCATTCTCTGGCTACATTCCTGATCTGATTTTTTCCCCTAGCAATTTTATATTGAACCATCAAGTTTCCCTGAGTTTGTGGACAAGCTCAGAGAAACCGACTACAGCACTCTAAGGTATGATTTTTTGTGAGTGAGTATACTGTACTTATGTCCCTACTTCCAGATATATGTATGACCATATGAAAAGCATCCTGCAACTGAGCATGCCTACTCCTGTACATGAAGTTTTCATTGAGCGCCTCAGTGAACTTTTACAGGGGAAACTGTCAGGCCTTATCAGACGGTCAGATGGGAAGTTCAAGTTGAGTTCTAATACGTCCAAGTTCCTCCGGCGAGGTCAAATCACCACTGTACCCAACTTAGTCCTCAAGTTCCAAAGCCTCAACCCTAGCACTGAGTGGCAGGAGTTGTTCATTGTTGAGGTCTCCCACTCCCAGTCACTTGGCAACGTCACCCAGAAGGTGAAAAAGTACTGGGAGGAGCTCCCCCACCTTGTTGGCATTCTAGTTGTCAAATTCTATGAATTCCACAAATACGCAAAACCCCAATATGGGTATGCTGAACCTGTCAACATGCAGTATTGGTACAACTTACAAAAGGATGACAATATCAAATATGGCCCTCTGAGGACAGCTGATGGCGTAACATGGGCGGGTACATTTGTGGTGGATATGTACCTCTATGAAAAGGATCAAAAGACTGTGGGGAAGGAGGACTACGCAAGGGATCTTCCTATGCCCGTAGTACTGGTGCATTCCCTCTTGATCACAACATTCTTTGTCTAATATAACATACATACAGAGGGTAGTACCTAATAGAGATGTGGGCCAACTCTATCCCACTCAAGCCCAGAAAGATGAATTCAACGAAGTTTTCAATCGTGTTATTACCAGGTCAATTTTGGAGATGGAGAATATTATGAGGAGTGCACCCCAGACTATTGCTAACCTAGAAGCTGAAATTGTAGCTGCTCAGATTGCAGCGCTAGAGGTTGCTACCCAGGATTTAATAGCAAACTGCACTGGTGTTACAATAACACAATTTTCGGACCTTTCCTTCTTTTTCATTCTCCGATTTAACCTTGTACTTTAGCCTTCACACATGGTGCCACGCGGCACTTCCCTTTTTCCAAACTCCTCTTTCTTGCGCCACGTTGCCTTTTTTCTTATTTTAGATACAAGTCTCTCACACAGTGGAGCTGGCCATGCAGGCTAGGCCCCATAACATCACCAGCCACTGTCTCTATCAACTGTATAGTACACATGTACAAACAACCCTGTAGTAGTATATATACCTCAATAGATCCAGGAGACTCCTCAGCAAGTCCTCCTGTTGTATACCAACAAACTCTCTGCAGCTTAAAGGGTAACCACTCCCTCAAACATCTTCTTTATAGTGTGTTCTTGTGTGCACCAGAGTAACTAACTCTTGGTTATTACAACTGGTCGTCCTCCTCAGAGTGGTACCCATTCACGCACCCCCACCACTACTCTACCTACTCCCCATTTGTGCCCCCAAGTATTGCCTAAAGAGATATCTCCCATTGATCTCTCAGTCTTCAAAGTCCAGCTGGATTTTGATAACTTTCTTCAGGCTTTTCAAGGATCTGTAGCTGATCTGGCACATAGATGTTTTCAGGATCATTATAATGCCCCCCAAAGTCATGCTAAGGCAGCTAGGAGAAGGAGTCCTTTTCACTCTGAAGAAGAAGTGGGTCGGCTTGTTCAACAGAGATTGGGTGGAGTTATCTCCAGCAATGCTAACAATATCATAAGGGGGCAGTGAGAAATGGACAAGGCATTATATGTATTAATTTTCTTGTACTTGTAAACAATTTGTTACTTGAGACATATACAACCTCTTTTTGTTATAACAGCAGGTCTCCATAGGGGCATCTTGGGACAATATTGCAACAGTACCAGCCAACAGTTACCAGGTGATGCTAGAGGAGGACAATGAGTGGGACAACATTAACCACAGAAATTCTCAGGCTCCCTCATCAGTGGCGGTGTATTTGTGGAGGTACTCAACAATGATTGGGTGATATTACACTATGGATTCTGGGAGACAAAAGTCACCAGACCTTAGGGACACATATTGGCTGCAGCCATCAACAGAAACTGGCTGCCCTCACTTGGCTGTGTGTGCATCAGGGGGAGGGAGTTTACTGCCCCACAGATGGATGACATCTTCACTCATGCACACAAGGCCAGTGCATATATCCAGCTGCACCAAGTTAAAGCCCTAGTGGCAGAGGCTCAGCAACATGTGGCCAATAGAAACCCATCCTGACCCACAAATATATACTTGCCAACTGGAGAATACCCAACTGGGTGAAAGGAAAGGAAGAACAAACAGCAAAAGCAACAGCTTCTACATTAGCGGCTACAGAAGGCAGTAAGCCAATCATTGCAAAAGCACCCCATAAGAAGAAGGGCGTCCTAATGCCAAAGCTGACTGGACTAGCATTGGAGTGGGTGAACTGACTCATCAGGAAAAACCCAGATGGCTATGATAGCTCAAATAGCACTATATGGGTTATAGCTGGTATAGTTGGTATAGACTGTTACGCACAAAGTGCTTAACAAAGTCTTGTGTTTGTTCAAGGAGTTATCTGTAGCTTATCTGAGGATAAGTTCAAGAGCACAGTTTTGAGCAGAGTTCTAGTGAGAGGAAATCACTTGTTCTTCTGGTAGGAAGTCTGGTTCTTAGAGTCTAGCTTTGTGAGTGTAAACTGTGTAGAATTATGTTGAGGAAAATACTACTATGTGTACATGGCTATATATAGGCAATGTCATCGGTGATGGGAGTTATGTCCTATCTAGGGTAGGCCCATCCGTTGAAGGACTAGTACTATGACAAGGTAATACAAATGCAAGAATATCAGAAGTATTCGTGAAGGAATATAAGTCATCAGTCCGCTGGTATAACCGATGAGTAAAGGAAAATGACTGGTCCATGAAAAGAAGTAAAAGTGAAGTAGAAACTGTAACATAGACAAGTACCTATTGTAACACTCTACATAGCTGGCATGTAGCTTTATCAGCTCTGATAGCTGTGTATAGTTCATATAGCTCCTATAGTTCTTATAGCAATATGATGGCTGACAGCAAAAAATCTATTGATTATGGAAATTGAACCCACAACCACATATTAACCACTTTTTTGAGCTTACTAAGCATTTACATACCAGAGTACTTATTCACTACACCATGTAGGCTTATAAGGATTTCTGATAAGTTGTTGTTGTAACTTGAAGCTGCCTTGTATTTATGGAGTGTGAAATAAGTAGCTAGCTAATGAGGTATAGCACCTATGCAATGTTCTAGCAATTATTCTGATGATTATTCTGACTTTTTTAAAGATCCTTTTATCAAAACATTTTAGCTAGCTATATAGTACTATAGGCAGCTATAAGATACACTATAGATATGGTACCTGATAATCAGAAAATTAGTGATATTTTTGATGTTGGACTTACTTTTACTAAATAATGAGACTCAAATAGACAATCCCTAAAGTATACAATAGACAATTGGTATTGTATTGTATCACTGACATATAGCTACTATATGGTGCTCTTCACTTAGCCACCACCTGTTTTGTGCAATATTCCCACCCCTTTAAGAAAAAATCTGATTTTATTTTTGTCTTACCAAAATGATCCTTTCAACAAGAGGAACAAAACTGTAAGAGCATTTTTTTATTGGATTAAAATTGGCGGATATAAATATTTACAGAGGGGGTAATTTGGCCAGTGTGACAACACCAACAAGACACAGTCTTGGGGCACTGGAGCACAACGAAACAACACTCAAAAGAAGAAGAAGAGGTGGGAGTGGTTACCCATTTGGTAGGACCAAGTTGGTTGTTGGTAGACAACGGGTGGAATCGCTGAGTCCTTCCCCATGTATTGCTCCTGTATATACACTAAAATATATGAGGTACTGTACAGTTGTAAAAAAAATTTAAAGTCCGATGCTTAGCATGTGACCGGTCACATGATGAGTCTAGACATTGGTCAGGTGTTGTGTCACATGACTGGTCATATGAAAAGTCAAAAATATAAAGTAAAGTAAATGGTCACATGACTGGTCATGTGACTTGGAAAAATAAAAGTAAAAGTACGAAAAAAGTGAAGGGTAAGTAGGTACTGGTACGTCGATTGTAACAGCCAGCACATACACATATTGTCCATTTTCAGTCAAAAAGGTGTGCTATGGTCTCCGGAACATGTCTTTGTGATTTATATTTTGTCGAGCTGAATTTCTTAAACTGTAACTGTGCACCTCTGGTCCCCAAGCTTGACTAATATGCCTTCATCCACCTGTGCATGCAAAGCTCCCACAGCCGTATTGTGCTCAAATGCACAGATTCCAAGGCCTTTGGCATATTTGTCTTCAGTGTTTCAAAAGTGCAGTCACAGTTGTCACAGAGATATTTCTTAACTCGGCCCCAAAACAATTCAATGAAATTAAGTTCACAATTGAACTTGGGCAAAAATATGCAAAGGTGTCCAGCATTCTCAATAACTTCTTGAACAAGATATTGTTGCTGTTGAAAGTCGGGCTGGAGTTCCAAGATACGCTTGTTCAGCAGGCTGTGGCACGACCTTCACATTTGGATGCACACTTTCCATGATGATGTGGCTGATAGAGACCACATTCTGTGAGAACAGCTTTGATCCCTTTTGGCTCGTTAGGATACTGTGGATGGCTGGAAGGGAATACCATTTCTTGCTCCACTCTGACTCCATCTTGAATGAACCAGTCATTCCGCATGCGAGCCTGTTTGCCACCAGGATTAACATTTATACAAGACGCTACCAGAGCATCAGCAGCATATGCCGAGTGCCTCTGAGAGTTATCAATCAGAAACAAGGCCTGATACCCAGCACTGTGGACTTGTTCAAATGCAGGTATGATTTTTTCTGCAAGCTGATGGAGAAATGCTCAAAGGCCAGATTCAACTTCTAGCTGAAAGAGCAAACACTGACTTGTTTCACAAACATCTTGCCATTCCAGTAGCCTTTGTAATTCTTCCCATACTCCAAACTTGAAGATTGCCCTGCTTCTGCAATATGACCAACAGTCAAACAGATTACATTGCTGCAATAGATTCCTCGCCCTGCACCTTTTTTTTATAATGCATGCTTGTCCTCCAAAACCCAGTATTTGTCAGCGCTGTCATTTGCCTGTGCAGTCATCTCATCATGGGCACAAATAACAAAGTGCTGCTCAACATAATCTTGAGGTTTGGTAACCAGTTCAGAGTCCACATCCCCAACAACATAATGAACCAGCCTTTGCGCATATTTCTTCATCTCTGGCAAAAAGTGGCTCTGGCAATAATCCACAACATCATCTGGTTGGTCATGTCCATCAAAATAAAGGGCCTTTTTATTAAGAACAAAGCTTGAAGGAAGTGTCTAGCCACTTGCTGAGAGCAATCAGGGACTGGAACTAGAGTCCAATGTGAGTAACTATATTATTAGAGAGTATGACAGGTATACAGTACCTAGAGTCCAATGTGAGTAACTAGAGAATAGGAAGCATTGGACTCTGCAATACTGTCCGAAGTTTTGTAAACAAAGGTAAACAAAGCAGCCACAAAGGCGAAATAATAGAGAACACAATCAATAGTGAATGATAGAAGAATAGATAGAGAAAGGAATGAAAATATATAGGTAGCACAAAGATGCAGAATCACCAAAACTAACACTTTTTGTGTGAGATATAGCGAAATCCTTCACGGTGCAACCACCAACAAGCAGTTGACAGAGAAATTCCTCAACCAACTTTGAGGTGAATTTATGGGAATAACTTGAGCTCAAAATGCTTCTTAAGCCCGCATGGCATTTCCTCATTAACAATCTGACGGCCATATTTCTCCAATTCAGCTGGAATCAGTTTGCTTTGCGTGAACTGTGCTAATTTCTCTGGGTTTGTGGCCCACTTGTGTGAACAAACATATTCCCGCAATTCAGTGGCAACAACAGAATCCCAGAGGAGTAAGTAGACCTTGGCATGCTGGCCTGTCTGTGACTTTGGGAGCTCCCGTTGAGAAATTCACAACCTCGCCCACTTGCAAAGCTACTGGCCGCCTAAAGCAGCAGCAAATCTGTGGTTTTCTGCTGCCCGTACTGAAGCATCAGTTAATAGGTGACCATTCTTTATAATGAGTGCAAGATGGCTCTGAATAGCTCATGTGCAGTGTGCCTGCAGTCCACTCGGTCCACCAACAAATATTGTCTTCTTTGACTTAATCAGCTTCTCTATTGCCTAAAGAGCATTCCTTAGCTCGTCCATTTTCCTCTCCCTCTCTTCCCTCCAATGGATGCGGTAAGGCACGTCAAGTTTCTGCTGTTTAAGCGGAGCAGTAGCAGACAGACAGTTGGTTTGCCCTTTGGTCTGAACTCCCGCTCTGCACTTGTTTTAATCTGACTCATAGCCAGTTTTGTCATCACCTTCAATGTTTGTGTCTTTGGAGAGATATCCAGTGTAAGTTTTCATCTTTCTGGAGCTGGACGAATCATCAGACCAAGCAGATGGCACCAGTGTGTTCAATGAGTCATGGGGCACTGGCTGGGACTGATTCGTGCTTGCTCGCACAAACACTCTCTGCATCATGGCAGTTTGTGGGTCATTGCTACATGTGTGGTGAGCATGGCACCAGATCAAAGCTTTTAATTTATCAAGACTTACCACATTTTTGCTTCTCTACACTTCTCTATGCATTCTTGCGCTGCTTGGTCCTGCCTTTAATGTGTCCATGCAGAGTGTCCATTGTATCCAAGTGTTCTGTTTGCCTCAGCTGTTTTCCAATCAGCAAACATTCTTGTTGTTTGAATCTCCTCAAATCCAGTGCAGTTTCCCAAGGCCTCAACTTCTGCTCTGAGCTCCTGCAGGTTTGCTTCCAGCTCATCACCCTCCATTTTACAGATGCTCTCAGAATCCGACCAACTGCTCTCAGGATTCAATGGCATTTCATACTTGCTGCTACTGGGCCAGCAGACATTAACCCCATCGGAATCACATTCCAAGTCCAGCTCCATGGGCGTGTATCTGGGTCTGGCATGGTCTGCTGGTGCAAGATGCATGGCCATGTCATTGTCAGCATCTCCCTCGAGCCATTCAGGTGTCGCTCCTGCACAGTATTGGACTGCAGATTCTGGTCCATGTTTGGGTGTAGCGGTGACTCTGCTAGTGGGCCATCTTGCAGCTCTTGCTCGAGCAGCCTTCAGTTTTTGGGCTTTCTTGGACATCGGGGGGAGGGCAAGATAGTGTCTCATTCAATCCACCACTCATCTCGTCCCTCAGTACTGTACATAGGGTTAGGGTTAGTTTGTTAACCACATCAATTTGGCCACTGCACCAAACAAGCAGCGCCTAAGTGAAGAGCACCATAGCTCAAAATCAATTCTTATAGCTCATATAACCAAGGTGCTGTGTGAATTGAGTAAGTGTGTGATAATAAAGAGTGAACCAATAATACCGGCGTTGAGGCACTCAAAGCTTCAATAGAACACTTTACATGTTGACACCATTTTCTGTAAGCTGTTAGAGTATGTTGGAGAATTGGTCCCTCAGAGCATAGGAGTAAGCATGGGAGAAGGATCTTTTGGCAAATGAATGCCATAAAATGTAAATACCATGTAAAAAAGTATTATACTATCATTGGACACTGGATGCATCAAGAAGGCCCTAGTTGGCTATGAAAGTTTATATTAGTGACATCCAACATCACGTGAGGTGACAAGTCTGTGACAGTCCTGAAAGACAAGTGATGCCGGGGTGCCAACGAGGATAAGGCAGATTAGCAAGTTCCATCAACAGGACAGGCGGATCAAAGACACTATGCTATGAGTGATGATACTATCACCAAAAGATATACTGTAGTACTATTATGTGCTAGATATGTGGTTAGTATAGATATGAATTAAATCTCACTCATGAACTAGCTCAGTGGAATGAGCATCATCAAACTCCTTCATATTGCTTTCCGGAAGGACCCAATGCCCACGATACTTCTTGATAGCCCATGTGGCCTGCATGCTATTGAGGCCCTTCTGATACCCATCAATAAACTGCCGAGATCTGATTGCAAATCTAGAAAATATTGGTGCCTTAATGGATTTTGTTTATTTACAATTTCAGTCAGAAGATTATAGCCTGTCTACAACAACAAATGTAATAACTTTCTTCAAACTGCATGGATGAAAAACCAGAAACCGCAAGAATTTAGGAAATGCAAAAATGCTACACTTTGCGGTTGTCAATTTTTCTTAGACATCGACACAGAGTAAATTTTGATTTGTTCTCATCCTGTCACGATTCTGTAACACCAAAAATGTGACATAGGATGCCCCCACATGAGGCCTACCTTACATACTTCAGATAACACCTTGAAGCAGGGGCCACCTTGTTGTGGTTTACTTCTTTATTTTGAGGAGCAAAGGTACCTAAGCTCTGAAAATTTTTCCCTGAGCTTTCATCTCAGTGACCTATTGGTTGTAGAAGAAAGCCTGGATTTTTTTATACAAATGGCTGACCAATGTATTAAACTGATTGTCTGGCTGTTCATTCTCTAGTTGGTGCACCTGACACCCTTTGTTTTGGTTTTGGGCAGCCTGCACCCTATTTCCACAACCTCAGGACATGTGTCCCTCTTGGCCACAATTGTAGCAGTTGCCTGTTACAACCAAAGTTTCTATACTCTGGTGCACGGCAAGGATAGGCAAGGAGGGGTGAAACTCCCTTAGATAGAATCAAGTTAGTTGACGGTATTTAACAGGAGGACTTGCTGAGGAGTCTCCTTGATATATTGGGGTTTATTCCTGGTACCATAGGTTACCAGGTCTCACAATTAGCTACCAACATTGGTTTTAGCCCTAGTCTGCCGCTCTGACTTTCCATGGGCATGTGTGCACTTTTGAGTTTTGGTTGTCGTGCCACACACACTGGATCTATTCTCACACTCCCCCTCCTTTCATTCCCCCTCTGGTCATCATTAAACATTATAGACCCAAGGGGGCAACTACTTCCCATGGGTGCCATTATCACTACAACACTGAAGAGGGTATCACTTCCCCTTGAGTGGCAGGGGAAATGTCATGTGTGTCAAAGACAAAGACCTAAGGCTCTACTGTACAATTTGTAAGTCAAACCTCATGCTACAACATGTGCCACTATGGTTGTGGTTGGCTGGGACCAGGGTTGCCCGGAGGGCCATAATATATAATACATCTACAGACTATTTGTACATGTGTATTATACAGTTAATAAAAGTGGTGGCTGATGATGTTATAGGGTGCAGCCAGCCCATATGACCAGCTCCACCACGTGAGAGAGTTGTAGCTCAAAATAAAAGCAAAGCAGTGCAGCATGAGAAAGTGAAAGTATAAATGGACTTTGAAATAAAAAGGAAAGTGCCACATGGCATAAGTGCCCAAAAGGAGAAAGAAGTTACAGCTGATATGGAAAATGTTGGCTGTGCCAACATTTTCTCTTGCATGTATTGTAGCTTAATAATATGGTCTAAAATCCAAAAAAGGAATAACATAGAATCCTAATATGCAAACATGTAACCTGGATTGATAACACTTTTTTGATTGACTACCATGCCCTACAGACACATTAGCAAGGATATCAAGGAGCATGCTCTTTGGCTGATAGAACACAGCTACATCTGCAACATTTTTGGCATCTCTGAGCATTCTCTTTGCTGCTAGCAGGCCAATCATGAGACATTCGGCTCTGTAGCACCTCCTATATACCCTATTCAAGGCTGCCCACATATCCTCAATGCAAACCAAGCCGAGGGAATATATTCACTGCTTGATAATGTTCCGGAGATATACCTGGACAAAATTCAAGACTGGTTAGTACTTGCACATGATGTGCACACATCAAAGACCGCCCTTTTCAAGAATATTAGAGATGCAGGGCTGACCTATAAGATACTGCAAAAAACAGCATCAGACAGAGATAATGATTTAAGGGAGGAGTGGTTGCAGGACATAAACACACACTTCACAGCCAGGCAATTTATCATGATTGATGAAACCAACAAAAATGACTGGACAATCTATCAATACTATGGACAGGCGCCAAAAGGTCGTCGTGCTATGGTTCAGGCTAATTTTGTCTGGGGAGAACACTACGGTCCAGGAGCGGCACTCACACTTGATGGGTATCTATCTGCCATGGATATATTCCATATCACTGTCAATGGCAAGGACTTTTTTGATTTTTGTTTTAAACAGTGTGGTATGCTTTCTCATTTATATTTACACTTATTGTTCTGATGTGTTACTACTGCTTATGATGAACCCATATCCTCAAGACAAAAATATTATTATCCTCAGCAGCTGTGCAATACACAAACTGAATGCTCTGCAGGAAGTCATAGAAAGTATAGGGTGTATGTTGATTTCTTTGCCACCCTACTCCCCAGACTTGAATCCTATCAGGGAGAGCTTTAGTTGTGGTATGGTTTGGTCTTTTTAGCTTGATTTGTAGGCTGTGTCATACCCGTACCAGAGGACAAAACTCCAGAATCTCCAAAGGAGATACTGTATTTCCTCAAGTCCAAACCTCCCAAACCTTTGGTATTCTCAGGATTATGCTCCTCATGGCCTGCTGGTCGGCATAACCTGTGCCCCACCCCCACATGGTACTCCGGACTCCTGTTCTGATACTCCTGCACCGGACTTCTAGTCCGTCATATGCTTTCCTATGCACATTCTTGTACTCCTCATGGACTCTGTAATTTAGACCTTATGATACACTCCTTGCACATATGTTTCTGTCTCGCTAGATAATTGTCCGCATGGAACTCCGTACCTACATTACAAGTTACTCCTTATGAGCTCCTACTCCTCCGTTAGTATATAAGTTGTAGCTCCTGTACTCCGTTCCTGCAGTTCAAATATCAACTAGATTCCCTCGCCTTTTTACAAGTCCCTTTCTAAGTCTTTCTAACCCTTCTCCGAAGGATCTTTACTCTGCTCCCTTTTCATCCTCTACTCTCATCTGTCTTTTCCAACAAGTTAGGGATCAAGGTCCATGGAAGGGCCTAGTGCAAGAGCTAAGCCAATTTCCCACCTTGTACTCTGTTACCCCCTACTCCATCTCTGTACTCTGTAAGGTCATGGTTCTGACAGGCTGACATTTTGTGTTTTTTAGTCAAAGGCTGGATTCACTGTAACTACCTTCACATTCAAGTGAAGCAGCTTCAGGATACTCTTGTTCTTGAGGCCGCATATGCTGCGACAGCTAACAAGGATTGAGGGTGATTTTCTCACTCTGGATATAATATAGAGGCTATTTTGTAGTATATATCTGTTGTTCTCTGTGTAAAAATGCACATAACATTATTGTATTGAGTCCAATTACAAAGGTAAATGAGTGTGGGTAAAACTAAATACTGTGATCTTTCTTATATCTATTCTACATCTTCAGAACACAAGCCCAGGTGAGATGCTTGAATTCTGCTTCCCTATGCTGTTGCTCTATAATGGTCGTCAAATCATATCCCCCACACAAGGCCAGTTATAATCACAGAATAAATTTTCGGGTGAAGGTCCGAAATTCACTTACATTATATAATATAATTTTTACAGTGGCACGGTGCTGCCTAGAACTTGATTGTGACTGGTCAGCGAGTAACAACAACTGTGTATATAACACAAACATGTCGTTGGTACACTGTTAATATAAACATTGATGTACGCCCTTACAATTAATATAAGCAACAACATGGAAACTGACTGCTCGTGCATTACAAGATCAGGTTTATGTGGTAGCAGTGCCTATTCACGGGGTATCCCTAAAGCCCATCAAATATTGCATGATCTGGAACGCAGCCTAAAGAACAACGAAGAGAATTAATGTCGTTCAAGTCTATGAATAATCAAGTGTCTTACCACAGGAGCGAATTGGGGAACCCTGAGGGAAGTTCGACCAGGTCAGTATTCGTTTGTGACTGGATGAGAACGAAGTCTTACATGTGTCCACTGAGAGCGACTTCGAAATACGTTAAGCCTCGCTCAGAATGCATATTTCCATATGCGCCAACTCCATCGACGATGAAGCTGTCGTTCGCGATGGGCGCTTGGAAACCTTGCATACCGTTCCCTGATTTCTCCAAGGTTAGCACAAGTGATGCCACCATGACAGACGATATTACTCACAGGTCATGCTATTAAGATACGCCATCGTCATGTAAGTCAGCAGATCTGATGAGAGGCATTACACTTACTTCTGGATCACGATCCTCGTTCTTGATGACAGACATCAGCTGCATGTTCAGAACACAACGGAAAGACTCACCCTTCAGCGATAAGAATGAAATCAGCAAGGCCATGGACGATCACACTCCTCTGGCTCTTCTCAATCACGTTCGGCAGAACAGTGAACGCTGGAGGCAAGCTTCCATCTCCGTTGGGGAAGACGTTGACGTTCGAGCATTCGGTCCATTCCGTATCAACAGGAGCGTGAATAGCTTCCTTCACCTCTTTGCGATTAAAGTATATAGGAGACTGCTGTTGAGGGAAGGATCCACTAGACTTCACACGTCAGATTCAGTTCAAAGGCAAACCAGAGGAACCTTACGGGAATCCAAGAACGTCCCACAAAATTGGGTACTGGCGTAAAGGTGATATCTAGTTAGTGGGCAATCTCGCTAATGCGTAAGGAACTGACGGTATCCCAGATGCGATAAATATCAAAGGCAGGGTTGATTATCAGGGCATTATTGAAGATTTCATCCCAAACATCACAACCTTGGTCGAACTCTATTGAAGTTCCGGGTAATGGAAGGAGGCCCTGTGGAGGGTATGTGACGTATTTCTCCATATATCCGGTATAGTTACAACTCGCGGCCTGCTTTTCAAGTGTTGCCAAGAAGGTTTGGCTAGATTCAGATAAATGAGCAACGTTTGTGGGCCAGGAGTGCATGGGACGAACTTGAAAGAGAATAGACCAGTGTATTTATTTACGAAATCCACTGCAGGGATCTCTTCTTGCACGACGTCCCATGACAGGGATGCTGAAAAGAAGAAGCTTTGGTATATGGTGGCGTTTGGCCAAAACCAACAACTCACGATCGCTAACCCAGATGCCTTGCAAAGAGAGGTCAAGGAGAGTTGGGTTTTCATAAATGTAGTTGGCAATATCTGTAGGGCCAAACTATCAATATGCCCACGCAACGAACGCATCGGTAGAACACACAAGGTATATAAGTTCCTGCATACTGTGAAAGTATTAGGTGGCATACACGATTTACTCTGAAAACAGCATGCTTACACTTTCGCCGGTCAAGTAAAGCTTCTTTCCTTGTAACTCAGAGAATACTTCGAGGAATTGCTGCATGAAACCGACAAGCTGAGCGGCGAGGTCATCTTCATTCTACGGTTGATGTTAAGATTCATGATAGCACACTACCCCTTTGTGGACGTACCTGAATATTTGGCGTCCCCTGAGAGAAACCAGTTCCCACTGGCTGCTCAACCCACAAGACGCTGGAAAGGTTGGTCCAACTATGTTCATTGACTGTGGGCTTGGCTTGCCCCCAAGCCCAGCTCAATGGCTACGAGAATATAAGTAAACGTCAACAAACATGGCATGCAAAGTAATAGCTGACCCCGTTCTCTTGAAGTAAACCTTCCAGCGAAGAACAACCAGGGCCACCATTAGTCCTTGAATCAATATGAATTTCAACGAAACGAAAGCCATGTGGGGCTCAAGGAAATTATACCAGAAGATGATATCATCTAAACTTCCTTCAGGTCCAGGAGGGAAAAACCAGAAGAATAGCTATAGCAGAAGGCCGTACAAGTCAATATATAGTATCCAAAAGTAATACTGCAGCCTCACCTGGCGCGTCTCGTTCGGACTGTTACTGATTGGTAGCAAACCTGCCCAACTTGGACCTACGTCGAAGTCGACTAAGGGGAGTGATGAGCCATTCACGTAGAACTCTATGTAAAAACACATGTCAAGGTGAATATCAGATAGCTAGCCAAGTGGGATCTTACCTGAAGCCTTAGGATTTGTGAACGTGATGTTCTGCACACCACTACTACGTTTGACAGGACCTGCATTACTGGTTTGCCAGCGCTTTGCAGCCTCCAGTTGACGCGCTCTGACTTCATGCTTCGTAATTTGGCGTGCGCCGACGCTGGCGACAGCGACGAGAGCGAAGAGAAGGTTCGACCACATGACGGGACTTTGATAGGCTCCTCAGTTCTGTTAGGCACTCTTATAAAGTGCAAATATCTGACAGAAAGATAAGTTGAGGGCGCTTCATGCGATGTGATTTTATAGTGCGAGACTGATAGTTGCATGCGGTGCGCGCTTCGGGTGCCGTTACTATCTATTTATTGCTGTGAATCCCCCATAACGCTGGAGGAAGGCCTAAAGCATTGCACCATGTGATGATTGCGACCGGGAACGTTTGGGTAGTCCTTTGTGGAAGAGAACAAATATGTAGCGTTGCTCGGAAATTCGGAAGGTGTTGACTCCAGCCGTGACTCAGGCACATACATATAATACTGGAGCCTTAAAGTATTATGCACCTTGCTTTCAGCCCAGAGGGGCCTAAAGATGTAAAACTCAGTCGGGTACACCACAAACGTATAGATAGTGATAATGATGGATACAATGTATAGATCTCTACATATAAATATACATCTAGTGCCAATCTAATGCCTTCTAATCCCACCGCTTTCAAGTTCTATAGCTATAAAAGTTCACCTATGATCATGATAAAAACCTGAAATTGTCACTTCAGCGAAGGTAGAACGCATTTCTGCACAAAGTATTCGTGGAAGCGATCGTCCTTCGTTAGCTCGGGATGGAAAGTGGTGAGAAAATGATTTCCTTGTCGCATTGCGACTATGGTTTTGGGATCCCGTGGGTCTGTATCGTCTTCATCGGGCATAACTACTCGCTGTGACTGAGGGAGGAGGCCAGCTGGCAGACGAGCAACGATCTCGATTGGAGAATCGTGTGGAGATGGGTTAAGCGATAATACGACCTTAAAGATGCTATCAGTGAAGACAGCTAGGTTGTACAGGTGTCATTACATACAGGAGCACGTATGAAGACACCCATAAACGAGCGGTTTGGATCACGTAGGCCATCGACCAATAAAGGTGCTTCAAAGGACTCTATCTGAAGTTGCGCAGAGAACATCAGAGCTGATCTCGAAGGCAATTGCGTGATCATTTATACCTGCGATCCCCACCCATTACGAGCGGTTGTCACGGAGAAACCTCCCAGAAGCTCTTGGCCACCTTTCTTCGCATTTTCAACTGCTTGCGAGAGCAATATTGCACCTGCACAAGTTCCCCAGACTGGCTTTTTCTTCAAGAATGTCCGCAGAGGCTCAAGCAGCCCTGCCAATCTTGCAAGTAGCGCGATGGTCGTCGACTCTGTAAGAAGTTTTGTGTCACGTCGACATACCTTCAACGATATTAAGTATGGATTAGACTTACCTCCTCCAGGTATGATCAATGCATCACATTTTTCTAGATCTTCGACCGTACGCACGAGAACGATATCGACCTTGTTTTGCAAAGCGATCTGATGTTCTGCAAAGGCTCCCTGAAGAGCTACCAGCAAATATATAAGACATGTGTATGATAGCAATGCAATGCAAGCCCACCAAGGATACCAATGGTTGCCTCCTTTCTGCCTTGCATCGTGAGAATCTCGAAATCTTTGACGGTTTCGACTTGGCGGGGTAAAAGGGGCGGGCGTGACGTGTCACGACACTGTGGTCACTTCGTGACAGAAGGCGGAGCCGCTTTTTCACTTTACTCTCAAACCACGACCATGTCTGAGCTCGACGCAGATCTATACGGCGGTATGTTTTTTGTAGGTTTTCTCTACTGAAATCTTATGCATTTTCAGACCTTTACGGTAACGACGAGGGCGACTTTGCTGGCGCAACCGATGCTGTCGAACTCAAGGCTGAAGAGCCTATGCAATCCCTATCTGACACACCTGCAGACATCCAGCCAACGTCAAGCGTCAAGGTAGAACTCAAGCAAACGCCTGTCTCTACATCGTATATGAAGCAAGAAATACCTACAGAACCCATTCCTGTGCAGCATCAAGAATTGTCCGCCATTTCATCGACCCCACAACCTATTCCAACTCCGTCTTATTCTCCCCAGGTCACACAACAGATACCAACCTATCAGCAGCCTCAACCTGCGGAGTATCTCGAGTCTCCTATGCCGCAGTCCGCAGACGGTGCTTACCCGCGTGGTCAGCTGCCTGAACGGACTATCAGGCCCTCGGAAATGAAGGATGAAGGGTAAGTGTCGTGGCGGAGATTTAACATCTGTACAGAGATAATCCCACATTATTTCATTATATTGTCGGATGCTCTGATGGTTTGCTAGCGGGAAATCTTTAACTGCAGTCGTATCGCAACTAGATGATTATCCCTGCGTAGTCACTCCGTCGTCGTCTCGCCTAGCTACGCAGCTCTGTCGACTAGGTCTAGGCTAGCACCTACTTATTCGGATTCTCTACGTCTAGGCTAGGCTAGCACACCGAGACACAGTAGCGTCTTTTCACTCTCTCCTCGTTAAAGCGCCACTATCTAGCCTACAGATACTAATAACAAGTTTTGCTTTTCATATATATCGCTCCTCTGTCCGCGTACATCCGCAACGTTGCTTCTTCGCGTGGCCAATGCTATCTATAGCAAAATGTTCATTGGTGGTCTCAACTGGGATACAACAGATGGTACATACGTTGTCATTAATTCCCTTGTACTGGCTTGTAGGACTAAAATAGGGCTATCGTACCAGAGTCCCTCAGGAACTACTTTTCGCAATTTGGTAAAGTAGATGCGTGTACGATCATGCGTGACGCTGCTGGGCGTTCAAGGTGCTTTGCCTTTTTGACGTTCGAAGAGCCTGCCAGCGTCAATGCTGTAATGGTCAGAGAACATTTCTTGGATGGAAAGATTGTGCGTACCTTACTTCGATACTCTAAATCCATGTTCCTTAATCATATAACACGTGTGGTTTAATCAAGATTGATCCCAAGAGAGCTATACCTCGACAAGAACATCAACGCGCAACCAAGTTATTTATCGGTGGTCTAGCAGGCAGTGTCACATCAGAATCAATGCGAGAGTTCTTTTCGCAGTTCGGTAAAGTCATTGATTCCACAGTAATGTTGGATCGTGAAACTGGGCGAAGTAAAGGCTTCGGATTTGTATCATTCGAAGACACCAATGTACAACCTTTCCTTGGCTTCGGTAATCTAGAGATCGACGGTAAAATGGTATGTAATCAGATTATGATCGTGCTCGGGCGGCGACGAAACTTCTTCTCTACGCAGATCGATGTCAAGCTGGCACAACCGCGGTATCAGCGTGACGGATACCCTAACGAGCGGGAAGGTTCCGCAGGGGCGTATAGTAAGGGCGCTTATGGTCAGGAAGCCTCGTACTCCAACGCTGCACCTGCCGTCCCCACTCCTGCAGGTAACACGCCATTCGATCCTCAAGCTCTAGCCGCACTCTACACACGCATGTTCCAAATGGCTGGTGGTGGAGGGATGAACCCCGCGATGATGGGTGGTATGGGGGGCGGCATGGGAGGAGGCATGGGAGGCGGCATGGGTGTCAACAACATGATGGGAGGTATGGGCGGTGGTGGGGGAGGGTTTGGTGGGGGTATGGGGATGGGCAGAGGGATGGGTGGACCGGGAGGCATGGGCATGGGAGGCGGGATGGGGATGGGTGGTGGTGGTGGAGGCGGTGTCGGAGGTGGTGGACCTGGGATGGGCGCCATGGGCAGGGGAGCTGGTCAGGGCATGATGCCCTCTGGCCCTGCCGGTATGAGCCCAAACATTCCAAGGGGACCAAGAGGTGCTCCTACAGGGCCAGCGGCAGGTACTGGGCCTGCTGCCGTCGGGCCGCAGAGAGCTGGGCAGAGGGGGCAACACAATTACCACCCATACGCGCGATGAAGAGTCATGTTGGATATGGTTTGATCAAACGACATAGGGTTGGATGGTCGAGCTCCTTAAAATCTGAAAGTGTGCGATATGATATCACGTTTTCTGAGGACGTTCTGTATTGTAAGATGGTAAAACGTATTTTTATTACAGCTCTCCTCTCTGTTTTTTATTCAGGCTTCTCTTTTTTTTTTTCGCTGCTACAAGTCGATAGCTGGTCATTTGCGGTACATATGATCTTGTGATTTACTATCCGAGAAATAATAAATCTGTCGGTTTGCCTCGCAAGAGTGTGTTGAATCAGATTCCTCGACTGGTTTGTAGAGATTGAATCGATCCGAGACAGCTTCGGACTCGAAAGCCAGCTAATCGATGGATGAGATAAAGGAAGGTACAGCTGGACGCATGATGGTAGGTCTGCAGAATTCACGTAGACAATAAGGAATGGGAAATGCTTACCCTACCACATGTCTCGTGTCAACAAGCATACGGATGACTACACTTGTCTCAGCAGTAGTGTCCCTCGCGGTCAAGGAAAAGAGTGTCGTTAATCGATGGTATCCAGACTGATTATCGACGATCATGCGGAAAGGCATCATCGTCCAGTAACTGTCGTATTGTGATAGGTATTTCCTGTCAGAAAATGGTTTCCAGTGGAGGTTCGCCTCAGTTCAGCGTTGATTGTACACCTGCGGAGATGCTGTATTATTCTCAGTAGAAGTACGTGGTTGCACTGGATATGTAACTCTGGGAAATATTGGCAGTGTCTTGTCAAGCTATCACCGCCTGTGAGGAACAGCGCCAATGACCTGTAATTGTACGGGCAAAGCAAAGCAAAGCGATAGTCAAAGCCAGTTCGAAAGAGAAACAAGACGCAGTCGCCACTGAGACCCGCTCTTGTCCGCAAAAGGAAATTGTTGAGCTTCCCCGCACAAGCGTGCATCCGCATTGCCTTGACACGCTTTATCCTCGAATTCTATTATAAAGAGACCATGTTGCCCCAAGTACTCCCGCTTAGCCCGCTCTTGCTTGTATTTTATTATCTTCGCCAACCACCAAGCTTCCAACTATCCAGTATCAAATGATACGCACTCTCGCCAACTTCACATTTGCACCTTTGGCTGCACCTTTTCAAAGGCAGTCTCAGGCAGGCCCAAGCTACTCGTTCGATCCGCTTTTGATGGCAGAATCAAGAAGTCCTTCTCCAACACCGAAATTTAACATCGATAACCACGATGGAACGCCAACATCATGGGGACCACCGCCGTCACTGCTGCCTAAACGCTTTGAAATTCCACTATGCCTCACGCTTTGCTCAGATTTCTACCAAGCCTTAGTAGCCCCACATCACTTTTCGCCTTGGAAGCCTCGCTGGAAGCCATCGCCTGCACGGCCCGGGGAACTGGAACGATGTGCGGCTATGGTGCAATGGAATCGCGACACGGAGTCATCTGCTGACCGCGTCTCCCAGCAAGCCTTGGAAGAATCACCTTCAAGTTCGCCTCATGAAGACCACACTGCTCTTATCTTTGAACCTCACGGCTCCTGGGCTTGGGCGAGCGGCTTGACGATAGATGATCCATGTATATTAAAGGACCTTCATAGTAGGCTGGTTTCATCTGTATTCGAAATTACTCTGACTTATTACAACTCTACAGATGCTCGTATGTACCGTCTAAGAATAAAAACAGGCACTATAATGAGACGACAAATAACTTATATCAGCAAATCGTGAGTTTGCTTTTTCGTTGTACATCCAGCAGACGCTCACTCTGTGTTAACAGATGGAACGTGCACAGAGTATGCACGGGATTTAATTCAGAAGTACGTTTTCACAAAATAATACTTTGGTAACGTCTGACTCCCCATCCTCAGCTCGCACTCTACAAATCGAAGGATTACCTGAAACCACTGCAGGGCGATGTCATACCACACATCATCGGCGTACACGCTTCTCCAGAGGAAATTAACCTGGCCATGGCGTTACCACACCATTCTTTCTGGATGGAAGCCTCATCCGACATGCCAGCTATACTCAAAGAACGCTGCATAGCTGCGTATGAGAAGATCCACGCCCGAGGGGTCCTCCACGGCGAACCAGAGCTTCGAAACATGCTCATAGGCGCAGACGGGCGCGTGACAGTCATCAATCTTCACCGCGCTCGAGCGTTGGTGCCCGATCCAGAAGCTCAACTTGAAAAAGCGGAAGAGGTCGATCTTCGGATGGAGATGCGTAAGGTCCTGTACAAACTCGATTATGGTGACGCGCGGAGGCGAGAAGAGGATAAGATGAATATTGCAGAAAGGAGGACTTCGAAGAATCGCTCGAGGCAGAGGAGACGCGAATGGCGCGCGAAAGGGGAGAGGGTGGGGTATATCAGGCCGGATATACCGGTACCGGAGGACGATATACTCAATCCTCCACTGTTGAGAGAAGAATGGGATATGCGCTGGGATAATGGGAAAGAGCATGTGCCAAAACGTGTTGTAGTGCCTGGCCAGACGGAAGGAGAGGTCGCGATCGAAGTTCAAAATCTTATTCTATCCCTGACTAGAGAGGACTTCGAGGATCAGCCTTCAGACGACAGTGCGATAACTACGAATGTGGATGAAGGGCCAGCCGATCACTCGCCAAAGCGCAAAGCACCATCTGACTGTGGTAGCTCTCCTGGACCAGAAGATGACAGATCACCGAAGCGACCACGTACTACTGAATCGTCTCAAACAATAGATTCTCGTCCTTCGTTGCCTCCAACGGAAGAGACACCAGAAGAATCTCAAGCTTCAGGACCTCTCGCCAGAGAAGAACCAACTCCACTTGAATCAACTCAGGAGCAGCCGACTGCTTCCTCGTCCACTTCTCCCTCGCCCATTAAAATGTGGTATTCCCACCTACCTGAGGATGCTGAAGTACCTCTACGGCCGAAGAGAACTGCAGCGGACTTGTCTGAGATGGAAATAAAAATCCGGGTTGCCAACCTCAACCGCTGTCGTCTAAAGAAGTTCCCACATCGCGAACTCGTCAAGCATAGGCTCGTACGGCCCACCCAGACTTACATGCGCCGCGCCGAGAGGAAGCTGCGCCCCACGGTGGCATTTGGGAGCCTTAAGCGCCAGGGAGAGGACGAACGAAATCCTGAACGCGTGAACGTGGAGTCCAAGGCTTTGCGTGAGATGTATAGAGAGCTTAAGGAGATGAAGAACAGGTACATCGCGGGTAGTGTTGGCACGGAGGAGCCTGTGGAGGGTGATGATGCGGATTGGCAAGCTGCACTTTATATGGGTGAACGGCTGGACGTACCAGAAGGCCCGGTGATTCTGACGCGAGACGCGTTCGAGAGGCGCCAGGAGTCGCAGAAGGAGGCTCTCGTACGGTACTCACGGGCTCCACGCGGGATTTTGAAGAGACCTAGGGAAGAAGACGGAGAGCAGACCGCCAAATCGCCATCGCCGAGCACTCTGACAGAATTCGGAGATGATTTCGAAGAACCCGATATAGAGCTCACCACTCTCGAACAATACCGCCGGCTCGGAATACCACCCCCACGCAAGAAGGTGCGAGCGGATGGGAGTAGCACGAGCAGTGACGTTACTTGGCTCTTGCAGAGGGTCTCGAATGTGACTCCCCGTCCTTTACAGAAGGGTGACTCGCCAGGTTTGTCTAGTAAGGACAGGGCGGTCAGCGCTACATGCGGTGATGTTATGTCTCCCTCGCGGCTCCAGCTTGGCGATGGCCTCGATTTTACGCCGCCATCGTTGAGGGCTTTATCGTTCTGGAGGTCGACGCTGATGGGAATGGTCAATCGTTAAGACCAACATCTGCACTCGTCGACTATTCAAATGCGGGTTGGCGTTTTTCCTCGCCAATCGAGTGGCTGATTCCTACGAAATTCATCGCATAATACTGTCGCTCAAGGATCGCAGCTAGTCATACGAATACTAGGAGGGTTTTTCTTTATTGGGTCCTTCCAAATGTCGTAAAAGCTCTCGATGCTAGCATTATGTTTCCTTTGCAGGGAGAATGACTTTCCCCGCTAATATTAGTTTTATATTTCGGCTTTCTTCCTTTAATTTTTTCTTGGTGTATCTGCTATGGCTGTACGTTGTAAAACTATGCCTATGCGAAATGTAATACATAGTTGCTGTGTTACAAAGACTTGTCTTCGTTGTCATCAAGGTCATAAACACACCAGCTGTGTGCTTTTTGTTAATATATGAACGTGAGCTCCTTCCCCAGTTGCATAGTTTCGAAAGGTTAGAGAACAGATTGATACATCGCTTGGCTGATATGTCAATCCAGGGCTTCGTGCACACGATATATTGTTATATTCGAGCGTGAATGTTCCAAGGAGTGAAGCAGATGTGTTGATGTTCCCGTTTTCCGACCCCTATGATACCATCCTACTACAAATATGTAACAACAGCTATAAGCGGATGCTTGGATAATCATGCGCTTAAGGTGGTCGTAATTACGTCCGTTGGCCCCAAACCATCTTGAAATAGACTAGACATTTATTGTTGAGCGCCCTCATTTGGTTTTGGCCTGTCTTTTGTGAAACCTGTCTGGTCAACGTACTTATCTCTATTCCTTGCATTGCCTTGGCTTTTTGTTAGCGCCAGGATCGAGCTCGAATATCCTTAGAGCACCATGCCTCCTCAGGTCGATCTTGTGGTTGTGTTTCGCTCATCTTTGAAAGGCACACATCTTTCGAAAGAACAGACGCGACAGCAAATTGCAAAGGCGGAGAGGCAATACTCTGCCCTCCTTGAAACTTTAACGAGAGCAGGCTTGAAGGTTGTGGGAAGACGCGGAGAAAGTCAGGGCCAGCTACTGATCATGGTGACTTGCCCTCAGAATGTCTTGGCTACCCTTGTCCATCGAGAACGGTGAGTTGGTTTTACATCTATTCCAGCTCTGAGCTAACATATATTCTAGTTACTCGGACTTCCTCTACGGTCTTCCACTGTCCAAGCTGCCATCTTTTGCAGCAGACCTCGATTCCGGGCCTTTATCAGCCGCAGATAGAATACGCCTAGTCCATGGATTTGTAACGTCTACACCACAAGACGGAGGCCTCGGTATCATTCCAGAATGCAAAGACTGGGACCTTGTTCAATGTGTCATGGCTCTTCACGATCACGAATTCAATGACCACTGGATTCGAGTCTGGACGACGCATCGTATAGCATCGGTCCAGTTGGACCAAATCAGAGACCAGGTGGATTTAAGTCAACCAAATATGTCTTGCTTCTCTGATTGATATTTTTTCCACGCAAGTTTGGCGATTCCGTCGCCCTCTATTTCTGTTTCCTCATGGCGTACACGCGAGCGCTCATCTTTCCCGCGGGCCTCGGCATTACCTTCTACTTTTTCGGCACTCCGTACTCTACTTTGTATTCATCACTTCTACTCCTCTGGTCCATAGCGTTTGTGGAATGGTGGCGACTTCAGGAACGTATCTTGTCGGTACGATGGTGCACCCGTGGGTCTTTCCGCGTAGAGAAACGGAGAGCAGATTATGCCGTTGGATTTCCTTGGTGGAAGAGAGAGCTTCGAATGGTGGCTAGTATACCGGTCATCTTACTGTTCGCGAGTGTACTTGCTGCAGTGTTGACCGGCATATTCGTCTTCGAGGCTTTCGTGACAGAACTGTATACAGGACCAGGTCATAAATATATCGTAAGCAATTAACTGGTCTATGGCCCATACATATCTGGGTGTACTGATAGGCCTCTTGGTTAAAACTTCAGTCTTTCAGCCCTAGCATCCTCTTCATGGCTCTAGTCCCCCGCCTCCTTGCCATTTATGAATCATATGCCAAACGATTCACTGTCTGGGAAAACCACGCTCACCAATCAACTCATGACTCATCACTTACGTTGAAAGTGTTTTCCTTGTCTGCCATCAACTCTTACCTTGGTCTCGGCCTCTCTGCTTTTGTCTACGTGCCGTTTGGGGAGAGTGTCATGCAGTTCGTGCAAACACATGTATTTTCTGGCAGTCGACATGCCTCTGCCATGCTACAAAGCTTCAACATCACTCTCAACGATACAATCAAGTTCGGTGTAGGAGGAGGAAGAGGCGAAAAAGTTACTGGCGGTAACGTCGGTATCTGGGAAACAGACCACACAAGTGCAAGGCGAAAATTGAATCCCTCTCGGTTGCAAGAACAGATGTTTGCGTTCACTGTGACGAATCAGGTGGTTGATACTTTCACAGAAATCGGATTACCCTATATCCTCCGTGCAGTGGACTCGATTCGACATGGGAAGGGACTGAGGAATGGGGGTGGGAAAGGCACAGGGAAGAAAAAGCGCGTAGCTTTTGATGATGAACCAACTGGACAGGACAAGAAGGGGAAGGAGGAAAGGGAGTTTTTGGAGAGGGTCCGAAGCGAGGTCACTTTACCGGAGTATGAAGTTTTTGGGGACTACAGCGAGATGGTCACGCAATTTGGCTATGTCGCCCTATGGTCGACTATATGGCCTCTGGCACCTGGTAATTATCAAGATTAATTTAGCTCCAAAGATACTGATACTGATATTTATTTAGTTATGGCACTGTTGAACAATTTCCTCGAGGCTCGATCTGATGCATTCAAAATCGCGGTACACACTCGCCGCCCTATCCCAACTCGCACAGATACGATCGGCCCGTGGCTTGAATCGCTTTCATTCCTCACTTGGCTATCTGCTCTGACAAACTCCGCCCTGGTCTACCTTTTCCGCCCTCCCGACAACCAAGGTGACGAATTGGGCACCACCATGGAAGGCAGTGTTCCGCTTCTGGAGCACCACCATCTGCACCACCATCGACGAAACGGGTTTGCGGCCACGCGCGAGTTGCTGATATCCGCGCTGCTGATCGCTCTGGTTGCTTCACATGGTTATATGCTGGTAAGAAGCGCGGTGCGGCACTTGCTGGAGCGGGCTTTGTGGAACGGCAGTAATGAGATGAAGGAGGCAGAAAGGGTAGAGAAGGAGGTGAAGGAGAGATATTTGGGCAGTTTGGAACGAGCAGTTTCGACTGAGAGTAGCAAAATTGAGCCTCCAGCTCCAGAGAAAGATGAATGGGCAACGTTCTGGGCTGTTGACGAGGGGCTAGAGGAGATCCAAAAAGCTGTCAAGGATGCATGAGAGCTGTTTTCTAAGGACTTTCGATCTCTGGTATAGATGTTGGTGCTTTATGAACAAAGGCTATCAGACTCTCATCTGTAGTTTCTAGCTAATTTTTTGTTCTAATTTTCCACTCACACAGATCGTATATTGTAGCAATCATGTACCTTTGACTGTATTGCTGTATGTTTTCTGGATCTACATCCCACAATTACAACGACGCACCTTGCCTTGAATAACGATACTACTAGGAAGGCTCGAGGTCATAGTTCGTACAACAGTGACTGATATATTCAAGAAGCGACAGGGAGAAAGGGTATATCAATACATGAAAAAATTAAGAATACATTAAAAACAACATATCACGACGAAAGGCGTCGACAGTGACCACAAAGAAAGGTTGACATAGCTCTATGCTCGGGCCATTTTGCCAGTGTCCTCTAGCGTGAATAGTACTGCGGGGAAGAAGAAAAAACCAAAAGCATTAGAAGGTCCATTAAATCGCATACATACCAAACTTCAATCAACCACCACTTCATATCCTAAACTACGTGCTGCCCCTGATTTCCTGCACCGTTGATAGAGCTTCACCTTTCTCATCTCCGATTTCTTCGGAACTGCCTATGCGAAGCCCGTTATTAGCGACGTTGTTGAGGTTGGTGAGTCCCAGGTCGTTCATAGCTGATAGTCCACTTTCAGGCCCACTCTCCCTCTCATTCCTTCGTTCACGTGCCCTACCCCTCTCATGGCGCCTCTCGCGTCCCCTTCCTCTATCCCGACCTTCTGTATTGTCAGCTCTACCAGCTCTCTCGCTTAATTCATGTTGTTCCGGATCTCTACCATATCGTTTCAGCGTCTTGATGATCAGGGCGAAGTATATCATCCCGACCACGAATACGGCTGTGATTGCAACGCGAGGACCGGTTGCGCCTGGGGGTGGGAGTGAGTTGGGGGTGGCGGGGTCTGCAGTCGAACCAGTGCGCCAGACGAATGAGAGGATAGTTGCTACGAAAAGGATCATGGACCTGTCAACATTTGAACGGTCAGAATCGCAGTGGTGGATCGAATGGAAGGACGGTAGCAGTACTCACCACGCAAGCCAAACGGCGGGCATGGCCAAAAGCACCCATACGTTCCACCATATCAAGGTATTCATCTTGCGAGCCTCCTGGAAGATATAAAAACGTATTAGTTAAGCAGATGGTGAGATATGAACGAGAGTTACCTCCGCCCATCGAGTAGCTTTGTACATGCTACGCATCGTGCCAAAGCGAACGATGTATATGCATCCATAGGATAGACTCATAATTGCGCATATAAGGGATAGTAAAGCAGCAGTACGGATGACAGGGTCATTAGCTGCTGCAGTCTGGAACATAGCGAGGATGGCACTACATTACACGATAAGTCAAAATTTTAGTGAGTAAAAATAGCTGTTACTTACGACAGCAAAAGTGCGGAGACGAGATTGAGCGTCTTCCACTCTCTCATTAACGAGTCTATAAAAAACTCCCACGAGTGCTTGAATCGAACGAGTGCAGGGGAGACATTCGTCGTCGTCCATTCCTCTGGGAAGGGTAGCATAGGGCCTGTATGGTGATGCACTCCTGGAGGCAGAGTACCGGATGTATTACTGCGTTGGCGGGGTAATCCACAGCCATCGATCATCCTCTGCACATCAGGGCGGCTTACTTCTGCATCTTCAAAGATACGCGCGATGCGGGTAAAATAAAGAGAAGGGAGACGTAGAAGCAAATGGAGGTATACCTGGCGAGGGAGGGTATCTGAGAGAAAATGACGCGTGATCTTGAATGCGGACTGGATCCTGTTCTTGGTTGAGGCCGTGCAAGTTATAGGCTTGGGGAGGCAGCAAAAAAATGAGTGCTCGCAATTGTAATCACAGTTTGAATCGCGATGCTCGCTGTCGATGTGAGTAGAGTGCGCAGATAAACTTCGTAGCCGTAAGCGCAGCTGGAAAGGATCGACGGGGACAAAAGGCTCTTCTCGACTGTGTGTGCGATGAAATCCCGACCACTGAAATATTCGCAGTGGAGAAGCAGCGCGTGAGTGTGTCTCGGAGCGGGTAGTTGGAGAATCAATGCTCGACTTCCGTGACTGTTCAGCTGCTCGAAAGCTTGCAGCTGGACGTACTGGATCGCTTCTGCGAGGGATACGCGAGAATCCACCTTCAAAAATTGAAGCTCTGGAGGGCAATGTCGCTGTCTCGCGAGGGTGAGACTGCACACTTGGGCTTGGTCGAATGTTATGAGCGATGTGGGGAGGTGAAGGAGACATGCGATCGTTCTCGAATGAAACTCGTTGGTGTGGGCTTCCTTTTCCAAATGAGGCTTCTGAAACAGTAGCACGTTGCATTTCACGGTCCACTGAAGAAAGTAGTGGTTGACCGTTGGAAGGAGAGTCGAATGATGGGAGAGAGGTGGAAGCGTCTAGGCTGTGTCTAACCATTGGATTGGGGGTACGTGTGCGCCCAGATGGGGGAGATGAGGGCGGTGGGAGGGCTGATAGCTTGTCTGAACTAGTCAGACGCGATGAACTGCTGGAACCAGAGCCTGCGGAAGTATAGAGTCAGTGTCTAACAGTATACGAATCATAGTACCCTAGTAGCAGGATAACGAAGCATGTCTACTTACCTGGGGTGGAAATGGGCTGCTCCGCTGCTGCACTTGGAAATGGAACGCGTTCGTGTGCGACAGTGACGCCTGCGATCCTGCTGGTTCGAGGTAATGGCGCACTCATCTGCTGTGGAGAATCTGATAAAGGGAGTGGTGAAGTCATTATGCATAAAGTGTCGTGAACGATGTTTATTTCTGTGTCGTGGATTGGTCGTGATAGTTCAGAAGAAGAAGAAGGTTGCAAGTGTGAGACTGGTTGCCTCACTGTACTTTATAAACAGGCCACGCTCCGCTGATTTGCCGTAAGCGTCTCATGCACATGCATCTCAGCGGCTCAGCCCAAGAACGACACCTTCCATATATGGGCATCTACGCAGGTCAGCGGTGGTCACGGTCACAGAGCGTCACGGCATCCGGACAAGGCCGAATAACGTCAGCTTTGAATATACGGCTCAAGCGCAAGTCGACGAACACGAACTGACGAAAAATGCGTCGACAATTATTCACTTCTTGTCCTGGAACCTCCATCATGACCGTTATTCTTTATCCGAATATCGCTCCATTTCACTCGTTTTATAGGCCGAAAAACGCTCAGTTTGACGTGGATTTCTATGCAAGACCATCGATAGCATTGTCAAGCACCAAGAATGCAGCTGGTTACCCCTCCATAGAGATGCGTTTGGGTGTCGAGGCCAAGGAGGACAGAAGGGGGGAAGCGGGGAGGAATCAATTTCGGAGGAGTATGGGCAAGCGACCCGCGATGGCAGTACAAACATATACAAACAAACAACCGCCACCCGCAAACAAATACTTACCCATTCGTTCTTGTCGGTGTTTCTGACAACGCCAAAAGACACTTGCTCGTCGTCCAACACGTCCTCGAAGACACGTTTACCAATACACGGAGCAGGACACGCACTGAATACTGGCATAAAAATATAAAGAAGTCTCGGTTTTATGACTTCTTGCTTCTGAAACTTGCTCCATGCAACACCCAGAGCCATCGCCAGTCCCGCAACACTACCCAGCAGATTTTAACAACTTTCTCGTTCCCCCAAATCAGTTTTTCGATCAAGAAGAGACAGCTGAGGAACGTTTGGTTATAAAAGTACCTTTCATGGTCGCGAATGGTCTACCTCTTCGACGCTCTGGTCGGAACCGCACAGGGTCTGTCGACGCACCAAACAGCCAACCATCTGGCTCAGAATATCACGACAGTGACAAGTCAATGGATGACGAGCCACAACCACAAGACGACGGAGGAGATGGAGATGATGAACCTGCCATTGTATATGCGCGTACATCCAGAGGTCGCATCATCAAGAGGAAGTCATACAGAGAGTCTGCAAGTGAGGATGATGGACTACATAACATATTTGAAGACGACGTAGAACCAAACGGCACAACAAAGGTGGAAGATGTTGATGACGACGACGACGAAGATCATCAGCCACGAAGGGGTGCACGCTCTGCAAGCAGGAGGGTTCTAGGCGATTTTATTGTTAGTGATGAGGAGAATTCTGCTAGTCGTTACGGCCTTCGTAGTAAAAGCAAGAAGCCATCCCCACCAATGACAACCTCTAGTGGACGTGTTACACGTCAGCCAAGACGCCTTGGTGATCCTAATCGACCCTCCCGGTTAGCCCGCGGCAGTCGTCGACGTGTTGTCGACAAAGATGACGGATATGTGGATGAGCCGTCTTCGGGTTCCGCAGACGGCGAAGGGTCGTTAGTTGATGCACCTCATACATCGTCTGATATCGATGCTGATGCCGAGGGCGAAGTTGATTTGGACGCCGAGGGCGAGCCTGAAACAGACGGTAGACCTTACGCTTTACGACAACGGGCTAAAATCAACTATGCCATCCCACCGCCTTTGGAAGAGATGAAGCCTGCAAAGCCTCGCTCTGGCGGGGGTCGTGTTGGTGGTGGCAGAAATGGACATGGAAAGAACAACCGTGGACCAGGGTGGAGTGCGACAGGTGCCGAATTGAGTAGATGGATGGGCATGGCTGCCGATGACTCTGTATGTACCTTGTCTCATATCCCAACTCGCATTGAGCTTAATCTTCCTGCAGGATTCCGATTTTGCTACCCGTACACCTCGTAAACCCTTCGCCGCAGCGGGAGGGGTATTTGGTGGTGGCACTGTTTCAGGTGGAGGAGCGAGCATGTTGCCAGGAGACTTAGTTGCCTCTGCAGGAACGCCTTCAAACTTGGGCAAAATAGGGGATTCAGGTGAGAGATAGCAGCCCTCACGGAGGAACAGCGTTCATGATCGTCTTTCAGCTCTCGCGGATGCGGATCCTTTAGGAGTCAATACAAACGTTACATTTGATGAAGTAGGAGGTTTAGACGATCGTTCGTATATACATTTCATGCTATTATCATTTACAAGCTGAACTTTCTGTGGCTTCTCTTCACAGACATTCATTCATTAAAGGAGATGACCCTGCTCCCTTTACTTTATCCAGAAGTATTTCAGAGATTCGATCTGACTCCTCCCCGTGGCGTGCTCTTCCATGGTCCCCCAGGCACAGGAAAGACACTACTAGCTCGTGCATTGGCCGCCAGCTGTCGCGCTAATGGTAAAGGCATATGTGAGTATTGTCGCATTATTTTCAATCTCTTTCTGTGGGGCTGATCGATATGCATTAATCAGCATTTTTTATGCGCAAGGGCGCAGATTGTTTGTCTAAATGGGTAGGTGAAGCTGAGCGTCAGCTACGTCTACTTTTCGAAGAAGCAAGGAACTGTCAGCCCAGTATCATTTTCTTTGATGAGATCGACGGTCTCGCGCCTGTTCGCTCTTCCAAGCAAGATCAGATACATGCCTCGATCGTTTCGACGTTGTTGGCATTGATGGATGGAATGGATGGACGTGGGCAGGTCATCGTGATCGGTGCCACCAATCGCCCAGATGCTATTGACCCTGCGCTGAGAAGACCTGGGAGATTCGACAGAGAATTTTACTTCCCACTACCCTCGTTGGAGGCCCGTGAAAGGATCCTGGGTATTATGACAAAGAAGTGGGAGGGCTGGGATGGAGACACTGGTGTTGAGAGTGTCAAGGGATTAGCTAAACTCACAAAGGGATATGGAGGTGCTGACTTGAGGGTGAGCTATCTCTTGGTCGTATATCTTTACCTCGCTTCCTCTGAGTCTTGCTATGTGTTTTAGGCCCTTTGCACAGAAGCTGCGTTGAACGCCATTCAAAGACGATATCCGCAGATCTACCAGTCGAGCGATCGTCTTTTATTGAAACCAGAAACCATCGGTATCAATCTGAGAGATTTCATGATATCTGTGAAAAGTATGTTGTCATAATGTGATAAAAATGAGTAGCTTGTTGTTTAATATTGTCTTCTTGAACTCATTGTCAGAACTGGTCCCCTCTTCGGCTCGTTCATCGTCATCGTCTGCGTCTCCGCTTCCCAATCAGCTCGTCCCTTTACTTGCTGACACTCTCGAAAAAGTGAAAGGTGCTATAAACAAGGTCCTTCCCATCGGCAAGAAGCGGACGGCACTGGAAGAGGCACAATGGGAGGAAGATAGTGAGGAAGGTGCGCTCGAAAGAGAGATGTTGATGCAGTGTAAGTGGATTTGTACGCGTTGATTTCATTGTCTCACGCCCTAGTGACTGTTATAGCCATGGAAACGCTTCAAGTTTATCGCCCTCGACTAATTTTGCACGGTCCTATCGGCATGGGTCAAGGTTATATCGGTGCTGCCGCTTTACACCACTTAGAAGGTTATCACATCCAGAGTCTAGATCTTGGAAGTCTCATGGGTGACTCAACAAGAGTGAGTGACTTAACTGCACGTTATGCACTGCTTATCAAATTGTACATTACCAGACTGTTGAAGCAGGCATTGTTCAATTATTCGTGGAAGCTAAACGACATCAGCCCTCCGTGATATACATTCCTTCTCTTGTGGGTTGGTGCGCTGCTGTCTCCGAAACGTCACGGTCCACAGTTCGTGCTATGCTAGACACGTTAGCCCCCACCGATCCCATCCTTCTGCTTGCCATAGTGGATGGTCTTTTCTCGTCTTTGCCACGTGATGTTCGTGCTTGGTTTGGGCCTACGCGCGAGAATCGGGTTGAGCTTCTCCAGCCTAATGAACAGCAGCGAGAGGCGTTTTTCGAGGGTATATTATCGGACATCCGTCGGGCTCCGAATAGGTTCGCTGACGGTGTGAAACGGAAGAAGCGTGTGCTCGAAGTACTACCCATTGCACCACCTTTGGAACCTCGACAGCCCACCGCGGCTGAACTTGCTATTCAGGAAGAGAACGACCAAAAGATTGTTACTCTGTTGAAATACCGTCTTGGTCCTATCCTAACTGAACTGAAACGTAAATTTAAGCGCTTCACAAAGAAGGCTACTGTAAGTTTCATTGTGGCTAGAGGTTTGAGGATTGCTGACAAGCAATTATTTTTTGGCATGTTAGGAGGAGTATGACTTTGATATTCCGCAACCAGTCGCTACTCAAGTTGAGATCGTCACCACGCAAGTGTCTATAGAAGCTGGACCAAATGGGACCGTTGAGGTCACTGATCAACAACAGCAGCAGCAGCAAGTGATACAGGAAGGCGGAAATGGTCCCGTAAATGGGTCTGTGCCACACCCTGAGCCTCAAGTACCCGAACCTCAATTATACGACATGGATCTGGAGAGAATGCACATAGACCTCTACAAGGGTAAATACCTGACGCCGCAAGACTTTTTGGATGATATCGGCAAGATCGTACATAATGCAGGCGTCCGAATGAACGAGGATAATGATCGTTTATTCAAAGCTCAGGCAATGTACACTGCTGCACAAGTCAGTATACACGAATTTGACCCTCAACTGCGGCTCGAGTGTGATCGGATGGCCGCTCGTGAGCGGAAGCGTCGTGAGGAGAGGAGGAAGAATAAAGGCAAAGGCAAAGCTCCAGAGGATGCCCAAAATGCTTACGCTCCTGGGACAAGGCGAAGTGCACGTCATAATGGTCAACAGCTGGAAATGACTATTACGGATCCATTGCAGATCGAGAGAAAAATGAAGAGGCAGCGAAGCGAAGGTGCAGCAGGTTCTCCCATGTCTGGTGAAGAGAACGGAGAGGCGATTGAACGTCCAAGTTCCAAACGTCCAAAAGTTATACTCAGCGATGACGATGACGCAGACCCTATGGACATTATCGGTCCTGCTTCGAGCCAGAATAGATCATCAGTGGTGCGGTTTGCCAATGATGTTCAGTCTCGTGACCCTCCCGAACCGCCCGATGCTCATGCTAGTGCCAATGGTTATGTGAATCCTGAAAGCATGTCAGTCGACTTGCCACTTCGAAAGCCTGGGGGCTTTGATCCATTCTTGTTGAATCCCATGTCGCCATCGGAAGACAAGTTTCCAACTACCCAAACTACACCTTTCCAGAGTATGTGGGTCAGTGGAGAGCCAGAGGTTCCTAGCCAGGCACCACCCAATCCTTTTCAGCCCACACCAAATTATACCCTTCAGCCTCCACCAGGAAGCCCATCTCCACCGCAAAATACAGGTGAAGTGGCTTCACTTGTACCTCCGTCGACAGTCACCGAAGAACCAACATTACCGATGGAGATAGCCAGGTCACCCTCTCCACTTCCTGAATTCCATGTCGACGAGATTCTGGTATCCAAGCTCCAGATTGATCTTCGTATAAGGACGGAAAATCTTTCAATAGAGCAACTTGAACAGCTGCGTGCGACGTGTCTCGGTTGTATCTGGCGGCATAGGACGGAATGGGATCGTGATGATCTCGTACGAGAGGTCAAAGGTGTTGTAGATGAATTTCTTAACGACGTCTCTGTAGATGGTCTAGATTTGGATTCTTCTATTGGGGATGCATACTGATTGGTTCGTTCTCAGTGTAGACTATTTTGTTTATTTCGACTTTCTTGTACTGCATACTATACATCGTTTCATATATTGTAGTTTTTGTCTCGTGAATAACAATCATTGATTCTGAGCAAGATTAGTGCGACATGGCAAATCAGAACAATCATTCATAGTACGCGTAAATCACGAACAAACAATCAGGAGAATCAGAAGTAATCGACGGAGGAAGTCATCCTGGATTTCAAACTACTGAACCCTCTTGAAAAGTATACCTGGGAATCGGATATTCGCGGTACAAGCAGAGCAGATAGTGAAAAATGATATAGCTCTTAATACCTACGACCACCCCTTCCTCCAGGACCCTGATATGGGCCATAGTCTGGCGGTGGTCGACCACCTTCACCACGATCGTCAATATGCATGCTTGCAACAGCACCAATGTCTAACTTACTGGTACGTGGTACAGGAGGAGGAGATGGCCTTCGAGTGCTGCTTGGAATAACGGCATTCCGGAATAACATCATCAGATCGTCCGTTCTGAATACGGGGCCTGAAAAATGAATACAATTCAGGACAATTGCTAGAACAAGATTTGAAATTTTCATTACACTGACCATCAAAAGAGCTGGGAGTAGGCAACTGCCCCACAAACCACGACAGGACGGCAGGTAGCATAACACCCTTTTCATCCTCCCTATCTCTACGCGGCACTTCTCGCTCCTTTTCCCAAGCAGGACTTCCAAACCGGCGTCGTGGTGGTCCGTCAAATCTCTCACCACGTTCTCTATCTCTGGAAGCTGGCGACATGGGTCTGGGCCTTTTGCTCGGAGGTCCATAATCTCCTGGTGCCCTGGATTCATCTCGCCTTTTGAAATCCGGAGATGGGGCTCTTTTCGTATGTGCTATTAAAGTAGGCGTCGATACAGGAGGTGGAACAGCAGGTACTGTTGACGCAGATGCTATTGACAGCTGGGAATCCGTGCGTTTCTCGATAGAACTGGTCGAGCTGCCCGAACCCACTGCTCCTGATTGACGACCTACCACTGCGAAACCTAGATCACGAGCGGCGATGGCATCCGTTCCGAGATAGGTGTGGCGTTGTGCGAAGCGCTTGATCGGAGGGTCTATGGCGGGGTTAAACGGCTGTTTTTCTACAATGGCAATCACTATACCTGAAGGATAAACCTCTGCTATACGTTTCTCAAGCTTTTGTGCTGCCTCCAAATCACCATATTGATATTCATAACGAGCCCAGCGTTCCCAGAGGGGTCTCGCACGATCAGAGGAAAAGGTGGTGATAACACGTTCAAAAAGGGCACGTGCATCTATCAAAAAGGCGTAAGATCAACAGATAACGCTTGAGCAAGTTAACCAACTTTTGTCATCGTTGACTGATATCAAAAATCCAAGATATCTCAGAGCGAATTGGATTTCATCACCAAAAAGTTCCAAGCCTCTTTCAAATATTCGGCACGCCACCCCCAGTTCTTTGGTGCAATGATATTCCATCAAAGCTAACACAAATCAATCAATCAATCAGTGTCCAAACAAGTGAAAGGAATGAACCCGGGAATTCGTTTTGACATACCAGCAGCTTCGTAGACCTCCCATGGCGTCCACCGGTCTCGCCTCGCCTTACCAAAGACTGCACGGGAGGATTTCAAATCTTGAGCTCGTCGCGCAAATCGCATGTACATGATGTATACTAGACCATACTCTGTCCGTCGTTCAATGAGTTCTTTCACCTTCGGAGGCTTATCGTCCGAACTTTGAGTAGTAAACGACGAGTTGTTGGACTGCGTGCCGCCCTCAGCAAAAGCACCATTACTACCTGCATTCAGAGAGCTGGGTGTCGGTCCGTTGATGGGAACAGTAGTACCCGAAACATTAGACGAGAAAGAAGAATTGGCAGAGTTGGCACGTGTCTCCAGCTCCTCAAGTTCAGTACGAAGTACTTCGAGAAACTTATCAAAAATATTGTAAACCTCTTGAATGTTTTGGCGAGCCTCTTGTATCTCGGCGTAAGCAAAGTTCAGAAGAAAACTGTAAGGAATAATGGTCAATTAACCTCAAGCCCCGATAAGGAGAACCTTGACCTTGTAGGATTCGCGTCTATTCCTGCTTTTAGAATACTTACAGCCTCATCCTGCCTACCGACACTATTTGTCCAAACAAAGGCCATGTACCTGTAGAATGTTTAGTGGTGCAACACGCGATTGATTGGTGAGCTCACCATATTTCTCCATAATATCGCATTCGGATCACAGCCTTACGATACACACTTTGAATTCTGGTAACCTGTGTTTGCTTGTCTTTCTCTTCTAGTTCCAGAGGATTACTCTCTTCCCACTTCAGATAAGCTTTCCAAGAGCCTACCAGCGCCCTTTCTGCTGCATTAAAAGTCGGTTTCGGCGGAAGATATAGCGGTGGTCTGGAAGAGCCGGACGGAGGAGGAGGAGGAAACAAAGGACCCAAGTGACGCTGTAGCTGCCGAAGAACTGTGCGAGCTTGCATATACGACGGCGAAAGATCAGACATAAATTTTTTGGCCTGTAATGCCCGTCAGTTCCTGCCATCACTCAATTTTAGTATGGAAAATTTTCAGACCGTTATCTTATTAAGATTATTTTCAAAAGCTTCGAGTTCGGACCACAGCTTCTCTACGTTTTCTAGTGGGATTTGAACTGCCCGATGATAAACCTTGCGGAGTGCATCCATCTTCTGTTGTTCTTCCCAAGTTGTGCTGCACTAAAAATGTCAACATCAGGAAATGATCTCGCAAGGGGTGAACGTTCGGCGAGCGTACTTCTCCGGCCTTCAGAAATTGTATGTAATCGTTCCATATCTCACCACTGTCTTTATCTTGACCGACATGATTCAGAGCGAATTCGTAGGCTTTTCGGACGGCATCACGAGTGGCTGAAGAAGTGTTGACTCGCCTGATACAAGCGGTCAAACGGGTCTCTCTTATGGTTTGAATGCGCCTTGCACTAACCTGACGTAAGTAAGATAATACTTCCAAAGGTCGACTAAAGGCGATGTTCTCAAAAATCGCTTGAACAATGTTTCGGCGTATCCAAACGATCCTGGGCTCAAGAAATGGTTGATATAGGCGATTTGGGCAGACGACTTGGATGTACCGGCGAGAACGTTGAGAAAAGGTGAATGGTCGATGAGAATAAAGAGAAAAGCTGCACACCGTGTTCGGATAAGCTTCAAGAAGGGCTTCGTACGTTTCTTTTATCTGCTCAAGGTCGCCGTTGCTCTCAGCGAGGTTGACAAGTCTGTTCCATCCTTCTGGATCATGAGGATTGTCACGCAGCTGTGCTCGCATCAATTCCCATTCTGAAGGCGGTACTTGAGAGATGTCTTCTGCTTGTGGAGTTGGCTCGTGGCCATTTTGCGTGGTTGTTGTTGGAACGGGTTGAGCGTTTAGCTGGTTCAGCACATTCAGGATGTCTTCTGCTGGCTGGGTCTTGTCGCCGTTGGCATTCGGTGTGTTTTCGTCGGTTTCTGGGACTGCAAAGTCTTGTGGTGGCTCAGACATGGCTGTCTTCAGCAACGCATGAATTTCTAGCGTGATCCAGCGGAACAAGCAGCGAAAAGAAACGAATTTCCAGCGGTGCACTCCTTTTCCCACGCATATACCAGCCATCGCCGTCTCCATAATGATACCCGCGCCCCACTCCAGTACCAGCTGGCTCTTGTCTGCAGCGCTATCGCTAGTGAAAGTATCACAGGAGGGACATGCCTTTGAGAGGCTCTGGCCATACGCCAAATGTTGGCAACAAGGATCCCTATTTTGATACACTCGAGGAACTCGACGCCTGGGCGGCAGTACCAGCAAACACTTTGACAGACATCTTACCCTACCATTCTCGCACAGATGGCTCAGCGGACAGTAGAGGAAAACTATTGGTGAAGAGAAACGTGTCTAATTCTATGCTAAGTAATGCTGATGTGATGATCAAGGTGTGCCACGATTATAAAGTTAGTAGTGACTCGAATTCATCACCTCGTTTAGAATAGGCCTATGACTCGATATTGACACAGCTGCACAGGGAGGGTACACGGAAATCCCTTCGCGCCTGTGTTACACCTTCAATTTTTGGTCGTACTGTGACATATTTGTTTAGTAAGTCTTCTCAATCTATCGAGTCACATCTGCTCACGTGTTGTCGGCTCAGTTTCTCCCATCATCGAGTTACAGTTCCCCCATCTGGCTGGGTGACAGCTGCGCACCGGCAAGGTGTCAAGCTTCTTGGAACTTTGTACGCTTGATCACTCAATTGAGAATGATAGCGTCCTAATCACGCACATCCAGGATTTTTGAAGGCTCGGGCGAAGCAGATTGTTTGAGACTTGTTGTTGGTCTCCCTCAATGTAATACAGGACCTGTCGTGCAATCAGATTCAATCCCTGTGTCTGCCCACTATGCTCGCGTATTGGCGGATCTGGCCCGTCAACGTGGCTTTGATGGCTACTTGCTTAACTTTGAATGTCCTCTCAAAGGTGGCATTGAACAGGCCAGAGCCTTAGCCGCGTGGATCACCCTTTTGCGTTTTGAACTTGTATCGAAAGTGGGCTCGCATTCCCAAGTTGTATGGTGAGCCACTATCTGTCTTCATGCTCATGCATTGTAACCGCGTTTCCTGTAGGTATGATAGTGTTGTCATTAATGGTCAGCTGCGCTGGCAGGACAGGCTCAACAACTATAACCTACCTTTTTTCCTTTCTTCGGATGCCTTCTTCACAAATTATACAGTAAGTCCTCGGGTTATTCGCAATCACCGATGCATCTAACGCAACCTCCAAGTGGGCGCCTCAGTATCCTTCGCTCACCGCCCAATATTTCCTTAGCCTTGACCAGGCATTAGTCGGAAATGATCCCTCTCACAAAGGAAACACATCCCAGAAACCAAAATTCCTACAAGATATTTTCACTGGTGTTGACGTCTGGGGACGGGGATCACATGGCGGCGGCGGCTTTGGTTCCTACAGAGCCATTTCTCATATTGACCCCGAGTTTCTTGGGCTCAGCGTGGCTTTATTCGGTCAGGCGTGGACCTGGGAGAGTGAGCAAGATAAGCCGAATTGGACATGGGAACAATGGCTCCAATATGAAACCACTTTATGGGTTGGACCTGCAGATTCGACGGAGGTAGTCCCCGTGCCCGACATGCCCAAGAGACCAGGACAACCTGATTGCGAACACGGACCATTCCAGCCGATCTCATCTTACTTCCCTCGAGCTCCACCTCCGGATCCTGCTAACCTTGCGTTTTACACCTCTTTCTGCCCTGGGGTGGGTCGCGCGTGGTTCGTGAATGGAGTGAAGGTTTTGCAGACCCAGGATGGTTGGGCGGACATTGATAAACAATGTTCTCTGGGAGATCTGCTCTGGCCTCGCGCGATGCCAGCATGGGAAGGTGATAGCCGCACTGACGAAGTGCCTACCGCGTTGCCCAATCTATCCATGGAAGATGCTTGGAATGGAAGCAGCTCCCTGCGCCTTTCTATCTCCACTCCTGGCACTGAAGCGGATGACGCGTTTTTCAGGCTTATTTGGCTGCCCATCCAGTCCCTTCATATCACACCAAGCAAATCATATGAGGCCAACATCGTGTACAAGCTTGATGCTGGAGCTCAGGTTGACATCGACCTTGGTCTGTCTGTCAAACTTCTTTCCGAAACGGGTGAAGAAACTCTGGAAGTCAATCCTGCCTTCACAAGTCAGAGCGACCTTCAAGGAGGTTGGGCAAGGCAGATAATCCAGTTCACGCTTTCACAAGATAGCAGCAGCACGGTCACTGCTGTTGGCCTCGTTATAGGGTTTGCCACAGAAGATCCATCACAGCCTTGTAATTTCTCCGTTCATCTCGGGCAATTGGCAGTGTACCCCAGTCCTCCTGTTGACGTTTCACTTGGCAAACCTCAGATCCTGTGGTCTAAATTCCAGCGTTCTTCTAGTCCATCGTTGAGTGGTCAGCTAACTTGGGAAACTGCTACGTCATTTCCCCCTTTCACCAACATCAAACTCCCATCCGCTGATGACCCAAATCCAACATGGGTCCTAGCAGATACTAAACAAGATTTCTCCTTCCTCTATTTCAACATCTACGCTGCTGTATATCCAGCCGATGGTAGTACTCCTGATCCTGCAGCAGCAATTTTCATTGGGACTACTGGACTGGATGGCTATGCAAATAGCTTCTTCGTTAGTCTAGAAACCTTGCCGGCTGAAGTCCAGGCTGCAAAACGTGTAAGGTTTTACGTCCAGGGAGTGAACAATCGTGGAGAGGTATTATCTTGGACGCGATGTGCATATGTTGATATTTTGATCTAGAGGGCCTAAGATTAAGATGACATCACTAAAACCGTACTATTATTGAAGCTGTCTGTAGTGTAAAAATACAACATGGAAATTATAAACTAAAGGGACAACAAAAATTGTGTTGTAGGTCTACTACCTCACCAGATTATAAGTCTCAAATAGATGAATCGTGATGATAATACGCCACCACTTCATAGCGCTACAAGAAGTTAGTTTCAAAACAGCATATCGCTCTAGTACCACCTATAAAGTCACTACTGCCTGTAATCCTTCGGGGGCTTAGCATACCATCCAGAACGACGAGGCTGGTGATCAGTGAGGTTTCCAGGGTCTGCAGCGGGCGTGCCACGAACGTGCGCTGAGTGTCCGACAGGCTCGGGATGAAATACATCATGTGCGTTGGAACTACGACCAGTAAAGCCGCGGGGTTTAGTGGAACCTCCATCGGAATACCGAGCAAGCTCTGGAGATGATGCAGCATCGAGCGGTTTGTGAGGTTGAGGTTCTCTAGCGCGCTCATGTTGAGAACGCAGGCGAGGTTCGAGGCCGCTGGCGCAAATGGACGTTTGATCTACCACCTGAGAAGAGGTGGTATTTTCGAACAACGCTGGCGGACCTGATGATCCTGGGTATTCGAAGGGCGTAAACATTCCTGTGAGAATAGCCGCGACGCCACAAGCCAAGGAATGAACACTGAGCTCGTCGGCAGAATTGCAGACAATATAACATCTGGCGCAACGATGTACTGTGTTGTTGGATATGTCTTCTACGGGTAAAGGTTTAGCAAAACTTGAAAACCCAGTTTTAACGAATATGTCTACCGTTGTTGGCGGCTGAACCGTCATCTTGTCTGTCACTACGGGAAGCAGAATTGACGGGAAGGGTTGTGCGCCCGGGCATGTTGGGCGAGAACTGAGAACGCTGTGTACTGTTGTTTCGGTAAGACATGAGCGTTGTGATGCTGGAAGCTCTTTTCTGTAAGACTCGTTTATATAGTTGTCCTGAGCGCCGTTGTGGTTGTTCGACGTCATGCGGTACAAACGCGACGACTACATGATCTATCAGGAAACCAAAGCCAGTCCCAGCGCTTGTCAGGAATTTCCTGGTAAAACTCCAGTCGTGCGTAACGCTGACCAGTGCTCACGCACCTTACCTGAAGATATCCTAAAGTTGGCGTTTCACAGCGCCTAAATCAATTGGTTTTGTTTTGTTTGGTAAAGAAGGCCTGACCATACTTGTATTAGTAGCACATTTCACTGCTTGATTATTAGATGACCCATCATCCAGGTTAGGTTGGCTTGCGAGGACGCCTCGATCGATCGCAGTGCATTTAACGTTCCTTGGAGTGAATATCATTGTTTACCGGACTGATAAGGTGCATTCCTGTTTAGACAAATTACAAACAGAAGTCTGTTACATATTAACGCACGACTTTTTGACCCTACCCTCATGCGCCACCATGTGCTAAGCAGTGTTGCACACATTTAAAGACGCTGGACAGAGAATAGCATAGCTGCATGTTGGTTAGTGAAGGCGTTAGCATGGCTAGAGGCCATCCTATCGCCGTTAATGCAGGAGGTGAAATGAAACGCACTTGCAGTGTGGAATCGTGTAACATACCGTGCGCCGAAATATAGAATCGCTTGACATTGATTTCATTTGATTATCCGTGCGGAGGAACATTGCACCATACACGCTGTAGGTGATTGAGCCGACCTCCATGCTGCATTGTTTTGCGCACTGGCACTTGGTGACAGCGACAATAGATAATAGTATTAGACCCTGCGAGAAATCCGCTACTTGCTGGTAGCTCAGTATGCGTGTGCATGCAGCTATGGCTGTCAACGAGCAATACTAGCAACAAGAACTTTTGAGTAAACCAGTGCCAGTGGATTTCTGCGGTGTTTTAGTGTGGAAGAAAGCCGAGTGACCGCGGGTCTTTTAGTGTCTTTGTCCGTATATGGCAATCCAGAAAGAAAGCAATTGCAGGAACGCGAATGTGCCCTTCGACCCTTCTTGTACCGTGACTTGCTCTTCTCTTGACACTACGAGCATTCGCCGAAATCACTTGGTGCGACATACCAAAAGCACAGCGCTGACTGAAAGCCTACTATGGCTATGCTCCGGACCATAATTGGGAGTGAAAAGGTAAACAATGGGTCTAATATCGCATAACTATTCCTTTATGGGATGAGCCAAACCATCCCGTTCTAGGATATGACCGTAACATCATAATCACAGTAAGCCTATTCTTTGACTGTTGCAGATAATTTTGGCTGTTCCAGAGCTGCCACTTATCTTTCCCTTTGTGCGACAGGGAAATGCAATCCCACAAAGACTAGCAGTGAAGAATAGATAAAGACCAAACATGTATATTTTTACCTTTTGATTCTTTGTTCAATCTTGGAGCACACCGGTGAAAGTTTTCCATTTGCATCTCTGGTGTTAGACTGTTGCAACTTGCTATTTTGGCAATTGCTCGTAGTGTGAATATCGCTGAATGCAACTCAAAAGTACTGCAGTAAAACAGGCCCTTTTCTTGACACACTGCTTTACTGATGCACACTGGAGTCAAGAGACCCTCCCAAACCGCTGCAAGCCCCGGCGCGAGTTCCAGTAGTCACCATTATGATGATACTTTCTCACAGAAGAAAACGAAGACAATGCACGTTGCCAGTGAGGAACAAGAAGACGTAGTGCGCCTTACTCAGAGCAAACTTTGTTTTCATCGTAACTGACTGACTTTAAGATCATGGATGAGTGGCAGAGATCGCAAGCTTATATCTGGCAACTGGAAGAACGGGTCCGTCTGCTAGAGGAGGAAAACCAACAACTCAATAACGATCTTACGAAGTTCAGACTCCTCCCTTTCCCTTATGATTCCATGGACGATGATTCTGTAGGGCCTAAATATCTCAATCTCACAAGTCAAATAAAGGACCTCCACACTCAAAATTTGGTGAAAGCTCTAAGCGAAGGTGCGTACATTTTGACTGCTTGGCTAAGGCCAGCCATATTATGTGACTGGATATGTTCAATACTATAGCAATGAGCAAAGCCACATTGCACTCCCGAGAAGTCAAAATAGGTTCCACTCTGCGAAGTCTTAGACCTCCACCATCAGAACACCCGCAGTGCGATGTTCATGTGGCTAATCCTGACATCATTACACAGCCCACACCCCCAGTTAAGGGTGAGCTTCAAAACGTTTCCTTGCTCCGGCGTACATATTTAATCGCTTCCTAACATGTCATTTAGCTCGTTCATATACCTCGAAACAGTCACTAGCCACTAGTCGGTGTGCCCCATTATCACTCTCGGACATAAGGCAGGACGTCCAAAGTGCAAGAGAAAATTTGACCACTATAGGAATTAGTATTCATCGAGCAAAAGCCTTTCTTAAAGATGGTAAACGTTCTCATAATACGTATTAAGAACGTGCTGAACTCATTTCGTATTCAGTTCGGGAAGATGCGGAAGTATCATCTAAAGCAGATGCTGATGTGCTTGAGGCACTGACAGCTGAACAAGAGGGGCACAGGTCGACGAAGGTCAAGCTTCAGGCATTACGACAAACGCTACGTTCGGCGATGGAACAAGACTAATCTTTGACGCAGTTTACTTCTTTGCAACTGATCTATGGTTGGCCTTGAACGCAGTGAGAGCCACGCTTCACCCTAATAAAATTTAGACGATGAATTAAAATTGTTGCTCGATATTCACATCAGTTTAGTTCACAGAAAACAGCTTAGACACACTGGCTTGGCAGTAGTAGGTTCACGAACGTAAAGCAAGAATGAAGTACAAAAAAATCTAAATACGTATATTAATATTTGAGATATCTCACTTTGCCTTTGTATAAGCTTTGCCCTTCTTCTTGGCTTTGGCCTCCTTGATCAGCTTATCACCTTTGAAATCGCCCACGTCTTTCACCTTCTTCTCATCGTCTGAAGCTTCCTCAGGAACGTCGTCGGCGAGCTGCAGGTCGTTTATTCATCAGCTTGACATGTACTTGATTGTATGAAAATGACTCACATCAAACGCCTCTTCAAGATCAGGAGCTGGGCCACCTGCAAGTTTCTTTGGAACTTTGCCCAAATCTTGCGCTTTATGAAATGGTATTGGATGTTCGCCTGCGTTGTACCTGTGGATATGGGAGTGTTAATAAATATCCTAAGCAGAAGAATGATTAAAACATTGACGAACTTTCTGGTAAATGATGTCTTGGTAGCGGCAGATATTTTCTTGAGAACAGCGTCATCTTTGTTTTGGTCGACACCTAGTTCGACTACAGTGTCCCAGTCTTCCTTTGACAGATAATATTCATCCATGCGTTCTATTACTTCGTCCACAGCGCTCTGGAGGCCAGGGGGAAAAGGTAAACAAACCATTCTAGAACGTAAGCACAGAGTACTCACAGTTCCTTCGTCTACTAGCGGCTTGACAATATGAGGAAACAACGCAGGAAGGTACGACTGTCGGATCTCGGCTTTATCTCCTGAGACTTTGAGTCGCATTCGAATTTGCACATCTCCTAGTTGACGATTCAATTTGTTTTGCTTAGAATTTTGACCCAGCCACCTGTTGGTCAAAGAGATCGATAAGAATACAGGATAGCGATAAGTCAAAACTCCTATACATACTGAGGGAAAGACATAGCGTTCGGTCCGCCATATCCGCCACCTGCACCATATAAAAAGGATGCTGGTCGAACCGTCGAGCATACTGCATGCAGAGGCATCAGCGACCAGTGTTGCTCTGGGCTGGTTTCAATATGTGTGAGCGACATAATTAGGCAGACGAAAGGTGCCATCCCCTACCCATGAATTAAAGCATCTACCAAGTCTGCATCAGATATTGATGAGGCCGCCTTGTCCATCAGCTCAAGCTGTTTCAGAACTTTTTGGGGTCCTTCAAGGCTTCTCAATCTTGCAGGCTGCGTCTTCAGATAATTTTCCTGACAGACGACGCAACATAAATATGCGGTATAGATAATGCATTCGATGGACAAATGATGGTGTTCTCAGAAACGAGACTTACCTGTATGAAGAGTGGTACAAAAGAATGATCATGGAAGTAGAGTTCCATCTTGTCGCCAAGAGTTTCGCGACTAGTGCTCGAGAACATATAAGGACCCAGCATTTTATATGTTACATCGAAGGGTGTTAAGATTGTGTACTTTTCATTAGTCTTGGCCCTGATAGCATAAACAGCAATTGGATATAATCAGAAGTGATTCACTAGTCAGAGGAGATACATACAAATCCTTGCCTTCGTCAAAAGACATTGTATCACTTGATAATTTCCATGTGGAGAGCATGTTAAGAACCTGCCGAATGTCAGATTGTGCTCCCGTTATCAGCTGATCGATGACGTTGGCGGGCAGTTTCATTTTTTCTCTGAACGAAGAAATAAGAAGAGGCGTAATACCTCACAAAGAGGACATACTTGAATGCAATGGTCAACATCCTTGATCGAACGGCAGTAGCTTCGGGTCTGTAGAAGGGTCTTAAGTATGTTGACACTAAACGTAGTATAGACAACACACTTGCGGAAGGGAAGATTAAAGGTGGTAGCCAACAGAGGTTTAAGCTTCTGAGCATTTCGATCATTGGCAATGCATATGATAGGAATCTAATTTGTCGAAAATAATTTATGAACAACCCAAATGACGAATAACAAAAGAAGACCAACTTTACTCTTCTTTATCAAAGCGTTAAGAGCGCCGACACCACCTCTGTCACCTGCGGACATCCCATCAACCTCATCCATAATAAGGCAGGTCTTGTCGGTGATGGCCACCCCCACTGCGTTTATGCTCTAAAGAAATTTTTAGTTTTACATTTACCGTGTCCAAAACGAGTTGCAGCATACGCTATTTCCACCCATCCAACCGTCTAGGGATGTGTTATTGATATTCATTCCACTCTGTAAAGGTATGTGTTTAAAATTCATACAGGAGAACAGCCTGCTGCTCACCTCAACTAGCTTCTTGCTTCTCGCGTCACTTGCATTCAACTCGATTGGAGTGAAGCCCTCGAGCTTTGCGCATAGATGTGCACTAGTTGTCTTACCTATCCCAGGTGACCCCGTTACCATTACAGCACGAAATATATTCATGCCATTCTTTCCAGGTTTTTTGAAACCCGATTTCAGGTTATTTGACCTAGAAACTCCACACATGAGGAAAAATGGATTTCCGAAAAACGGGTCGGTGAGCACATACCAATCGTGTAACCACAGCTGAAGTTTCTCGACCTGCCCTTTGTTTCCACATATTTCCTTCAAAGATTGAGGGGCATACTTGGTCGTCCACAGCTGAGATGATACGTCCACTGGCTTGGAGCTATTATGATACCTCAGTACCACAAACAATATGTATATAGACATACTAACCCTCCAGAATGCTTCGAGTCATTTTTCATCGCTTGTTTCTCCCGATTTTCCAGTTCTTTTGCCGCTTTCCGTATAACGTCCTGCTCTTTCTCCATTTTCTTCTTCGTCTTTTCATCGTAACCAACACCATTCGGGCCGCCTGGTCCCTCTCGTGTGGCAATAAGATTCAAAAATTCATCTTCCGAGAGTGATTTCAGTCCATGTTTCTTTATAGCACTCAGTTTGCTAGGACCAGCATTATCTCCTAGAATAACAAAAGACGTCTTTGACGATGGCTGACCAGTCACACGACTAGTGAACGAATGAACTATGAGTAAACGATGCAAGTAGGGAGGAACCTAACTTGCCCTCCGAAGCGCTTTGCGAGATCTACAGCCTCATCTCGGGAGAAACTACTTAGCTCACCAGTAAAGACGAAGGAAAGGCCAGCGAGACAATCCATTGACTTCGGTTCAGGAACCTCCTTCGACCCATGCGCAACAGGGCCCGCCAGCTTTGCTGCCTTTGCAGCAGCCCAACTGGATAAATATTAGACTGTAGACATATAAGACTACGTAGGAGGTATGTGCGTACTTGAATGACTTCGTCGGAGCATTAGCATCTTTCTTAGGCTCTGCTTCACTCTTGACCGGTTCCACATCTCTCTCTTTCTTGGTGTTCTCTGGTTTTGTTCTTGTTCTTTCAGAGGTCGCATTCTTCTCCTTAGCCTTACTTTTTCCTTTCTTTGCCACTACAACTACTTCATCCTCGTCTCCCTCCACATACGGGTCATCGTCTTCACTCTCGCTAGACGTCATCGCGAAATCTTCGTCCATTACCACCTTTTTGCGAGTTGTTCTACTACTGCCTTTATTTGACACAGCTGTCTTTTTCTTCCCATTAGAGATAGGGGTGCTAGGAGAAGGTTTCGATGACGCTTTCGTAGTAACTGCAGTTTTCTTCTTCGGAGGACCTACTTTCATAACTGGCTCTTCGTCTTCGTCGCTAGAAGATTGGATGGCAGCTTTTTTACGCTTAAGATGAGATATCCTCGATGGTTGGCGTGGTGCTTCATCTTCATCACTGTCTACGACCATGACACGCTCCGACTTCGGTTTGGGAGCAACCTGTGAACATCGAAGCCTTATAAGCACAGTACGGTAAATTGGAGATAAATTACTCACCGGTTTCGCAGGTTCGCTATCGTCATCGCCTTTAATGCAAACGTGTGAGCTGATGACTGAATAGTGGGCAAAATGAAGGCGTTTAACACACTTATCTCGATAGGTTTTGGTTTGGTCGGGTTGCTTTCTTGCTTCTACACATGCAGTCCAGGATAAAAAGGTTATGCCACTGAGGATATCGTTATTAATACGAAGATTACGAACCTGGCTTTGGGTATTTTGTTGGCTAGGGCCGGACGGTGTTTGGCTACTGTTCCCGCCACCTCCAAAGAATGTTCTTATATCCTTTCCCGACGTCTTCTTTACCACTGGAGATTTCTTAGCGGGGGGCATTGATATGATAGTGGTACCAACAATAGTGATGGCAGGTGAGCGAGCAACGTTAGAACGTTCACAACTCGAAAGGAGGTCTTCATGTCATAATGTCACCAACTGTCACAAATTGCGCGTCGCGTTATGTCACGTTCCTATACCGCGTCACACGTCCTCCTCACTACTAGTAATGTACTTGTCATCTGTTCATATCATCCGTATGTTTCTGCAGTCAATACAATAGACTAGATGCATGAGATACGGTATAACCGGACAGCACAGTCTGAGGTGACTTGGGATGTAATGCCGGATTAGACCTCACATGCATGGCCTTACACAAGTCGCAGTTGCTCCTAAACAAAGATGACAAAATCCTCTATATAAAAATAAAATTCTAACACTGGCTGTAGATAAACGCTGCATAGGAAGAATAACCGTATTTCCAACCGAGCCTGACTCTAATCTTCCGCGTCTTCCCAAACTACTTCAGGTGATCTGCCCTTAACAGCCATGCCTGCCTTCTGACGGTCCCTCCACCCAGCCCACACACTGAGAATCAATGCGAATAAGCATGCTGCGACAGTCATATTGAGACTGGTCACGTAGCAATCTCGACCATCGAAGCACTGGTGATCTGAAGGCAGTTCGCGTCGAACAATAGATGCAACGCGTGAAGTGAGGGTATCGTGCGGAGCGTGAGCATCTAAATTTCGGCCGAACGCCAGAGAAAATAGATTGCCTCCTACTAACGGCGATAGTGATACATAACCCCAGTTCTCAGAAAGGTGAGCTTTAAAGTGCCATCAGTGAAGCCTAGGTATCATAAAACAAAACTACATACCCAGACCAAACCACTCTATGACTATGGTAGGACAAAGGCCAAAGAGGCTTCCATACGCAACCCCAAGCAAAGCACTCGCTCTCCAAAGGTGGGCAACGTCGAAGACGTTTATGGCGGCTATCTGGGAAATGACGAAGAGCGTTGATACTATGAAAAGACAGTAGCTTCGTGGAAGACCGAGCCGACCCTTGGTGAAGTCAGATATAAGACCTTTCATTTGTCGCGTCAACAAAATATCAGCACCATGAGTAAAACGCACTGTACCTATCAAAACGCGTCCAAGGAAGTTACCGATACTGATCGTCGAAACCTGAGCTGCTTGCCAACGGGATGCTTCCACCTCGTCGTATGACGGGCTACCTTCTGCATAAAGAGCTTGAGAAATCGACCCAACGTTGTTGATATCTAGATCTGTTGTCAGCTCTCCTGATTTTCATGTGAGAAAGCAAAACATACACATAATGCCCGTCCCGCTCACTAGATCAGAAGAAGTCAGAGGAACGAATTGATCCGACAATACAATTTTGAGACTTACGCAACGACATGATAGTGAAGATAAGCCAGAAATCCGCTGTCATCCACAGCTGTTTGCCGTAAATATTCGGAAAACTATCGCCCGAAACCAAGTCTCGGATAGATCTGTGGGCTGAACCACGAGAATCACGGCGCCGAGCGCTTACTGAGCTGTTACCGCTCATCTCCACCGCATCAGATGTCTGAGGCGCAAGATATCCGGAAGCGACAGATTCATCATACTCATGTCGAGGCAGTAAGGAGTTGTCCTCGACATTATGTGCCTGCGTCAGGAGACGAGTCTGGCTATCGTTATTCCCTGAGAAGACCGGGGAAGACTCCACATTAGGCACTGGACGGTAACCATGTTCATTTGTCCCATCCTCCAGACTTGAAACTTTCTCGGATGAAGGAAGGGGTATAGGCCGCACGATGAAAAAACCTATTACCATAGGTAATGCCGTTCCAAAAGCGAGAACCAACAGGAATGAAGATGTGTCACCAGGAAACGCAGTATTGGCGATGGTGGAGAAATAAAAGGCGGAGAGGCCAAATCCTGAAAGCACTAATCCTGTTGTCGACGCACGCTAAAAACATTTTTAAAACCTGGGTTCACAAGAGCTACATATAAGATAAACTTACAGCTTTATCCGGAAAACTCTTTGCTGTCGTATTGATAGCACTAGCCAACCCAGCATTCCCCCCAAGTCCCGTCATGAAGCCACAGACGACCAGTATAATGATACTGAAAATAGATATCGAGATGTCATTGGAGGGCACTCCAACATCGAATACTCTTTTTATTCCGATGTATCCCATCAAAAGAAAGCCAAAGGCTCCGATGAGAGGTATACGTGGCCCTCTTCCATCAACGATTCTGCCCCAAATAGGTCCGCTGCTATATACACCCACTTCTCCGAGTTCAATAAAGATCCTAACAAGAGATAATAAGATGAACCACATACTATTCCCAGCTAGACCAATAACATTAAGCTGTGTGTGGGATAAATGTAAACGAGCGCCAAGTTGAGGAGCATATGCTGAAGAATATGATAAAGTCAGTCAGATATAGGGCGAAGTTTATGACAGCAAAAGAAGTTATTCTAGAGTTACGGCCATGTGCGGGAGGCCTTATCAGTAGTGCATGCCTATACGTGTAGCAGCACTGTAACTCAACCCGTCGGTATGTATGGGGTTGGAATACAAATTATCCATCTCTGGAGCTAATCTACGGGTACCATCAAGAGACAGCTTCCAGATATGCACACCAAAAACATGGTGAATGTGAAGTTGGGCACTGCAATGCTGTTATATCCGCTCTGAGTCACTCACCAGAATATATCTGCAGGTGGAAGCACGAGGTTCAGTGAAGGTCATCACGCCGGCGCGCTTAGTTTGATACGACATACATAGTTCGTACCAGAGCTCAACGCGACCAAGACAGAACCCAGCAATGTGATTATCCTGCTCGTGCTAAGGAGAGCAGGTGGGTGGGTGGTCGCCATTGATCCGGCTGTGATCTGGCGAGAGCGGCGAAGCTTGGTCTAGAAGTATAATTGAGATAGGGCTCGATAGGCTGTAGGAAATGAGATGGTTGTTGCCAGAGATGTTGCTGGTGGGATACGGGCGTTGTACTGCGATGTTTTTTGGATGCCCGTTCCGAACAGCATGCACGATAACTTTAGCTTCCTAGCATACCCGCTGTAAGATTGCAAACATAGGTACAACCCTAACCCTTAATTCGGGCTAATTTGTCACGGGACCGCTGACCGTATGACTCTTACTGATCACCCTTTCCGCTACACCGTGACCCATTCCAAGATCTGACTTGGCTTTGTACGATTACAGTAAAGAAAACATCAAGCTGGTACCATGCCGCCGCGGCTGAACAAACGACAGCAGCGCGAACAGGAGGAGTTGCTGGCTCTGGGAAAGACCCCTGATGTTGGTGGCGGGACGAGTGAGGATGAGGAAGTAACCGCACCCATTATTGCTACTGCAAGTCCGGGTTTCGCAGCAGTGAGTCAAGCCGAGCTCCAGTTGCGGATGAAATTGTAACGATAACTCTAGCTTTTTTCCCCAGAAGATGAAATAGATCAACTTGATGACAGCGAGAATGAAAACTCCTCTCTACCAACAAAGGCTCGAAAGGCTCGCAAATTATTTTATATCACTACCAGAGTTAAGTCTTAACCCATGTTCTGGATCCAGCCAAAGAAAAAGAAGAAGAAAGCCAAAGCGGCTGCTACACCTGATCCTGTGACCACAGAACAGGACTCAAAGGGATCTGAATCGCCAAGAACGTCACAGGCAAGCAATGCGAATCCTAAAACGACCCCCAAAAAAGCCAAAGCAAAGGCGAAAAAGAATGATGATAAAGATGATCTAGATCAGGCGCTCGCTGAGCTCTCTGTCAAGTAAGTGACCTTCTGTTACATTGCAGACAAGCGAATAGGGGACAACCAAGCAACCCCACCGAACGCTCTATTCCCTGACAGTTTGTAACCCCTTGTGAATAAATGGTAACCTCTTTCATTTAATGACAGATACCCTGAGCTGAAGAAGATAGCATCGTCGCCATCATCATCGTCTGACTTTTCTCATCACCAATCTCTTGCGTCTCTCTTAGCTGTGTCACTATCCCATCTTGACAGTGAAGCCGAATTGCGCAAGTTCTTTGGATCGAAAGTCGTAATCGCTGCAAAATCCGGTTCATCCGGCACTACCGGCACATCTCGAAGGCAAGCAGGAACACAACGCTCGCAGCTAACTCGACCTCAGTCATCTTGGTGGCCGGCAAAGCTACGTGAGGGTCTGACACTCAGGCCATTGACCGAAGATGAATTAGAAAAACAAGATCGCTTCGGTTCTCACGCTTCCGGAGATAAGTACTGGACAGTAGAATACAGTAAGAAATATAAAAGTGTTACAATGGCGTTCATGCAGGCGGTGATGGCTGGAGGTGAGTTATTTGCAGTGCGTTTATTTATGCCTGTATTCACACGTGAAGCAGATCCCAGCGCATTTACCCCTATCTTAAAAAAACTACCATGGCACGCAGATACACTCTTACAACTGTCTGAAGTATATAGACATCAAGAAGGTATGAGACATCCATTTATTCAGAGTATATTTGCGAAATGTGATGTGTCAGATTACAGCCAGGCTGTAGACTTTGTTGAATGCGCGCTATTCACATACGAACGTTCTTTTGTTGGTGCATTCAGCTTTTCTACTGGAGTCAATCGACTGGATTTCGACCGCGTAGAGAACCGTCCATTTTTCTTAGCGCTTCACCGTCAGGCAACGTTCGTCTCTCATGCTTTCAAACATTTTCTGCGGTATTAATTAAAACTTTCTAAATTTTAGTGACTTACAGCGCAGAGGTTGTGTTCGAACGGCATTTGAATTTGCTCGTCTGCTATATTCACTTGATCCATGGTCAGACCCACATGGTGCCCTCTTTCATTTAGATTACTTGGCTATCAAATCTGGCATGAGCCACTGGTTATTGGATATATGGAATGAGTTCCATAGCAGGTCACGCGGAAAGGAGACCCGGTCTAACTATTCAAACCCAAGCAACTTGCCCGGGTGGGCTTTTGCTAGGGCATTAGCTATTCGAATGAGAGAAGAATCAGGAAAGGAGAAGGTAAGTTACATCATATCTAGACTATTAGCTAAGGAGTTCACCACGATATGGATAGTCACCTGGGGACAGCACAGATGCTCTGAAGCAGGCGATACTGGGATTCCCCTCCGTTGTCGTACTTTTAGCCGACAAGGCTGATATAACACTGTCGTCGGAGATCAGGAGCCAGAAGGCATTCAAAATTCATACTGATGCTAGGTAAACTTGCATTTTATGGGCATGTACAACCAACTGACTTTGCACAGCGGCCTTTCACCGGCGGAAGCTGTGCTTCACGCACTTTCACATCTTTATGCTCAAAGGTCGGCTTCTTTGTGGAAGCCTACCAAATACGCAAGCTGGTTTGCGAGTACTGTAGCGGCGGTACTTCCCACCTTGTCCTCGCAACGATCCAGTCCCTCGAGAGACAAACTCCTAGAGTTGTATAGCTCACCAGATGCAAGATATCCAGTTTATCGCCATCTGCTCGTACTTGAATCAAGCTGCAGGAGTCTTTTCCCCTTCATCCCTCGCGAGGTTCTTAACATAAAACAGCTAGCTTGCGATCCTCTCCCGCCATTAACATCTATCACTGAGTACAACGAAGAGTTCTTCAAGGGTTCTGAAGACGTATTCGCAATCCGACCTCGGACAAGGAGAAATCGGGTTGCAGACCAACGTGCGTTGGAAAGGTTTCTACCTGATCCTGCTTTCCGTGCGCAGCTGCAGGTATGGTCATTTGCAAATTCAATCACGATGTTTCGAGCTGAGAATGGTCATTGTTTGAGGGTTTCTTTGACGCTCATCCCCGGTTTGCTGAAAGATTCCCGGAGGGGATTGTCCAATTTGTTCAGATGTTAGGTAATCTTCCTGATGGAGTTCTCGAGGATATGATGGCAGCCGAAGCTATGGGTGAGGGTGGCGCATGGGCTGGCGGTATGCCAGGACAACTGCCAGGGGACGAAGTCAACGTTTTTCTCCCTGGGATCGATGGCATAGACGTAGATGCAGAGGACCCGCTTCAAGGCGACGCTCATGCCGAGTACATGCATGAAGACGACGGCGATATTGAAGATGAACCTGACGATGAGGATGGCGATGACGAAGATGACGAAGAAACTGATATTGCCGTGAGGCCCACGTCCCATTTGTCTGAAATCGGCATACTGATTCTTTGCTTTTGTTTCTGTAGCCGTTGCCTGTGCGTGTGATAAGAAACTTGATGAATCGATTTTGGGGAATTTCTGGGCATGCCGGTAATGATGACGAGTCTTCGGAAGAGAGTGGTGGAGAGATGCCAGGTGCCGGCGCAGACGACGTGGACTGAGCGCTAGTACCCGTGGCTTTCCAGATCTTACACAAAAAAATATGACACTTTATTCAATTGTTTTTGAGATTATACTGATATCGTATGTTAATGTCTTCACTGGGTTAGTACAATGAGGACGATGTCCCAGCAGTGCCAATCGGTGTTGGGCAGGTATTGAGAGGTATTTTGTATAGAATGGCTACCCCGGACATTTCCGTGCCGCACAGTATCATCCGGCAACGCGAGGCGTATCGTGGATCATGCAACTATGGAAAACCCCACATCAGATTCTGTTGCTGTTCTTTTTATGGCCACTTTAGACATAACGTGCCAGCTGCGACTTGTGAAACTGCGGGATTTATCTTGGGATATAAATGTCCGGTGTCCAGATGAAGTCTGTAGACCTTTCATACTGCAGACTGCACCATGTTCGAATCTATATTGAATCGAGTTAATGCCAATATTGGGGATCTAAACGTTCGTTCCATCCGGACACTCGATGTTGCAGTCGTCTCTGTGACCGTATGGGCTTTACTCAAGTTGATCAAGGCAACGCGACGATCAAGGAATACGCAATTAAATGGGCCACCTAACGAAAGCTTCTTTTTTGGTCTCGGAAAAGTGTTGGACAAAGCCCCTGATGGAGGACAGGTGTACGAACGATGGGCGGAAGAGTACGGTGTGGCCTACAAAGTTCCATCTGCGCTTGGGAAATCACGGATTGTCCTGTGCGACCCGAAGGCCATTGCACACTTCTTCTCAAAGGAGACCTTCACATATGTCCTCACACCAGTGAGCAAGCTTGCGATCGAAAGTATAGTGAGTCCAGATGAAAAAAAATGATTAACTTGGCTCGTCACTCATCGCATTTGCAAATCGACAGGCCGGGAGGGGGCTATTATGGGCCCATGGCGAAAGCCACAGGAGGTCAGTATAAATCATTATCTGTATACCAGAGAAGGTATCTTGACGTTACTTTTTATCAAGGCAACGAAAGGCATTGACTCCTGCGTTCAGCAATGCCGCTATCAGGAGGCTTACCGCAGTTTTCTACGATTCTGCGTACAAGGTAACTACACCATTAATATCACTCGATTAATTCATCATGTCAGAAATCAGGCCAAAGCTGCATGGGAAGCGCTTCTAGAATCAAACCCAGATGGTGCCATCATTGAAGTTCAGAACTGGTAAGCTTTTTGTCCATGAATGTGGGCTCATCCGCTGAAAACGAAGACAACTTTAAGGATGAACCATATTTCGTAAGTACTCGCCTGGCTCGAGTCGAACCTGCAAAACACTCATGTTTGGGACGTGAAATATAAATTCCCTTACAATTTAACAGGCTCGATAGCATTGGAATTGCGGGCTTCTCACACGACTTTGCTTCGCTGGAAGGCAAATCCTCTACTGTTGTTGACGTTTTTGAAGAATTGGGCAGTGCCAAACCGTCAATTCTATTCCCCATTTTCATCATGCTTGCCCCTGTTTTCCCTTGGCTCATCAAGATACCTAATTCGCGTATTAAGCTAATGCGAAAACTCCACCATTCTAGCAGTGAGATATCGAAAGTGCTGTTGAATCGTACTCGGGAAGAACTGCATGGAGACGCCAAAGAAATACATGAAGACAAGTCTGTCATTGGATTATTAAGTACGTCGTGCTCTGTATTTGTTCAAGAGCCTTTTATTGATTTAGTCACGGCATAGTCAAGCATGAGGATGAAAACGCAGAGATTCATATAACACAGGAAGAAGTCATGGCCCAGGTACTGTTTGTACAATTATAATTTAGTGTTGAAGAATAACCAGTCCGCTGTAGATGAATGTTTTGCTTATTGCCGGCTACGAAACAACTTCCGGTACGTTCTACCGTCATGATTTATATCTGTGCCAGCTAATCATACGACTTATCAAGTCAGCTTAACGGTAAGCATTCCACGACACCATCAACGATACCATGCCTTGAAGATGAGCATTTTTAGTGGGCGTTGATCGAGTTGTCTTACGATCAAGAAAGGCAAACAAGACTGAGAGAAGAACTACTTAAATTCTCCACCGATCCTTCCTGGGATCAACTAAATAGCAACTTACCCTACCTGGATGCGGTAGTTCATGAAGTCCTCCGTCTCCGTCCTCCGCTACCGGACTTGACACGCATCGTAGGTGTAGCGGTTCACAAATAGCTGATACCACACTAATACATGTATTTCCAGGCAACCGAAGATGATGTGATTCCGCTCAGTGTTCCTGTCCAGACTACATCTGGCGAAACTGTCGATCACCTCACAATCACTAAGGACACTTTGGTCACTGTTCCCATTCGTTGCATGAATCGCTCCACCGATGTTTGGGGACCTGATGCTAAAGAATTTAATCCAGAGAGGTGGCTAGACGAGGATGGAATCCCTAGCAAGGCAAAGGATATCCAAGGCCACCGCCATCTGCTTACCTTCTCAGACGGACCCAGGACATGCCTCGGAAAGGGTTTTGCACTTGCAGAATTCAAGGTGAGGCTATGTGCTTGCTTTATCTCCAGAATACGGGTAGCTTATATTTATATTTTACTTGGTATTTCTCAGGCTGTTTTATCTGTGCTCGTAAGAAACTTTACATTTGAGATGCGGGATGGGCCGGATACGAAGGTCGAGCTTGCAAGGGGATTTTTTCGTCGTCCTACGATTGTCGGTGGGGAGGGATGTCGGGTACCCCTTCGAGTTCGCCGAGTGGAGTAGTGTAATTCGAAAGACGGCGAAATCTGGCCAGCTGACACATATGTACGCAATACCATTCAGCAAATAACTTGACAGCCATGCGTCGCACCGCTTGATCGAATAAATGACGACTAATGCTGCGGACGTGAGCGCAGCTCTGTCTGTTCACCTGCAGACCTTTGTCAGGAGTACGATTGTGGTTGTGGTCACTGGCATCGCTGAGTCAAAGGGAATGACGCAATTCGGCATCAACCGGGCCTCTTTGTGTCGCGTAAGTCAACGGCACAACTGGATGACCATCGGCGGCACTCCAATACGCTATGTGAAAAACGATGCTCAGAACAGGCATATCAAAATACAGCCCCCTTTCATCAGTATATAAAGCCTAGGACCTACATGTTCATACAGCAAAATCAACAATATGGACGCTGTCGTAAACCGTGTCAGCATCAACGTCGGTGCCCTCGAGCTTCGTTCTATAAGCACACTCGATGTTGCCGTCGTCTCCTTGACTGTGTGGGCTCTATTCAAGCTCATCAAGGCAACCCGGCGGCAAGGAGTCAAGACCACACGATTGAGGGGACCTCCAAATGAAAGTATAGTATTTGGAAATGGACGGGTGTTGGACAAATCACCGGATTCCGCAGAAATCTACGAGCAGTGGGCTGAGGAGTATGGCGCGGCCTACAAAGTCCCCTCAGCGTTGGGGAAGTCGCGCATAGTCCTATGCGATCCTAAAGCAATATCGCATTACTATCCGAGGGAGACGTCCATTTATATCCTCACGCCCGTCAGCAGAAATGCAATCGAAAGACTAGTAAGATTTCTATGGTTGGAACGTCGTCAATAAACTGACAGCTTATTATCACGTGAAGGCTGGGAGAGGTTTACTGTGGTCTCATGGTGAAAGCCATAAAAGGTATGTGTTCTTCCTTTGTATGAAGGAGGAAAGTACGGGTTCTAAAGCTTATGACTTGATTTAGACAACGAAAGTCCTTAACACCCGGGTTTAGTAATACCGCTATTCGAAGGCTTACATCAGTTTTCTTTGACTCGGCATACAAGGTATTCACGCCGTCACTAACATGACTCTCACCTTTAACGACTGCAATTTATTTAGGCCAAAACTGCATGGGACGCTATATTAGAGTCAAATCCAGGTGGCAGCGCAGTGATTGACGTACAAAACTGGTGAGTAACATAATTGTATTCTATGACTTCATGGGCTGAAGACCAAGACTTGTCTAAGGATGAACCATATTTCGTGAGTCACGACGCTCCCTCATATCTACACGTGACTAAACCGTTCGAAACTACTTGAAGGATTGACACCATTGGAATCGCAGGGTTTTCGCATGACTTTGGATCTTTGGAGGGAAAGCGTTCTGCCGTTGTTGATGCTTTCGAGGAACTAAACTCCGCCAAACCGTCAATCTTGTCCACTTTCTTTTTCTTGCTCGCTCCTATGTTCCCTTGGTTAATCAAGCTGCCCAACTCGCGCGGCATGATCGTGCGCAAGCTCAATCGTGCCATGGGTGAGATATCAAAAGTACTCTTGGAGCGTTCTCGGCAAGAAATACAGGGCGGTGCCAGTGAAAGTGACCAAGACAAATCGATTATCGGATTATTGAGTGCGTCGTACTTTTTACGCTCATTTAGAGGTGTCATTGACATGATTTGATTTGACGCAGTTAAATCTGAGGATGAGAATTCTGCTTTACACGTAACTCCAGAAGAGGTCATGGCTCAGGTAAGCTGCCTGGTTTGAGTCACACTCTCAGTGCTGAAGAATGGACTTTTATAGATGAAGCTTTTACTTATTGCTGGTTATGAAACTACTTCGAGTACGTCCACTCTCAATTTATTTGACTATTCCTGTCTAAATATATGATTATCTGTGAAGTCAGTTTGACGGTGAGCAGTGTGTTGGGATGAACGTCATACATACCCTGAATGAGTGTTTTCAGTGGGCTCTGATTGAATTATCGTATAATCAAGAAGCTCAAAGGCGGCTGAGAGAAGAACTACAACAGTTTTCTACGAACGACCCGAACTGGGAACAACTAAATAACGGACTGCCCTACCTGGATGGGGTAGTGCAAGAAACGCTCCGTCTTCATCCCCCAATTACCGAGTCGACACGCCTTGTATGTTCACACTGATGAAAGACCTGTTGACTTACTAACGAGGCTTGTAGGCAGCTGAAGATGATGTGATCCCACTCAGCGTTCCTGTTCAAACTGCCTCTGGCGAAGTTGTCGACCGTCTCACTATTGCCAAAGATACGATTCTCACGATTCCTATTCGATGCGTCAATCGTTCGGTTGATTTCTGGGGTCCCGACGCGAAAGAGTTCAACCCTGACCGATGGATCGATGATGGCAAGATATCGGGCAAGGCAAAGGATCTTCAAGGGCATCGTCATTTGCTCACGTTCGCAGATGGACCAAGGACATGTCTTGGGAAGGGATTCGCATTAGCAGAATTTAAGGTGAGATTTATTTATTAATTGGCAGTCCCATTCGGGTTGGCTGACGGTTTTTTCCTCGACGTGCCATCAGGCTGTTTTATCCGTGCTTATAAGAAGCTTTGCATTTGAGCTACGCGACGGACCTGATACAAAGATTGAGCGCGCCAGGGGTCTGTTGCCCCGTCCGAGAGTCGCTGGAGAGCAGGGATGTCGGGTGCCTCTCCTTGTTCGACGAGTAGAGTAGGGGTATGGACTGATAGACAAACATCCTTGGACAACTTTTCTTCTTCATCATTGTGCCTTACACTTCGGTGTTGTATATATACATTGGACAGCCTTATTGTATCTCTCATTGCGTTCTAATCTACAACTTGGCGAGAAGAATACTCATGAGACTCGAAAGGAAGACATGTCCTAAGCATGAGGCTGCGTACACCGCTTAATTTGACTCGCGCTTAGACTTCAGTCATGTTTGACGAAATACGTTGGTCATATATCAGTAATAAGCCCGATTAGCGCTAGGTGAAAGGTTTACCAAACAATTCAAGCCTAGCTTAGTACGATGTTGTGTCAAAGTCGTTTATGGATAGCAAAAATTCCAAGGTGTAGCAAAGGTATCTGGGTGGTATAGGAAGTATATGGTAATCGTTTCCAAGATATTTATTGATTTTTTTTATGGCTGAGCCAATGGCGTCTCTTCAATGTTTATTATAGATGTTTTTTCACCATTGTACAGACCATGCATAGACATCCATAAGAGCTTCACCATGAGTATGACTACAATGTAATTCTATTCTAGAAAGCAATCAAGTCATTTCACAATTCAAGCACGTCTCATGGCCCAATAGATTTACAGAGTCGTCAAAAAATTCATAGTAATAAATCTAAGAGAAACTCAGCCAGTGTCAATGTGGTGACAGAAGGGAATAAAACACCTTTGTTATAGACACTCTGGCCAACCACAGAATGTGGAACAAAAATGACCCAACAGACATGGAAACCAAAACTACACGATTGACACTTTCATCAAACATCAATAAAATACAACTAGAACAAAGCCCATCACCAGTGCAAGACTACAACTTCAACCAGTACAACACAGATAGCGAAAACGAGATGTGTGGAATGAGGGGAATGTAAGGACCATTTATTATTTTCTCTATGTCTTGGTTTTTGAACAATTTTTCTGTTACACCTCTGGCTCTAGGGCTGGAGGTATCATTTGCTATTTTACTTCTCATAGCCCTCACAGGCTTTCTCTATCACAACACAATGGAATCCGCACCCGTGTACAGTGATTCTGGACCTTCTGGGCATGCAACCAATCAGTATGCTTTCCAAGTACGCCTTGGTAGCTTAGTTGGTAAAGCACCAGACCATGAAAGCTGGAGTCCCAGGTTCAAGCCCTGGCCAATGCATGTTTTCTCATACTATAAACAAATGTCATAATTTGTCATTCTCAACCATTGTTACCACTTTATATTGCAGATCAGAGACTGGGTATCACTCCCAGCCAGCCAGCACAATGAGTAAGGGCTGGTGGTAGACATCTCGCCAACCAGCTCCATGCCCCATCAGTGCCTGGAGATACTAATAGGCACTTTAGTCAGGATCGTACCTCATCATGAGGATACGGTTCCTGAACATGTGTGACAACACTTATTATTAGTACACTTTCCCACCTGCTGATTAATCTTCAAAGTCGTACAATAGTTATCCTTTTTCTTATTGGTTAATTTTTCCCTTCAGACCACTTTCCTTTTATTCTTCTTTCGGTTTGAGGGATAGACGGTTAGCTATAAAAACCCTACATACTCATGTATTGTTCTTTAGCTTTCTATTACTTGAATTACCCGTTTGACTCCTCATCAGAAACCTCTGAGTCTACTCCCATATCCTCTACTTGCTATATTAACTAGCATCTGTCGATCTTCAAGACTCACTGTACCTCTTACTCCCTGCAAGTGCATTCGGAGACAGGTAGTGTTTTTTTTAATAGTTTATCGTTGCCTCACAGGGAACACCGAGAGGAGGAAGTGAATTAGAGTTGTTTCTAGGGTTGGGAAGGCAGGATCCGGAAGTATGGATGAGGAGATTTTTACAAGAATCACTATTATATCTGCACGCGAAAAAGGTCCTATTGTTGGGAACATTCTTAGCACCCCAATATGGCATTTCCGAAGTGGGATGTAAAAATTGTATGAGAAGACCCATTCAATGTATTTCAAAAATCAAAATTGACAGAAAACAATCTGGGACAAGTAATGATGACTGAACACGGAACACAGAAACAAATCCACGTAAAGTTCGCAGAAGAAGCTATACTCTGGGTGCAGATGCCCAAAAAAGCACGGAAAGCATTCATCAGAGAGCGCATATGAAGCACAGTAACAATATACCTCGACAAAGCAGTTCCGAAAACAGCCAGCTACATTGAGTGGATAGATGAACTGAGAAGAGCAGAAGTAGATGAATTAATTTCAGAACGGAAACAAACAAGGATTAACAAGATGGAAAGGATGATACAGGCAATGTCAGTCACAAACACACACAAACCAAGTCAACGGATGCAGCAGTGGAACAATGGATGGAGGAGGGCCAGGACATGGAGAGAACAGCAAACTCAACAGCAAGTACGGGAACTTTTGAAAATAGCACGTCAAGGAGTGAGAGAAGATGAAGTGAGAACGGGGCAAATATGGGGCCCAAAGCATCCAAATTCAGACGAAGGCAGAATTGTGACCGAAGCGGATAGAGTAGCTTGGAAGAAACAATGGGGTGGGGATGCCAAACAGGATGAAACAAGACCATATCCCATCTCACCTGGCACAGCACCAGCAGGTTCTGGAGAATGTACAAAATGCAGATGGGGAGGGCACAAACAATATCAGTGCTATAGGAAATCAGCGGAACTTCCAGAGTTAGAACAGATATTCCAGGGAGCAGTAGAAAAAGAACCGGTGAGCATTATGATTGTTACTGACAAGGGGGAAATGGAAGTTCACTTGGATGATTTTTAAGAACAGGAACGGTTGGGAAAAGTAATGGGGATGGCTTAAAGAAGAGCAGCTATCAAAAGTAGAAGATATACTTTTGACGGGGGAGACAGAAATAGAGGGAAGAGACAAAGTGTCCAAAAGTGTAGAAACAAACCTTGGCGAGCATACTAAGGGGAGTGATTACATGTATATACCAACAGCTATTGATCTGCACTTTTTCCCGTACGACACAGAAGAAGTCCTACCACTATACTCAGTCGACCCTGCAAATGAAAAAGAGGTTTGCCAATTGTTCAAACATCAAGTCACACTGAAATCAATGCGGGGCAAAGTGTAACAACCAAGAGTTAGTTACTCTGGCGCACAACTCAGACAAGCTATAAAGGTAGTGATGAGGGAGTGGTTACCCCTTAGGTAGGACCAAGTTAGTTGTGGGTATACAACAGGAGGACTCGCTGAGGAGTCTCCTGAATCTATTGAGGTATATATATTAATACAGAGTGTTTGTACTTATGTACTGTACAGTTGATAAAATCAGTGGCTGATGATGTCAGAGGGCGCAGCCTATGTGACCAGCTCCACTGCGTGAGAGACTTGTAGCTAAAATAAGAATAAAGGCAGTGTAGCGCGAGAAGGTGGAGTTTGAACAAAATAGAAAGTGCTGCATGGCACAGTGTGTGAAAACTACAGTATAAAGTTAAAGAGGAGAATGGAAATTAAAGGTCTGAAAATTGTGTGTCATAACACAAAGCCCAACAGTGCATAGCAATAATTGACAACGGAGCTATGATAAACACAATTGATATGACCATATGGGCGGAAATGAAAGGCAAAATGGGAGAGTGGAAGGAATCAAGTATGAAAGGAAAAACAGCAAATAGCGCAGTACTAAAGTCTTATGGACGATGGATAGGACTGGTGCAAACTGAAGATCAGATATCAGTCGCTGGGTTCAAGATCTTCAACTCAGGGGGAGCATTTGAAATCCTCCTTGGGAAACCGCGGTTGGTTAAAAATAAAGCGGTTCATTACTATGCAATGGATACATTACAAATGAAAACTGGAGACAGAATTACAACATTGCACAACAACAATGAAAGGAATACAACAAGGACAAACAAGATCAATGAGACAAAAAACAAAATGATGAACCTGAGAGAAGATGAAATAGAGGAAGACAAGAGAAATGGAAAAGAGGACAAAGAGGAACAGGACGGAGAAACAGATAATGAAGAAAAGGAAGGAAATGAAGAACGAGAAGAGAGAGCGACTGAAAAACATGGAAGTGAAGGAAACGTAACAGAACGGAAAGAAAAGGAGAAATGGGAAAGAAGAGGATGACTGCAACCAACAGCAACACTGGTTATCATGAAAATAGGAAAACATGAGGAGAAGAATATAAATGCAGAGGAGAAGGAAAAATGACAGGACGCACAACGGAGTAAGAAGAATGAACAAGACAATATACACTTACATTTAGCACAGGTAATAGCTAGGAGGGAATGGAAACGAGAGAGAGAAACATTGGGAGAGTTAAGAAAGTGAGCAGAAAAATATGAGATGAAAGGAGGATTGAGAAAAAAAGAGAAAAAACAAAAAGAGAGAAAAGAGGGAAGAGACAGTGAAGAAGTAACCACATATATAATGGCGAAGGAATACATTGATGCAAGGCACAGCAATAGATTTTGACCAGACAGGATAGAACAAGTGAAGAAGTTAATAACCATTGGGGACAATCTGGATACTGAACAAAAACTAAGAGTATGTAACAACCAAGAGTTAGTTACTCTGGCGCACACAGGAACACACTATAAAGGTAGTGATGAGTGTTACGATTTCTATTGGACATTTAAGGACTACTCATTTCTCTTTACTCATCGGTTATACCATTGGACCGATGACTCATTTCCTTCACATACACTCCCGTTCTTCTTGCATCCGCATTACCTATTATAGTACTTAGTCCTCAATGGACGGACCTGCCCTAGATAGGACCTAACTCCTATCATCAATTCTTTCCATTATAAATACACATGTAACAGTAGTAGTATTCTCCAATACGATTCTACGCAGTTTACGCTTACAAAGCTAGACTCTTAAGATCAAAACTTCTACTCAGAAGAAGACCAACTCTCGTTGGAAGGACTCAAATCTGCACTACATTCTCGAACTTGTCCTCGGATAAGTCTCTTTACAAAACCTCAACGAACCTTTGGACTTTGCTAAGCACTTTGTGCATAACAATGAGGGAGTGGTTACCCCTTGAGCTGCAGAGTGTTTGTTGGTATACAACAGGAGGACTCGCTGAGGAGTCTCCTTGATCTATTGGGGTATATATACTACTACAGGTTTATTTGTACATGTTGTACTATACAGTTGATAAAGCAGTGGCTGATGATATCAGAGGGCACAGCCCGTGTGACCAGCTCCACTGCGTGAGAGACTTGTATCTAAAAATAGAAAGAAGGCAGTGCAGCACGAGAAAGTGGAGTTTGAACAAATGGGAAAGTGCCGCATGGCACAGAGTGTAAAAACTACAGTAAAAAGTTAAAGAGGAGAGTGAAAATTAAAGGTCCGAAAATGTGTTATCGTAACAGAGTAAGTCAACTTATAGAAAAGTATGCTGATGTATTTGTATTATCACTTGCAGAAGTTTATCCAGTCACATCCTGCATCCATAAACTGAATCTACCACCAGACGTGAAAGGACCCACAAAATACAACAAAAAACGCTAATGGAACCCCAAAAAGAATGGCTATACAACATACTCGACAAGATGGTTGAAGCTGGGATAGTGAAGCCAATGTTGGCAAGTGAAGTGAAATGGGTTTCCAAAGTCAATATATTACCAAAACACCGGGGAAAAAGTGAAGTACATCCAGATGAATTAAAATGCAAAGCTAATAAAGCATTAACAAGAGTGAAGCTGCTGAAGCAATGGCCAGAGATTGAACGAGTTGAAGAGAAGGATATACGAACAGAAGAAAATGTATCAAACTGGAAAAAGTGGAGATTGACATTGAACTTCATTCCACTAAACAAAATCACTCCAAAAACAGTGTTCAATATCAGAGACTTAGAGGCCAAACAGAGAAAAGTAGCCGGTAAAAAATGGATCAGTATAATTGACTTCCATGCAGGGTTCCACACAGTACCGATCAATGAACAAGACATTCCATACTTAGCATTCCACGTGCCAGGGCAAGGGTACTATGCATATGTTAGAATGCCATTAGGACTCATGGGAGCCCCAAACACGTTCAATGAAATGATTGCAGGCGCATTTTTGGACATGATAAGGAGGGATTTTGAGCCCTGGGTATATGACTGTGCAATTGCAGGCAACAACTTTGAGGAAAAGCTATGTATACTAAGCAAGTTCATGCAACAATGTTGAGATGAAAAATTATCATTAAATCCAGGAAAAATGCTCCTGTTCATGACAGAGGCAAAATATGCAGGGGCGATTATATCCAAAGAAGGAATACGACCGGACAGAGTGAAGATAGAAAACATATTAGATTGGCTGACTCCAAAGACAGCACATGACGTGTTAGGGTTCCTAGGATTAACAGGTCACTTTCAACCATTGATAGCGGATTATGCCAGGAAAGCACAACCATTATTGGACCTGATATAAAATATCAAACCAAACACACCACAGGGTACAAAAGCAAGGAAAGGATCCTACAAAAAAGTGTTAATGGAACACAATGTAAACAAACAATGGGGAGACAAACAGGAAGTAGTGTTTGCTACTCTAAAAACGGTGTTAACGTCCGAACCAGTTTTGTGAGCACCAAGATGGGACTTACTGTTCATAGTAACAACAGACGGTTCAAAGACAGGCTTTGGAGTGACTCTATCTCAAAAATGGCCAATAAAAGGGACAGACGGAACAACAAAGCCAGTAGAACATGCGGTAGCATATGCATCAAAAAGAACATCACTAGCGGAAGAAAACTATGCTCCATATTTACTCAAATTTACAGCTCTCCATTTTGCGTTAGCAAAATTCAGGAAATATGTGCATGGCCAACCAATCGAAATTGTCACGGACAATCAAGCACTGAAGGATACATTGAATAATGCTAATTTATCTACAGCTCATGCCTGATGGAAAGATACCCTAATGGGAAGAGATAGTGAAAGTGACGCACCGAGACGGTGAACTGAATCAAGCAGACGGTTTAAGTAGAATATGGCAAAACACTAACAAAACAATAGGAAACGGACGAGACTACACAGTATCACCAGAATGGGAAGACCAGTCTGGAATCAAGAACAACCTCTTCTTACTCAAACCAGATACAATCACAGAGGAAGTAGTGAAAAGATACAGCAACAATAAGTACTTTTCAGAAATTGTTGAATGGCTGACAGCGTTATTAGTACCAAAAGAATGGGGATGAGGATGAAAGAAGTCAATAAAAGCCCAAGCAGCAGCTTATATAGTGGAAGGGAAACAATTATGGAGTGGAGTGCCTATCAGCAGAAGAAGGAGTCACAAAAGCAAAGGAATGCCATTGCAAAGGAGGACATTTTGGAAGAGATTTATGCAAAAGTCAATTAAGAAGGCATTTCTTCTGGCCGAACATGCAATGAGATATCATGAAGGCAATAACAGAATGCACAAAGTGCAAAGCGTTCAGAGTCTGCCATCTAAATGCACTGTCGAGCCCAATAACCAGGTCTTGACCATTTCAACTAATAGCAGCAGATTACCTGTAATTCCTGTACTCTGTTCCAATAGTTTCAATATGGAATAGATTCCCTTGCCTTGTTACCAGTCCCTTTCTAAGTCTTTTCCAATCCTTCTCCAAAGGATCTTTACTCTACTTTTTTTTATCCTCTACTCTCCTTTGCCCATTTTCCGTCAAGTTAGGGACCAAGGTCTGTGGAATGGCCTAGCGCACGAGCTAAGCCAATTCCCCATCTCATTCCCTGTACTCTGTTACTCCAACACCCCACTCTGCAGCTCTGTTACTCTGAAGAAGCCATGGCGCTGACACTCTCCACTTCTGAAGTCATTGTTATCCCTTTCAATTAGAGTCCTTCTGAGCACTATAGTCTGTGTGTCAGGAGCCTACTATCACTGGGAACCTTGTAACCTTGTCACCTCATCATTCTCAAACCTACCTTGTGCTACAATTAGCAAGGTAGTGCTTGTCCATACTCATCACAAAGCCCCTATCTTCTATATTTTAACTAGCCCTCCTCCTCAAAACCCACACCCACACGTCTTCGGGTTTTACTTTGAAGCACAAATAACCAGACCACTCCAATATTCTAGGAGGCAAAGCCCATAAACAAGTTCCGTGGAATCTGGGAGGATTGTTTGTTAGTTTGTTTTTGTGTGTGGTTTTCTAACAACAGTTCTCATCATTAACAGCACCCAGTCACACTTAGCTTGTGGTTTGAAATATTTTTTGATCTCTGCCTTAAGATCGTCCCAGGTGGGCCAGTGACCAGCAGTATAGCACTCCTGGAGTCATACTTGGGTGTATAGACCTGCCAGAGGTCCTTTTGAGCCTTGACAGCACAGCTGTTGCCTTTTCAAAATTGTCGGCAAATGTGTCCCAGTTTGCCTTGATCCTAATTTGGAGCTTGATACACCATTTGGCGAATTGAGCCCAGTCTCCTTCAAAAGTGCCGGGGTCAGCGACAATGCCATTTTTTTTGTTGAATCTTTTCCCAACCTGTTCAGGGGGGTTTGCCTGAATTTCAGCAAGCTGTGTTGTCAATGCTAGAATCTGTGCACGCATGTTGTGCAACAGAGTGTTGACATCAGGTTGGGTGGTTTTCAATGGTAACGTAAAAAAAGGTAACTGGGGGTCCCCACTTGCTATCTGCGGATCAACCTCTTCCCAGCTGAGTAACAGGTCTCAATCCCCAACTACCCACACTATAGTATTTAAAAAAGTATATAAATTTGGTGTAACAAAACCCTGGTCCAAATAGTTGTCAGGGGGTAGTCCGCTTGTTAAGCCATCAACCCTTCTCCGGACTGGCAGAGGCAAGTGCCCAGCCTAGTCAGAGGTACAACACCCAACTGGCACCCAAGTCTTACTGTTCAAGAGATGACCACTCAATGCTGTGGTGTGGGTTTGCACAAAGTGCGAGAGTGTTATGATACACAATTTTTGGACCTTTAAATTTCATTCTCCTCTTTAACTTTCTTCTGTAGTTTTCACACACTGTGCCATGCAGCACTTTCCATTTTGTTTAAACTCCACCTTCTCGCGTTGCGCTGCCTTTCTTTATTTTTAGCTATAAGTATCTCACACAGTGGAGCTGGTCATACGGGCTGTGCCCCATGACATCATCAGCCACTGCCTTCATCAACTGTATAGTATACATGTACAAACAACCTGTAGTAGTATATATACCCCAATAGATCAAGGAGACTCCTCAGCAAGTCCTCCTGTTGTTTACCCACAAAAAACTTGATCCTATCATAAGGGGTATCCACTCCCACCCACTTCACTCTTGCTTGTCTAAGTTGTGCGCCAGAGTGTATACAAACTCTTGGTTGTAACAGCAATTGCTTTAAAATTTTGCTGTTTATTTGCCCTCCCAGCATCGACATGACCCAACATTCCTCAGCCAAATGCCTCAATGTGGTGCAAGACAACATGATGGCAATTCAGATTCAGATGAACAATGGTGTCTTTTCTTCAGAAACAACCAACAACTGTGATGATTTGGAGGAGAGCTGTGACAAACTTGGCAACAAGAAGCACACATCTGAGGGCCAGTCACCTAATAACAGCCATAGACAGGGTCTCCTGGCACTTGCAATGCCAGGAGATGGTGCATCCATTGCAGAGCTCAGGAAAATAGGTAAATGTGTTGCCTTCTGCAGATCATAAAAGCCAAACATCATCACAGGCACTTCAGGCTATGCAACTGCACTTATATGAGATCTGCAATGACAACAGGCGGCTGAAAAGGGACAATGCATTGCTTAAGGCAGAGCAGCCTACATGAGCTCAGGCACCAGCTGCCTCAAAGGAGGTAATTGCTCACAATGAGAAGATTAGGAAGCTTGCAAAGAAATATGGGATTATGGTTGATGTGTTGGTAAATTTACTGTGGTTTTGGGCAGAACAACCAGCTGAATCTGATGTGCCACAAGTGGACTCTCCAAAACACTATGCATCAGCACTTGTGGAGAAGCAGACACAAATTATAGAACTACATGAATCCACTTCCATTGTTTAATGAAGGATAGCCAGCACCTTGGCAACCTGGTATGCCGGTTTTATGCCATTCATTTCATATGTAAAAGCAACAAACCATTTTTTTATAATCTAAGTTTCAGTAAAGGCTATGCAGTGGCCGTTCAGATGTCATTTTTAAAATTTGTGGTGAAGCCAGCAAAATATTTGGTCTCCCACAGCAATATTTTGAAGTCCAGCTTGACAGGACCTCAGTTCCAGAGCTTGAATTATTACAAGTAGCCAAACAGGTTGGAGAGCAAATAAAGTATGATATGTTCCCACCTGTTCTATTCCCTGACGGTGTAATGGACACAAAGAGTGTCTTCAAAAGTACCACAATTGCCAAGGTAATATAGTCACTAAATCATGTACAAGAACTGACTTACCATTGTTGCTCAGATTCTCGAAGTTGCATTTCATGGACCAAAGTCACTTGAGGGTGGGCGTGCTGGTAGTAAAAGTAATGCAAAAACATGGGATGTGACAATGAATACTCCAGGATTTCTAGCATGGGGAGCAGTTGTGGTGAGTTAAAAATAGGCTATTCTGAGCGGCTGTCATTCTGTAACAACCAAGAGTTTGTTACTCTGGCACACAACTCAGACAAGCTATAGAGTGAATGATGAGGGAGTGGTTACCCTTTAGGCTTCAACAAGTTAGTTGTGAGGATACAACAGGAGGACTCGCTAAGGAGTCTCCTGGATCTATTGAGGTATATATACCACTACAGGTTGTTTGTACATGTTGTACTATACAGTTGATAATGCAGTGGCTGATGATGTCAGAGGGTGCAGCCCGTGTGACCAGCTCCACTGCATGAGAGACTTATAGCTAAAATAAGAATAAAGGCAGTGTAGCGCAAGAAGGTGGAGTTTGAACAAATATGGAAAGTGCCGTATGGCACAATGTGTGAAAACTATAGTATAAAGTTAAAGAGGAGAATGAAAATTCAAAGGTTCGAAAATTGTGTATTGTAACACATTCTGATCTTGCTATATAGGCTGTTTTCTTAGTTTTTCCTGACAAAGAATTTCCACATGATGGCAAAGGTGCCAAATCAGGTTTAAAGTGCTCTGACCTGTTCTGTAACTACAAGAAAATCCTCATTATGAAAGCCAACAAGAAACAAGTCAAAGAAATATACAAAATCTTCAACCAGTATATTTTTTCTTCACACAAGACTATTCAGGCAGTTATTGCAGGGCAAGGAGATTGCTATAATGAAGAAGTTGAACAAGCAATGGCTAAAATGGATATTTCTTCTGACAAAGATGATACTGAAGTAGTAGTAGCAGCCGCTGCACTATCTGCAGTGCAGATTAATGTTTTGTCTACTGATGACATTTTCTCTCGCAAGCTCATTGGCACTGGTGGAGTTGATATTGAGGAGGAGGAGGCCGGAGATAATATTACCAAGGCACTGGTGATGAACACCAAGAAGAGTCAAAGTGGTAAAGGGAAGTCTGCAGAAGTAGCTACAGTTAGTACTGAAATTGGCACCACTACTACAAAGTGCATTCATTGTACCAAGTAGTTATTTGATTTCATACTCTAACATATTTGTTACAAATTCAATCTTTGCTGATACTTGTGTGGTGTGGCAATCACTTTGTAAGTACATTACAAGCAGTCCAGCAAAACAACTAGTTACATATATTGATGTATACTTCTATAGTAATATCAGCTCTTTGGTGGAGTGGTTATATTCAAAAAAAAGACCTGGTTGCAATAGCTCTTGCAAGTGGGGTGGTCGTGGGTTCAAATATTGTCTCTTGCAAAGCCAAAAAACATTGTTTTTCAGAAACTCCTTGTAAAGGTTTCACCTTTAATCAAACCACAAGTGCACAAGGCCTTGTTCTATTGCTTTAATAGCTAGCACAAGGTATGCAATGTAGTGGTAGTGATTTTAGATGATTGTCTAGATAAGGTTATTACATAATGCTAGAAAAGCGGAAATGTGGCTGTAAGTATTAGATAAGGACTAGGAAGGGTGCCACCCTTACACTCTGTACTCAAGGTTCTCGACATGAGCCTCCTACGTAGTCACATTGATGGATCTATCACAAAACCCAATATCACTATTGATCCCTCCAGCGCTGCAAATTGGGAAGTAAACAACAAAGCAATTATAGGATTCTTACAAAATAGGTCTGCCGATAACAAGAAAGATCTTGAGAAGTGTGTGACTGCAAAAGATGCATGGGCTATATTGGTACAGCATCACAAACAAACAGGACCGGTGTTGCAAATCCTATTGATACAACAGTTCCTTGACATCAAATACAACCATGTTAAAACTTATTCTGACACTAGCAGATGCCTCTCTGATTTTGCTCGTTGGATCTTTGCTATTGGAATTCCAGACAAAGAGACTTTCCTCACCATAGGCATGCTCAACGCTCTCTCTGGTGAGATGACACATATCCATGATTTTGTGTCCTCCAAACTTTCCAAAACCAACCATACATTCAAAACTATTGATATCTGCCAACAACTTGATCTTGAACAGCAAGTTCAATGATCTGATTGACCTCAACCTGAAACTGTATTGGTAGCCAAACCCACTTTTTTGCGCTCTACACGCATATGTTCCACTTGCAAGCGCTCTGGGCATCTTGTAGCTGACTGTTTTCAGCCTGGGGGTCCTCTGGAATCACACCACGATGAGATTCTTGCAATCTACATGGGCCACCTCTGCTCTCCCAAAACCCGGCCTTGTTTGTCGTACCAATACCTCTGGACAAGCCTATCTCATAGATACTTCAAACAGTACCGCCTTCTACCTATCAGCTCCTAAAGTTAAAACTACCACATTGCCTGTTGACCCTGCTGAATCATCTGCCTTCATCACACTTGCTCATGACAACACACTTTACCCCTCTGCTTCTATAGCCAACCATGAAGAATACCATGGTTTCCTTGTGTCCGTTGATCCCACTGTCTCTATCAATTGGGACGACAATATCAAATCTGACATTTTGTATGCGCCCATGTCTGCACTTCAAACCAACACCTCTACCCTTATTGACCCAAATGTCTCCTCCATGTACCTTGATACTGGAACATCTATACACATCTCCAATGTTGCCTCCAATTTCTTCTTGCTACAACCCACCTCACCTCACTCCGTTAACGGTGTTGGCGGCTCATCTGTTGCAGCACTCGGAATTGGCTCTATCAAACTCCACTTAGGACAAGGGGCCCACTTCACGCTTCACAATGTTTTATACATCCCATCAGCAATGGTTCACCTTATCTCCATCTCTGCCCTGTGCATGTCACAACGCTGCACCGCCCATTTTGATTCCACTTCCTGTTTGATCACATCCACAAACGGTACTTGCCTTATGTCCAGATCTCTCACAAAAAAGAAATTGTATGCTGTGAACGCCCCCAACATCACTCACTGCTCATCACACCATTTTTACCACTCTGGACACCTGGCATAGACGACTTGGACACACCAACATCCACGCAGTAAAAGAGATGGCTCACCAACAGTGCACTATAGGTATGCCTCTCTCTTTTAAAGATCCAAAAAACAAATGTGAGCATTGTATACTCGGTAAACAAAGCAGATCCCCCATTCCACGCATGCAACAAGGTGTTAAATTGATTGTATGTCATGAACTCAATAGATGATTTTTCATCATACTCTTCGTCTATTCCACTCCCCTCCATATCCGCTGCACTCCCCCAACTTCAGAAATGGCAACTTGAACACGAGCTAGAGATAAATGATAGTGTTGGTATTTTCTGAACTGACAATGGTGAACTACACAGTGACACCATGCAACAGTGGTTGTCCATTTGCAACACAGTTCACCAATTTACCGCCCCGCATACATCTGCCCACAATGGTTGCATTGAAAGACTACACCACACTCTGATGGGGAAAGCATGCTCAATGAGACTGGCTTGCCAAGCCCCGCCGAACTTGTGGGACAAGTTTATTATGACATCCAATTATCTCACTGTCCGAATGACAACTCATTTGCTAGTTCACCAAACTCCTTATGAATTATGGTTTGGCCGCAAACCGGACCTCTCTCACTCGTGAGAGATTTGTGCTTGTGCTTTTGTGTTGATACAAAATCAACACAACCCAAAAGTATTCTCCTGCTCCATCAAATGCAAACTTATCGGTTACAATACCTCATCAAAGTGCTACCAATGCTACAACACCAACAGTCACCGTGTCGTCCAATCAAATCATGTCACCTTCATAGAATCCCATCAATCTTCTGCACTAATACCCCCTGATCCTCCACCATCCCACACTGATTCTCCCCCTCTACACAATCCTCCCACACCCCCTGAAGCTAAGTATCTCCCCCATCCGCTAAACAAGCTGAAAATGAAGGGCTCAATTTCCAGCCTGTCCTATCCCGTTCCTACGCCCATTCCGCCCTACTCAATGCGCCAATCAATGTTGACTGTCCAGACAACCCTTCCTCCCTCCAACAAGCCATGGATTCCATTCATGCTTCTGAATGGAAGAAGGTGCTTGGCAAAGAATTTGCTTCCCTCCATGCACTCAATGTCTACACCCTCATACCAATATCATCCATTCCACCTGGTCACCACCTCATGCGAGGCTGTCCCGTATTCAAAATCAAATGCAACGAGACCGGCAAACCCGTGTGCTTCAAAGCCTGCTACGTTTGTAAAGGCTTCACAGCTGTAGCAGGACACAACTATACCAAAACAACATCCCCCACTGCCTGTCTTGAGTTTTTTTGCATTCTCCTTCATCTTGTTGGCAATCTTGGGTGGGAAGCTCAACAAATAGACATCAAGACTGCTTTCCTCAATGGTCAGCTCCCTGATGATGAAATTTGTTACATGGAGCAACTGCATGGGCTCGATGAATGACCTGGGGAAGACTTTGTATGGCAGCTGAACAAAGGCCTCTATGGCATGAAAAAGGCTGGTAGGGTGTGGAATAAAACCATGAATGATGCCATGTTAAACTGGAGATTCACCCATTTACCCTCTGAATACTGCGTTTATTTTTGTAAGTCCCCCACTGGTGTCTGCATTGCGGCTGTTCACGTCGACAATTTTCTTGTAATTGCTTCCTCCCAATCTGAGCATGATTTATTCAAGGCCAATCTCAAAACAAAGTGGGAAATTTCTGACTTAGGAGAAGCACATTTCGGCATTAGTATCTCCATTGAACGCAATGTCTTGTTGATAAAGTGTTTGATATGGGATAGCTACCAAAGCTTCTTTATCCTAGGGTTACCGGAAGTTTGCAATCTAAGCTGGACAATGGGTAATAACCTAGTTCGTTTGCGGGGTGGAAATTAATTATCCCCTTTGTTGTGAGTATGTCGATAGTCCTTGTGCTCTGGAAGACTAATATGACAATGGTAGATATGTCCTTGGTGATATAAAGGACAAGTGGTAGTATGTGAATAGAAGTGTGAGGGTACATGTGAGTTTGAAGTGTTACGTGACTAGCTTCAAGATATAGCCAACACTAGGTGTGACAATGATAGTCCTCGCCTGTTGAGAGACTAATAGAATAAAGATAATAGTGTCCTACACTTGATAAAGGACAAACTATGATACACTGATGGTCGATAGAAGGGTGAAGCAATGCTTGACTATGCTTCAGTGAATGACTGTAGATGAGCTTACACCAGATCAATAGATGACTGATATAAGTTTGAGATGAACTATAGAATACTAGAGCTACTGGTGGCAAATAATAAACAAATCACAGACTGTAATCACACTTGGACTACTGTTATCTGTGACAGATGTGACTTGATGACTAAGCTTCCTAGGGTGGGCAATACCTCTTGTATGCTTCCTAGGCAAAAGCTAGTTGACTTCTGAGTGGTTGACCACTTATGTGAGGACTGCTTCTAAGTAAAAGCTTTTTTTTATTAGGTGGAAAGTTGGCCTCCTTATATACCTTTTGGCTATAGGGGCTCCTTCCTAGTTGGTAATTACAAATGGTAGTACCAAAATAACTAATGGGAATTCAAAAGGCCAGAATCATCTATTTCTAGATGATTCTAGAGTGGTCTTTTTGAGACTAAGAATAGAAAAGTAATTTGAAAATGTGGAGCAAAATATGACTCAGTCAGGCACAGTATTCTATTTATAAGAAACAAATGCCAATTCAGCCTTCACCATAGTAAAACAAGAATTTTGGAGAATTTCCTTATTTAGATGCCCTCTAAAAGTATCCAGACTGAAAGGGGCGTGAAAGTATTACCTACTCCCCAAAAACCGGAGTGATTGGTGAAGTGGTTGTTGAGAAAAAGACAGATTATGTCATAGGAAATTCACTTTCCCTTTTCAGAAACTGACCATGTACAAGCCATGTGGTCAAATTTCAGTGTGGCTGCCATTGGCTGACAGTAAGTGTGATACAAGCATTCTTGTTTGACTCATATCTCCAGAACTAGCAGTCTTCAAAATATGAAACTTTGTGACATAGTACTTTGGAATGTGTACTTCAAGATAAGGTGCTTTGGGTGGGGTACAATATGTTGTGGAATGCCACGTCCATACATGAAACCTTTTTCATGTATGACAGCGAGCGAGCTTCCCATTCAATTTTCATCCCCCAAACAGCTCTGATTGATTGTGTTGTCAATCAATTCAACTTACAGGACGCCTTCCCCATTTCTGTCCCTATGGACCCTGGCATTCAACTCCCCCGTTCTCAACATGCTCCACAGAACAACTCTGAACGCCAACTCATGGCTGACACACCATACCAATTACTTGTTGGCTCTTTGATGTACATTGCCCAAGATTCCTGCCCCAATATCTGTTTTGCAGTCCAACAACTCAGCCAGTTTCTCAACTGTTATGGTCCCACCCACTGGGAAGCAGCCAAGCATGTTGTGTGCTACCTTAAAGGACCAAGGCTTCTATGTTTACACCTCAGGGGTCCATCAGTCGTATGCCTCATCGCTTATACTGACACATCCTTCGCAATGTGTCCAGATATCAAATGTTCCGTATCTGGCTACTGCACCTCACTTGGGTCTGACATTGTATCTTGGTGCTCCATCAAACGAGCCACCGTAACAACCTCAATGTGTGAGGCCAAATACATTGCCGCTTCTGAATTGTCTAAAGAATTGGTCTGGCTTTGTGCCCTTCTACTTGGCCTCCAGCACAAATAACCCTTCAACTCCCCTCTTTTCTGTGATAATAATAGAGGCATTATCCTCTCTAGTGATCCCTCTTTCCACTCTCAAACAAAACACATAGATATCAAATACCATTTTATCCACGAACTTGTTTCTACCAATCAACTTTCACTACAATACATAAATACCACTGACAATCTCGCCAATGCCTTCAACTTCACTAAACCACTCTCACACAAACAATTTCACCATCTTCATAATTTTATGAGCCTTCAACCCTGGTATTTCCATTTTTCTTTCCTCTTTTTTTGAGCTTTTCACTTCCGATCATTCTCTTTGAGGGGGTCTGTTAATGTTCAAAGAGACACATTACTTAGTATTCCATCTGTCTAGTATTCCATTTGATCAGGTGACTGTACAACAACAATGTTTATATTCTTTTCTCCTTCTTTTTCTTCTCCTCAGTTGGTTCTCTGACAACTGATGATCTTATGTCTAGGCTTTCACATAGAATGAGTTAAAACTTATTCAGAGGGCAAGTAGATGAGGTAGAAAATTGACTGAGGGAAACATTGTAGTTTCCCTAGCTATATATTCATATGTTGCTCTTGTAAACTGAAACTCAGACCGTTATAATACATACACAAGAGCACAAACAGAGACACTAAAAACAATAAAAGCACAAAGGCAATCCCAGGACCTGATCCAGATCTTGTACACTTACAATGCACTGGGACATATGTACCAAGACACACATAAGAGAACAAAGAGTACAGTGTAGGACTGGCATTTGAGCCAGTCAAAATACCTGCACATTCCAGGCCCCATTCCCTTGCAATTTTCATCCATTCAGTTACATCATCTATCTGAGATACCTGTATAGACATTTGTATGAATAAACTATAAACATCATGGCAACTGCATGCACAATTCAAGAATATAGGTTGACACGATGAAATCAGGTTTCCGGGCATTTGAGCCAGCACCAAATATAGCAAACACTAGTGCACTGCGACTCTGCTCCTTCCTATTAAGGTATATCTCACTCAGATTAGCAGTCTTGGTTGATACTCATCACCGGCATTGCGCTGGCACAATGCTCTTGAGCCCAAAAAGGCTTTAAATCACACTGTAAATGTGTATGTGATACTATAGCACTACTGTACATAGTTTTTGGGGCACAATGCTAAATTATATCCACTGTACACATCATTTACTCTTAAAGTTGAGCTTTATCCTCGTATATAGCACAAGAAATCACACATTCCTTTGATTTTTACATTACAATAGCAATACGCATGTATTTTTAACATGCTCGAGCTATGTGGCTGGTGATCACACAAACAACGCATGTGCTATGGCTCATTGGCTCAAACGCCCATCCTGGCTCAAATGCCGGTCCTACACTGTACAATACTGTAGTGTCTCGGTTATTGTATGTAGAACGAAGTATAACAATACTATAGTGAACACGTCACTGTTTTTCTCGGAGCATGTGGTGCAATACCCACTTCCGGAAATCTCAGATGAGAAATTCTGGTGCCCTCTGGGGATAGATTTTTCTTGATTTAGGTATAGCACCTGACCGAAATTGGTCTTCAAAAGTATGTTGGAGGAAGTTTTGGAAACCCAAATGGGATCAGCTCAGACTTTTGAATTGCGCTTAGCCATAAAACTATCAAGCGAGTTCGACCATTTTGCAGATGTATTATCAAATGAAACACCGTGTTACACTAATCTAAATTATCCGAGCAGAAAACTGCTCTGAGTTCGGGGTTTTTGGTCGGACAGCCTAGTGGATTGGCAATTATATATGTTTTCCGGTAGTATGTGAGGACTGTCAAACGATAAGTTGCAGGCGCGCCCACTTGTAGACCACTAGAGAACAAAGCTTACCAGAATCGTTTTCATGTGTTCCTCCGCCATTTTACGAAGGCTACTTTCCATCTCTAATTCTTTGTTTAGAGCTTCCACTTTAGTGGTATGTAGAGTCACGACTGTTTATTCCATAATAAGACGAACAAATTTGCGAAGCTTCAAAAGAGTACTTACTGCGCGCAAGCTTTTCAGATAAGTACGCATTTTGCTGCTTCACTGAAACTGCCTTGAGCGAGGAAACAGATCGAGGACAGCATAATAAACATACGAAGGATCATTGATTGATCGAGTTCCTGAACCTGCTGTTGCGCGTTGGCGGCCGCTGACCTTGCTGCATCGGAAAAACGGATTTTTTTGGCAGATGTAAACGAAAAATAACAAGGCACGGGATATATAATACACACCACTAATCTGCTTGTTATCAAGCTCATCTTGCAGCATTTTGATTTCGGATGCTTGCGCTTTATTCACTGAGACCAAGTAAATGTGTGGCAGTAAACCAAAGTTATTAGATTAGATACAAACCGCTTATGAAGTGGCTCTCAAGCTCTTTGATCTGCTTTTGAGAAAATGCTTTTTCCTGTTCCATCTGATCTTGTACTTGTTTAACCTCACCTCGAGCATCGTCCATGACTGAATATCAATTCATAAAGTAGTGAGCAGTCTAGAATGTCAAGAGACGCACCTTTCTTCAACATCTGTGCCATATTTTGAATTTGTGGTTCTCGAAGGCTCGATAATAGAAGAGTACGCATGATATCATGCAACCCAGTACTTTCGTCGTAAATAGGTCGCCCTTGGGCAGACTGGTTTGGTACATCTCGACAGTCAGTCGCATTCTCTGGTTGACGAAGCAGTGCGCCAGCGGAAGAAGCTATCCCACCATGGTTCTCAGCTGATGGAACGAGTGCAGAGCAACTTGAAGTTTTAGTTTGTACGTCCCCTGCATTCATAAGACCGTGTGGATACGAGTTGACAGACACCAAAAAACCACCACTTATACTATTACCATATTGCTTACCATGTCCTTCATTATCGATGATTCCTCGATTTAATGATTCCACTGAGCCATCCACACGTGCCGGTACGAAAATATCATAGAGAGATAAAGAGGTCCCAGTAGCTGAGGGTTCCGACTTCAAGTCCTGAGGCTTTTAATAGAAGTTAAAAGTCACAGACGATATTTGGATTCTGTGAGGTGGCCGAAGACGCTTACCTTTGATTGTGACTGGCCGTAGGATGATTCGGAATGCTTCGTCTTTTTCCATGCTGGGCCTTTGCACCCAGGTTCGTCAGGTTCGTTGATTTCTGATATCATCCGTTTCGAGTTTTCCTTACACCCTTGCTCATAGCCAAGAACCCTCTTGATGAGCCAGGCTCCCTTTCCAATACACGTGGAAGGTAAAATTCCACCATCAAAGATTTGAGATCGGGATGTGTTAATAACTTTCTTTGTAAGCCAATCGATCTTTTTTCCATCACACCACAAGTAACGATTCTCCTTCAGAAAGGGATAGCGAATAAGTGACCTGTGAAGGTCATTACCCACAGCGGAGTCTCGGACAGGTGAGTTGGAGACGGCAGTAGGTGCGGGACCACACCACAGTTTCCACGGTACAGCTGCTGACTGTTCCATTCGAGCATAAAGATTATAAGACTCCTCCGAAACACCGATGTAAATGTCGCCTGGAATTCCAAACAATGCGAACTCGTTTGGTGAGCCGTTTCCTCGATATTCATGATAAGGAACATGATAACCATCCTTTTCCCGAATCAGAGAAAAGGGACAATCAGGGACCAGAGTTGCCACTTGCAGAGAAAATGTTCGGTGGGATGATTTGATTCCATGGGGACTCTGAAGAGCTGAGCCTGCGCTAGGTTGTGACATGTAAAATTACTGTAAACAGTTCCAACTTGGCAGCTGTTGAAGCCCGCGACGTTCTGAGTCTGTATTATCCGCAACAACGATCCCACGCTGGGTTAGCGTGACGGTGGCACTGGTCGCGTCTTTGGCATCATGGAGTGGGATCAAATCATTCCAGCCAGATTGATAGAGGCCAATGACCTTGTGTATGTCTTGCGAGATGTCTTTCAAAGTACGTCTAATCAACTAACTCACATCTCTCAAACCTGAGTTCAGCCAGCAATCCACAGGTTATCAAGCAATATTCATGCATTGCAACGCACACCTCAAAATTGTCTCGAGCGATCTCATGTGTCGTAGAACTCATGGCCGCACAATTGGCATATTGGCCAATCTGGATTATGCTACCCTCGACACAACCCTTGATCCTACTTCACAGTCTTGCATGGTCCCTACACCTTTCACTGTATTGGACCTATCTGTGGGGGGATTCCTGTACCGACAAGATCTCGAATCACTGTTCTATGCGTTTCTTTGGACTGTCTGCCGGTATCACGACGGCAGAGAGATACCAAACCCACCTCTGCAGGCATGGCTGAGCGTATCTGATGCCCAGTTAAGAGCTATCAAATATAATTTTCTGTGCGATCCAGACGCCTTGGAAAGAATACTGCCGGACAATCGCAGAACTTTGTTACATTGGCTGCTCCCTCTCCAGGAAATGTTTCGTAAAGGCCACGAAGCTCGCATCGAACACGAAAACGAAATATATTACAGTGGATCCTCAAACATATCCATACCATTTGATCAAGAGACTCTAGGCGGACATGTAACATTTGCGGAATTTGATGCTATTTTTTCCAGACCTCTAAACGTTTGAAACGTATAAAGACACAGGTCCATCCATCCGTCCATCCTTCGGATGTATGCAATACTCAGCGTCCCACCTGTAGCCTTATCCTGTGTTTATGTGTATCGTGCACTTTTTCCTTGCATCGTTTTATATACCCCATGCTTTGATACGGTGATATTAGCTGTATATTGGTGCTCCTGCGTACTGGCGCACAACCGTTGCACGAATGTAATAAAGCTAGCTGGACACACAAAAGTCAGTGAAAAATCGCTTGTCACTGTATTGTTCTCAGATTTGTAAGTGACGATTTGAGTTTTTAAATGGAAACCAAGTATCTCTACAACGGTACAGATCGTCACCTTATTTACTGCTTTCCCCCTCAAAATTACGGTTAGCTATGAACTCATCCTCAAATTCCATTGTCAACCTTGCTCGACGTCTTCAACATGGATAATATGCAAAAATTTCGCGATAGTACGGATACATCATTGTGACAGTAGATTAATACGACAACAGTAATAACACTATACATGATCTATCCAACAGCGTTATACATCTTAGGTATCACGCATACAACCTCTTCGTGTACCTAAACAGAACAATGAGCAACACAATACAAATGAAGATATTATCGACTTACGAATTCAAACCATGTACACCTCCTTCGATCTGAGCGCTGGCCGTCCTGAGCTCAAAGCGCACACGACCCTCTGTCACACCCTTCTTCAACTCAGCAACACTTCGCACCCCGATATCTTGCAAACTATGCTGCAAGCCCACGTAAAGGTAAGGCAGGAACGCCTTCACACTTCCCTTATCCTGCACATCACCTGAAACACCCTGTGCCACCTTAACGGATGAAGACTCTGAAAAATAACGAGTTGTAGCCGCATTCTCATGCGGTGCACTAGTAGGCTGAGGTGCGTGTTTCGTCGAACCAGGCTTCCCATTGGCTTGGGCAGAGTTGGCGCCAGGTTTACCCTGTTCCATCGCTTCCAGGCTCCCCATGCCTCTGTACGCCTTCACCCTCTTGCCTTCATGATAAAAGTATTCTCCAGGAGCTTCAGTCGTACCCGCAAGGAGACCTCCCATCATTACCGCACTTGCACCCAAAGCCAACGCCTTGACAATATGACCCACGTTACTAATCCCACCATCCGCAATGACTGGAACGCCAAAATGGGATGCAAACTCAGCAACAGCGTACACGGCCGTTGCCTGGGGTCGGCCAACGGCCATAACCTCTTGCGTAATACAAATAGACCCACTTCCCATACCAATGCGAAGTGCATCTGCCCCAGCAGCGATAAGGTTTGCGGCCTGCTCCCTTGTCACAACATTACCAGCAATGACCTCAAGCTGAGGATGCGTTTGCTTGACCCACTGTATCATTTCGATCTGGAAGACCGAATTGCCTTGTGAAGAATCTAGCACCACGATATCCAAACCAGCCTCGACGAGCAAAGTAAGCCTTTCTCTATCAGAGGGCCTAGTTCCGACAGCAGCTGCGGCATAAAGCTGTTTACTTTCCAAGTTTTTACTGGCCAATGGGTAAGTCTGATTCTTGAGCAGATCGGAGCGAGCAAGGAGTGATGTTAGCTGGCCCTCTGCATTGACGATAGGGAGTTTTCCTTTTTTCGAGTCACGTAAGATATGATTAGCTTCCGCAAGCGTGACACCTTGCGGAGCAGTAACGAGATTAGTGGTCATGACATCGCGTAAAGAAGCAAATGGTGATTGGAACTGCACGTCACGAGAAGTAACGATGCCGACTAGCTTTCCACCCAGAAGCCCCGTATCTGAAAAGAGAAAGGTGATTAGCACATGTTTACTTAAGCAAGCAGAATGGTATCAGAACAAAAAACATCATGTTATCCGCAGATCACACGCAGAACGCGTTACTCAGCAGAACGAAGGTTATGAAAAAGGTATCGTCATTCATTATAAAGCAGCTCGTGACACTTACCAGTAACAGGAATACCACAGAAACCAAGGCGTGCTTTGATATCCAAGACGTCCTCAACTAAATGAGTGGGAGAGAGTACAACAGGGTCTGCAATAAAACCATTTTCGTGTCTCTTGACGGCTCGGACCATAGCAGCTTGAGAAGCCGCGGATTGATTATGGTGGATGACACCAATACCACCGAGAAGAGCCAAACTGATAGCCATCTCGGTCTCCGTGACAGTATCCATAGGGCTACTCATGAAAGGTGTTTTCAACACTACATTCCGCGTCACCCTACTTTCCGTTATCACATCGGAGGCTGGAAAATCGATCTTTCCTGGAAGCATCAAAAAGTCGTTATACGTCAGCCCCCCGTGGACTGTAGAGTCCATGAGCTCTTGTACAGAAAGCCCATCTGAGCGAGGATATGTCGCAAGATGGGCGATAGCGGTAGAGGGGTCGAGGAATGTAGTTTTGGATGGGGCGGGCATTTTAGCCAGTTATAATCAGAAAATTTCGATAAGCTTATATAGCCTTGTTTCAATCGGAGATTGAACTGAAATCAAGCCTTTTCCGACACATATCTTTCCACCTTGCAGGGTCTAAGCTTACAGTTATGGGGCACATGTAGAGTGCGTGTATGGTCGAAAGGCGGATGTGAACCATACTGATGGGTGAGGATCTCTTAGATATTATCACCTGACTCATAATTGACACTAATGCTTTCAGGGTCGTACCGAGGGCGTTTAGAAAGGACTCGAAATGAGAAACAGCAGGCATACAGCATACGTATTTACCTCAGCGCTGATGGTATCGACAATCTGAGCGATCTCCACCTTACCGCATAGAAGTTCGCATTTATCCGGCCATATATCTCCAGATATGCTACCAAGGTATGCGATACTATGGCTTTATCACTCAAAGCGAATGAAACAAGTCATGAAAAAGCTTGCTTACCTACCTTCCGTGGTTGGGGGAGGAAGCACCGCAAATGATGTAAGGCGTGCACCGACTTATAGCCCCTTCTTCCGGAAGGATCTCAAGACCATTAAGATTAGGACCGTGATGGCAATTCTCTGGTAGACACAGGAAGCACCTGTGCGATTTACAGCCCAGTCGAGATCTGAAACAGGATGGGACTCGAATTTCTAGTTATCCAATGATAGGTGACTTCGGTCCTGATCGTGTGAGTACTGCGCTACCGTTTGACCTTTGCATGACGTGCATTGAATATCCCACTCGTGCTTCTAAAGGAAGAAAACAACATAGTGGTTATATGCCCCAAGTATAATTCACTAGCCGCCATATCTATTTCTGCAAGAGTAGGTTTTATGTAAACAGTTTACCCCATATTCGTCGCCAACCGTCTCACCCAACCAAAGCATATTGATACAGTAATCAAAAGGCCAGCAAGGGAAAGAGCTGATACCACAGTGAGCTTGCGCAGTATTACAAGCTGCTGATTATGCCATAAGGAAATATAATACCCAATCTGTGTCCCTCACACTACTGAAACGTTGAAGCTTTAGAAGTCTTACACATTAATGTATACCACTGTATGTCTCTCGTCATTAGAGGATTTCTTCATGATGCCAGGTCTGGTATATGCTTATCTTCTGAGTTACTCGATCGGTGTCTCTAGTTATTCGTCTGGTAAATAGACGATATCCTGTAGTAGGTTGGCAGAAAACGGTGCTAATAATAAATAGATAGAATTACAGCACATCGGACGATATCGCTTGATGGAGAGGTATGTCCTCAAGTGTAACTGCAGGGAAGATTGATTGTGTTAAAATGGGCGGGCAGACCAGGGTATGAATGTTCAAGAAAAGACTTCAGAATGTACAAACATGCGATTACTGCCAATCTTTTGCGACGTCAACATTGTCCAAAGTCCGGCTGCAAGTTTTCATGCATTTGTGACTGACACTGAACTTGCAGCACTCTGCAAAGCTGGACGGGCGAACTCTAGTTCACCTAGGCTCGACTGTGCAACTGAGAGAGACTCTTGGTCGCTTTTCCACAAAGCGATTTGCATCCTCGTCGCGAGCACCGCATGCACCACTGCTTGTATACTAACATATTGTGAAAAGTAATATCAGTTGCAATTGTCTGAGTCCCCAATTTGGATATAACATACTCTGGAAAGATATCGGTATACGGACCCTGATTAGATCGTGATGAGCTTAGATTAGAGAATTAATGCAAAACCCCAACACACCTTAAATAGTACATTCATCAACATATTAGCGACGGAGAAGGCTATGGATGATGCATCAATACATTTGATTTTGAGTATCTGCAATCCCCCACTTACCTGAGGCACAGATGAGATAAAAGACATTGTGCTGAATGAGAGTTTGAAGTAGCTCACTTCCTGAGGTTCGATGGTGTTTGTAAGCACGGTACACGTTAAAAAATAATAGTTCTATCAAGATTAGATTAGAAAGCAGATGTACAATTTGAACTTCAACCCAACCTAGCTCTTTGACCAGCACAAGTGCATATATCACAGAAGCTACGTTACCTTGAGTAACTTGATAACAAACTGTAACCAGCGGTACAGGAGATGGGCTGACTAAAAAATATCGTGGATGAATATAACAGAATGCAGATAAGAAACAAAACCATACAGGCGAGAGTAGTCTGGTACTTCGTAACTACAACGATAATGCCAACAGCGGTACTCTGCCAGTGAGCAGAGTATTAATTTATTATAATATAAACAAGGAGATAACTCACGAAGCTGCTACCTACCAGAATACGCATAACTTTCTTACTGTGTCCCCATAGAGCGTACGTCCGTAACATAAATATCACTAAAACCCAGTCAGTGATATTCTCTTTGTAAAAGCGAAATAGTGTATTACTTCCGACGATATATAGTATTGATGCTCCCAGCGCTGAAATAAGTGTTTCAGTTGCCACAAGTTCTCAGCAGGCTTAGTGAGACCTACCAGTATTTGTCGTGTAGAATATATAGCACAGCTATACATAAAATAAATAGGTAAGCGACCCAACTTGAAGATAAAATGGCCCGCACATCTCGCTGGAAATAAGGATAAAGTGCTCCTGGTAACAACCTGCGCATTAGATAAAGAAGCAAACATCTGTGAGTATAGAGCTTTACCGTAGCAGCGCACGAGTAACATGGCAAATGGGATGTAACGTGCAAGCAAGTACGGAACCTTCACCTTTCTCCATTTTGTTTTGCAAATATATGCGACCTGTAAATTTTCATTTTCTCGAAAGGCTGGTCTCATATTTGTAAAGCAACGACACACACCTCATCTTCAAATTGGATGCAATATTCGTATACCTGTAAAAAGCAGTTATTCACATCGGTCACGTTTAAAAAGAGACTCAAATTCGAACAAAAGTAACAGCTGTAGACACTATCGGTAAAAGCTTGAGTTAAACATGAAAATGAGGTTGTGGAGATTTAGTACCAACGGCATACTGCGAGCGCAAAAATGAATGCTGGTTTTTATATCGGATTCAAAAAGAGCTTACGTTGACCGATTGGAGATGTCTAGCGATTTCGACATCAGACGAATCGAAGGGATCCATGATACTGACGATAATATTTTGGAGATGAGAAGTAGCTTCACTCACAGGTCTTTATTAAATACAGGAGCGAAAATTGGCCACACAGCCTTGGGCTGCGATTGGATAACCGCGAACGACTATAAGTAGATGATCTATATCAGAAACATCAGCGGGTCACTCAAGCTTGCGAGAACCGTTTGTTGAGGCTGAAAGCAGTGATTTCACCATGTTCTGTCTGAAGTTCCTGGAAGGCGCAGCCTTGACTCAGCGTAAGTCTACGTTGGGCGATGACTATATGATCAGAAAGAACCGGTGCGCTGATCAAATATGTATTTGTGGACATACCATCACATAGGTTTTTTTCAACTGTCTAGGATATACGCAGACAATGCGGGAGGACAATTACGAGCTGCCATTTGAATTTTGAGGAAGTGATAAATCAAAGGCCCCAGCGCATCAGAATTGATCAAGATACAAATAGGCGAAGACAAGTGGGCTACCTTCTGCATGGCAAGTAGGATTTAAAGACTCACAATGATGGCACCACTGTTTCTCCGATGAATCGCGACAAAAAAAACTAAGCCGGCGAAACTACGTGTTCGTTCGAGGCAGTCGCTGCACAGTGCTTGCAGTGCAAACTTAGGTTAGCAGGTGGATAGATGTTGGGCGATACCATAGGCAGTGCTCCACGGCGCCTCGAAGTGTGAGGCCGCTCATTACAGTCCTATCACAGCAGAATGTCGCATTGCAACCGAATCACTTTACGTGTGAGACCCTAAAGGAGAGAACCTCCACAAAACTTCGGTCTTCAAAAGACGCTTTAGATGCGGATAGCAGCTATTTGTGATATTACAAATATCCTTATCTGCACTTTTTGGGAGGAGAAGGCAAGAAATCGATCGAATATACCGTACTTAACGATTCTCCCAATACCCACTGCGCAAATAACTCGATGGCTGCTGCAAAAAGGTCGGCGTCAGTCATACAGACTCGCATCGTAAACTGGAAGATTCAGACTCACCCTCGCCCGCAATAATGTCGTCCATTTCATCCATGTCGTCCATTTCGTCATCTTCATCTTCATCTTCTTCATCGCTAAAATCTTGGAGAATTCCATCATACTCGGCTCCCTGAGGCCCTTCGTCCGAATCAGAGGAATCGCTAACTAATTGCAAATCTGGGGGCCCGTCATCTGAATCACTTTCATCGTCAATTGATGCCAGCGCTGGCATTTCTCCGCTTAAATCTACGTCGTGCCCTTCGTCTACTCCACCGGGGGAGCCAGCACTCTGAGACTCGCCTGAAAATGAAATATGAGACAGTACAGGTTGCAATAAACGCTGATACCTACTTTGGACATCACTAGCAACTTTTGGGGCTTGCTCAGCTTGGATAGAGTCACTTCCTATCAGTAAACTAGACTCTCCAGCATCAGGAGAAATGGGCTCCAAAGCGGGAATATTTTGATCCAATCCACCTTCATCTCCATTTTCGCCTTCGTCGTTTTCATCTAACTGGTGAGCATGACCAGCAAACTCAGGGAACGTGGTCGCTACAACAGCAGCTAAGTCATCAAAAGAATGGCATGTCAACAATACATCATTGAAAACCAATAACAATGTTAAATCACCTTCTCCATTACCACCACCAGCGCCCCCATTCATCCAGTCGTGAAAAACATCCACTTGAAGAGCAACTGGAGCCTGATTTTCATTATTATTCTCAGGCCTGGCACTAGGTGTGGGAGTCGGTTCCCAATTGAAGTAGAGCCCAGTATCGGTGATTTGAAGGCAGCTGATAAAAGGCAATAGTTTGGGAGTATCGAAGCTAACAACTCTACAGACAGAAAGCGGGAGACTAGTGGTAGGCGTGCGCGCTGCCGAGCCGGAGGTTGCAGTGTGAATGTCTGAATCTAAAGCAAGTACAAAAATTCCTCGTCGCTGTACTAATACTTGAGTTCCCAGTAAAGTATAAATTTGAACATGAATAACATACAGTTGCCAATCCAATCTTCCCGTATTCAAATGCAAGATATATTGAAAAATCGTCCCGATACCTCGACTGCGGATTGAAATTGATCTGAGTGAGAGCATCCGCCAGCGCGATTTCTTTGGTAACCACACGCTCGAAATCGCGAATAATTAATAACAAGCCATACGTAGATAATGCGACAAGGTCCCTTCCGGAAGAGGATACGTGAACTGCAAACTCTGATTAATATGCCGAATTAAACATAACATAGGTAACCCACCAGCCATGAGTGCGCCAAAGTGATTCTGACCAGCCGAAGCTCCTGAATATGAAGGGTAAACCAAGGACACTGGATTAGGCGCTAAGATATTATCTTGCACGGGAGAAGGAGCATCGCCAGGCCACAAGACATGCCATTGTCGACTCTGAACCAGATGTTCCGGAGAGAGTGAAAACACCAAAGCCCCACCCTCCTTGCTGAACACCCGCAGCTGCTGTGATCCACAGATGAAAGCATAACGGTCATTCACCTCCACATAATTGATGCGACCCAATGGGCGTGATTGAGTGTCGGGAGTTACTGCTTGAATACCGGTTATGCTCTGCACAAGTTTCGATGTCGGGACATCCCACATATATGCGTTGTTTACTGCGGTGGAAAGGAGGGTGGGGTAAACAAAACGGAAAGCACGTGTCATCTCGGGCATCTGGAGAAGAGACCAAGGTTTGAAGTGACCCCGATTGGTAGGAGATGAAAACATATGTGCAGCTTGGTTCGAGGCTCGCAGCATTTGATCATCGGGAGGGAAGGGCGTGGGGAGATCACCAGGATCGAGATCGGGAGGATAATCACTACTGAGGCGCCAGACTTCTTTGCAGTTGTCATGTCGGTTGAAGATAAGAAAGCCATTGCTATATTCACAATGGGCGTACCGGACCACGTGAAGCTACACGATGAGAAATTATGTTTATCAGCTACCGTTCTTGTTTTCAAAATGACTATAAAAAAACGTCGATAACACGTACCTGACCTAAGGACCATAGAACCTGACTACTTTTGAGATCGGTTACATAGAGGCCGCCATGTTGAAATGTAGTGATGACAAGAGCCAGTCTTTCGTCCACTTTTATGCGATGCACGGCATGCCCTGAAGCTTTTATTTCTTTGTAGGTGGACGGTCCTCGACCCATCCATGCCCTCTCGACCTGCCATCGCTTTTGGCCTGTTGTGTTGACCGATTAACGGACTGCACGCACATCCAAGATAGGATAGCCTGTACTCACAAAATGCTTTCCAATTTTTAACGCCGATAAGAGATCGTTCTGGATAAGACTTTATCGAATCAGAGAGAGAGGTGACTGCAGACGGTGCAAAATGGTGAAGAACAGCGGCTTTGTGATAAATAGACGATTCATTGGCAGCGAAGATGTCGTGCCATTGCCGCGATACTTGTGGAACGATGCAGAGGGAATGTAAAGGAAGATAAGAAAGAGATTCAAGAGCGATTTCCGTTGGGAGCAAATGTAGCATGGTGGTAGAACGTATAGATGAAAGTAGCTCAGGGGTCGCGATGATGCTTTTATTCCACTGTTTCACACGGTATTAATACTAGTCGCCCTTAGGGATTATCAGATTCGAATGTGACGTTTCGACTGCAACACAATCTCTCCACCGTCATGTATAGTCCTGTCGTTCCCTAGAAGCTACAGGAGCTTATGATTTATCTGCACTGACAGGAACACGTCTTCTGCACCTCAACCCCCAGCAGCGTAAGGAACGCAAGTTCCAAAGAAACACTTGGCTATGGTACGCTCTACCATATTACGCTCTACCAGTTCACTATAAAGATAACATTACCGCATGCCCCAGCACCCTTGCTGCGAGCACCTAGTTAGCATGGCAATCAACCATATCTCATGCGACGTTAAATGCGGAGTATTCCTGCACTGGGAGAAGGATGACTCTCCAAAGTCTCGTCATTGTCACCAACACACGTCGCGAGCTTACCTTGAAGGGCACCCCTGACAGAATTCAATCGCTCAAGTCTGATTTGGAAAGGGATGATGAACCTCCGTGGCTACCCGATAAATTTAAGGTATGGTCGAATTTGAAAAATAACCGTCACCGAATGTCTTAAGAATTATGATTGTCAGTTGTACTAGTCGACGTTCATATATTTTGGCTAGCTTCGCCTGTGCTATCCTGCAGTCGGGCGAGGCCGCGCGATAAGTCGCGTCGCATTGTATCTCGAGTGGAGTAGGTCGTTAGGAGGATTGCATTCCCTTAACAATTACAACAACAACAAGAATTCACCTTTCCTCCGACGGTTGCTTGTTCTCAGTCCGCATGCCCAATATCGTACCAAAAGAGGCCTGTGGTTTTCAGCTTTACTATACATGCTCTACGTCTCACTTCGTCGTGGTCTGAACAACGTTCTGCTCACACATCTACGCGAACCCCCATCTTATAGGCTTCCAATCCACACTCAATTCTCACCACCATATGTATCAGACAAATGGCGCCAAATACTTCGACGAGTCAAGGATTTCTGCGCGCCTCATCGTCGAGCCTAATCAAGGTGTTGGTTATTACCCTCTTCGTCTAGGACAGCAACTGGATGGCAGCAAGCTGGAGATCACCAGAAAACTTCGATGGGGAAGCTACTTCAGCACTCTGCTGGCGCGTTCATTATGCAGGAACGGTTTGGGTCCCACTCTCCTCGATGAAGACACGTATCCTTCACCGTACGCTGCTGTCAACATAGTCACGGCCAATGCCTCGTCGGGCGCCGTGAATGCATCGCTTGCAGAGATGGATGCTCTAAGGGCCATCAAGATTACGAATCCTAGTCACCCATGTTGGAAACATTACCATTGTCTCCACCGTTTCTTCATTGTGAAGGGTAGTCATTGACCTCACATGTGCCTCTTCACGGGAACACGGCGCGTTTTCGATTAAGTTTATTAAACGTATCACCAAATAGACCCTCCTTGCTTTGGGAAAGAACATTCATTCTCTACTATCAAGAACCACCCATCAGCGGCTTACGGCACTCGCATTGAACGGGAATTATCGCCTCATACCATCATAACAGTCAAGTCCCAGCTGCTTCCAAACACCTCTTATTTGATTCGAGTGACCTCTATACCTATACCTGCTTCGTCGACTATGGTCATGATGAGTTGGATTAGTGTCATCACGACGGCGTGATTTTGTTATAGCATCTGTACAAGGGGCTCAACCCATCCTGCTTCACGCCCATAAGGTCACACTTGGGTATACGTGGTCCGCACCGCGATAGACATACGGTCGATGAGATGTCTAGTGAAATCTTATCTTGCTTATTCTTTGAGCATCTGTCGAGTAGTTCCGGCTAGGTTTTCCTGCATCTAGTCGGCGTCGCTCCGTTTCAAATCTACGAAACGCCTTCTGTGACTCTCCCGGATACCTGCCCTCGTCGACCCGCGACGCACATTGGTGCTCTCCCATCAGATTTCTTGGAACTTTGTCCTCGTCGGGAGGATTTCTTTGATAAGCAAGGTGAGACCTTCTTTGTCTTCTGTCTTGTCTGACTCACGTGTATGACTCGAAGGCTTTCGTGCCTTGTACAGTTGAGGGATGTTTATGTTTACAGGGTATAACGTCGGGTAAGGACGTAGTCGAGGCCAATCCTTTCATTAGGAATTGCTTGACCATTGATCTTCACAAAGATCCACTGCCCAGGGATTACCAGACGATGGGTGGCTTTGCGATGCGTAGAAAGTTCATAATTTTGTCTTTCCAGTAATGCATGTACTATTGTATCCGAGACACCCGTTGACCTTTTCCCCGAGGCGTGTTGGTGTAAGTCAGTGTACGAGATGATTGGGAACGGTGTATTGAATCGAGTCCATGGTAATAAGAACAAGTGGGATGGGTATGGCAGTTAAAACAGGTTATGAATGAAACGATACACAATGGGCTCGATAATGGAAGCACGGCCATACAGAAGGATAGAATGACTTTTGAAAACAAGTGGAATAAAGTAGCGAAAATGGAAACATAATGGTAAAATGAAAACAGAGCGCAGCTTCAGCGCAGATAGATGAGATGCACACATATTTGCACATACTAGAAAAAATAACGCAGCCTGATCCTACATCGCGATGGTCAAGTCCCGCGCCTGCGCAGAATTCTCCATCTTCTCCCAGGCTCCCCTACTAATGACACACAACTCCTATCCACATCACTCACACTAGTCCTCTGCAATTGCTTCATCATCCTCGCAGTCCAATTTCACGGCTTCGAGGTAACTTTCTGGGACAAGCGCATGTGCCCCACTATCGCTCTGCAAATCTTTCACTACAACTGCCCATCCGACCCCACCTCCTCGTCCTACAACACGAACAATTTGGTCTTCTTCTAACTTCATTTCCGCTGTTCCCTCGGGTTCGAAAGCATATAAAGCACGGTATAGGCCAGGAAGAAGTGGAGGTTCACCATCTTCAGCAGCTCCTCCCTCTTCACAGTCAATATACTCCCCTTCTTCCCCATCCTCCCATTCTTCGCTTTCTTCAGTATCATCTCCGATACCAAAATTCCTTGCAAAGTCTGTATCACTTGGCATTTGCTTCTCGCCGGCACCAGGTCCTTTCTCGCCAGCCCCCCAGCTTAACCTTCCGAATCCGGCCCATCCAAACCCTCCCCACCCCGCTCCCCCATCTCCTCCACCCTCCTCCTCATCTTCCTCATTTTCCCACTCGTCCTCCTCTTCGTCGCTCGATTCTGATGAAGGTGACCCGCGTAACCGCTTAGCAAGCACGGTCGGACGATTGGGGCGGGGGACTTCATCGCCGAGCCCAACGAAGCGCGCATCAGTCGCAGGAAAGGCAAAATCGCGAATTTTAATCAAGGTGGACATGGGCGAAGTGGCATCGTCTTCATTTGGTTTTTGTCCTACGTCCTTGTGGAGTTCTTGATTGTTCGCATCGTCTTTGCTCCCTAATATCGCTGATCCAGATGAAGTAGTGAATCCCGGCGCGTGGTTTTCTTTCTCTCGTTCGTCCACTGTGGACATCCCGAGACCAAGTGATATTGCATCTTTAGAGCGACGGGCGCTTGACGGACGAGAGCCAATACCCGAAACGGGACGTGACATCGTACCTGATACGGGTCGCGAAACCACGCCTGACGGCGGCCGCGATGAAGCAACGCCAGAAACAGGCCGGGAACGCGATGAAGTACGCGAGTGTGTAGAAGGCGCGGTGGAGGCACGGCGTGAAACAGCAGGAGAGGGTGGGGCTGGGCGAGTGGACGTTAATGACGTGCTGAGCTGCTGTGATGTTAGCAACGTATCGCTTTGCTGCGGAGATAGTTCTGGTTGGGGCTGCAGCGAAGACTGTAGATCAGGGTGCAGAAAATATTGGGACGGAGACGAAGAGTGCTGCTGAGTGGGTGTCAAGGAAGGCGATACTAGGGAAGCCGAAAACGCGCCGCCAGGAGTTGGCGTAGTTGGGTCGGTGACGATGGTGGGAGAAAGCGTGCTGGGCTGAGAGGCCTGGAAGGATAGGCCGCGCAGGAGCGAGCGAGTGAACTTCAGCATGGATATGAAGACGAAGAAAAAGAGCTGGCGAGAAAAGATGAATAAAGGGTCTTTTAAGGGACTCACCACTCCGCTGCCACTGTAACCATTACTGGCATAGTTGTTATTGTTGATGTTATGGATATTACTGGTACTAGTAGTGCTAATTCCAGTAACAACACCATTAGCGCTCGGACCAAGCTCATCTGTGTCCTTCTTCAAGTTTCTGGACGATTTACGCGAAAAGCGTGCTGAGCCTATGCCGGCTGATGGTGGTCTTACCGCAAACTCATGTGGACCAGGCATGGGTGGGGGCAGAAACGAAGAGCCCGGAGAGGGAAATGGGGAGGACGAAGGCATGGTGTCAAGAGCCAGAGAGAGCGGGGGAGGGGGATCTGACAGTGGAGCGTGGGGCACGTAAGTCCAGTAACGGTACCGACGGTAAGAAGACAGAAGAAATTGCACCTTTTGGTTCTATAGCCGATGCCATGACAGGCGTGGTGGTCGCTATTGGCAGGTGATACCTAGGAGACGCTCGCTGTGTCAGACGACGTGCTCGCTGCCGTGCTCGCTGTGCTCACCGACGTACCAGAGACTCGAGATATGGCAAAAAGATACTGTAGAAATTCAGAAATAACAGAAAATCGACATTATTTCCCTGGCAACAAGCATCTCAAATTCACTGTTTGCATCTATTTACCTCGACGACGACCTGCTTATCTAATGTCATCACACCCGCCAAGTCGGCTCTGCCCCTAACCCCAACTTGGCCCGTCTTGCAAGGCTTGCTGTCCTTTTCAGCTCAGTCGATATCGTTGCCCGACTCACATCTTGTTTCCCTTCACTGCCATTCACCTTGCTGGGCTCTCGAGAATGGCGCACACGGGCTGCTATTGCCTTGGTTGGGCTATCGGGCTTGTTTGGACGGTATCGCGTTCGTGACCGAATGTACATATGCCCGGTGCGCTCCGTAGAAACAGGGAATGGTTTCATGCCGGTTTGTGCTCTTGACGAGTTGGAGGTCGATGGGAAGCAATTGTACGAAGCACTTGGAAAGAACACGTCGTGTCTTTTTCTTGGCTGCACGACGGTCCGTGCTCGTGACCTCCTTGTGCCAGTGATTATTTTGCGCTCTTCCTCTCCCACCTCGTGCGTCGCCGTTCGTTCGTAAGTTGTGTCATCGCCCAGAGGTGTCTTGAAGCCATCGCTCAGTCTGCCTAAGCCGTCGAATCGCTTGCCATTCCCTTTCATGATGCCTTCAATACCGAGTCCCACAAGTCCAAGTCCAGTTCGTCCTTCGGATAGCCTATATTCCAGCTGCACACGTGCCGTATTGTTGTTGCCAGCCAATACTGGGGTTTCGATTTCAGCAGACGACTCTTTATCTCCTCTTGATGTCGTGGTGGTATCATTGAGTAATGCGGGTGGCGACTGCGACGGTGATCCTGCAGGAGTGTTGCATGGTACCGCGGGGTGGGATTCCTCTTCTTCGTATGGCAAGACCGGAGACGATTGAGGTGCAGGAAGAAATGTATATGTGTCAAGCACGGGTGCGAATGGTGCTCGTTTGCGATGTGAGCGTTGTACTTGACGCAAGACTAACATGGACAAGAGTGCAGATGCAGTTGCTGGTTTGGTAGACGATTGTTTCTTGGTAATTTCCATCCAGCGTTTCCTTACTTGCGAAGCCTTGAGAGAAGATGAGGATGTATGCGCGTTCATGCTTCAAGTCTTCACTGATGCCGATTCTGTATTTCTGCGGTGGTGGAGTTTGAGCTACATACGGTATGTTGATAGCTTCCACGTTAGCAAGGTGAACGTGGTAATGTAGTAAGAGTGCGTACCCAGAGGGCGCCTTACTGATGAATGTGAGCTGACCCAAAGATGGTACTATTCGTGGAATGCTGTCCTTTGTATATAATGTCGGTGCGTTGGGTTGACCTTCAGCGGTGTTACTTCTTGTCTTGTTATAATATAGGAATGAGCACAGGTAGGTTCCAGCCATGCTCGTATCATTCTACAGTTCTTATACATGCACTGGAGGCGGCTGACTCGCTGACGAACCGCTGCAGCTGGCGGCTGGCACAACCGTCGCAACCATGGACTCGGGGGCTGACAGTGGCGCATTACCATCTAGCCATGGCTAGCTTACGCAGAATCACATTTACTTGCAGCACCCAAAGGCAACCCACTCATTAATGCTCATTGCTATTCGCTTGTTTTGCATAAACAGCACTTGGGTTTTTGTTCCTACTTGAATGACGATCGGACCATCGATCATGTCATGCAGAAATGCAACGAGGTCAAGTTAAAAGGCAGGATTCATATTACCTCATGCAATTCTTTCATTCTTACTGACTCTTTATAAATACTTTCACCAGGTCATCGACGATTATCGAGCTAACCTCCTCATCCAGCCATCATCGAGTCTCTCATTTGACGAAGTTGTCCATTGCGGCCACAGGATTGCCTGAAGCCTTACGTATCTCAATTTATCTCGTTTTTTCCCATTGTCCAACACTATGCCTTGCGTTCACCCTGCCTCAAAGCTTCCCTTCGCTGTGAGCCTGCAGAAGCACGGTGTTACAGTTAACCGACGTTCCTTTCCAGCGAAACTGTCTCCGTATTATCCTTACCACGTTCACACCTCCAACGTAACCTCATATATCTCCTATCGTGAATTTTGCTGGACTGGACCTCCGGGAAAATTTGGTCTTCTTGGTGATATCTATTTCGACCTTACGATCAACTCACTCGCAATTTACGGGAGAACCACGAGCGAGGAAGAGGACAACAGGTGGTTCAGATGGAGTGGCCTCACCCCCACTCTCGATACCAACATCAAGCATCTCAGGTCTCGCACTGTATCCTTCAAGTTTTTCAACACTATCTTCAGGCATCCGCCCGTTGAATCTATGGTCAGATGGGGTAGAGATATCTTGGTTCAACCGAGAAAAAGTAGTAAAGACCAGACGTAGCCTACTCAATGAGCCCCAAATGATCGCTGAAACTCGGCATACTGGGAGGGTTGGATGGCTACTCAAAAGAGTGCTCGATCCTGAATTGTTGCTAGAATGTGGCACCGCTGGCCAAAAAAAGCGTAAACCTTGCAATTACGGACACGATGACTTGGATAGCCAGAGTACAAAGCAGAAGAAACGAAGGGTCGTTCGTTTTGATAATGGGGATCCGGATGATCCACCAGCATTAGGAGTAGAGCCTGCATCTTCGTCACATAACACATCACTGTCCTCCGTTTCTTCAGGACAAACTCAAAACACCGAGCACATTGATAACCAGAGTACAGAGCGGGAGAAACGAAGGGTCGAACGCAGTTGTTTCGATGTTGGTCCACCAGCATTACGAACACAGCCTAGATCTTTATCTCTTGTTTCCTCAGAACAAAATCAAAGCACCGATGGCGAAGGCGTCAACAATTCCGTACGAGTTCTTGTCAGGAATTTTGTACGTCAGGAGGCTAACAACCCGTGCTTGTACAAGACAATATCTGATTCTTCCCGAACGTGGGCAAAAAGTAAGGATCTATCGAACTCTCCATGACAGTGTTTTCTACACGTTTACCATGAAAATTCTCTAGGTTTGGATGCACTCGACCCCCTTGACAACAGTGTTGATACGCAAGATCGTGTCGCCCTTGGTAGGTTATGATATGTCACTAGAGACTGACGTATCTGAAGGATTTACAGTGATCAGCCAGAATGGTACTCTGTCAAGAAAATTAGAGCTAGGTAAACACCACGCACAAAGTGTCCTCTGGTTATTTCTAAGAAGGCCACAGTGAAAGCCCTACATAAATTGGAAGCAGAGCAAATGGCGCTCGAAATCGTTGCGCTAAAACGTCTTCGCGATGAAGCAGAATACAAGCTGAAAGGCTTCGAGGATAAAGTCAGGAAGTCGAAGTCACAGGTCAGTATGACTACAAACACACGAGGAAGAGTTCGAGGCTGAATTCTTTCGTATTCAGATCATAGATACCCTGCACATCCATCTTCCTCTCCGATAACTTGAATGACTTGAATGGACAAGTCAACTAACTGGCATATTCGATACGGTCTGCGGTATCGCTTTCGTACGGAGTTGTAAGGCATGTAGTGCAGCCATAGGTTGTAAACTGTAAAATAGAGGCTCTGGAGCAAAATGCGAAATTCAACAATGCATTTTGAGAGTTATTACAAAAAAGGGGGTCACAGCCTCGTTCTAGTAGTATTACTTCCTTCCGAAAAAGGAATATTCCTATCCATGTGCAACTCAACCACCCAAAATTTAATTTCGCAATCAGTGATGAATCGCTACAATGCGACTCCACTTAATGGCAATGTTGGCCAAGGGCAGCATCACCGCAACTCAAGTCATGCAGACAAACATTTTTCTCCGTAGGAAACTGCTCACAAGTACACAAAAGTCGTATCCATATCTGATTAGTATCTATATTTCATCCTGCAAATGCTAAAAGCGGAACGTACGCAAAACAGAACACAACGAATAAAAGAGAAGCTAAAATGCTACACAATCAAGGTCATACAGATCAGCTCAACTGCCAACGATCGTCCCCAAGTACCTCGAGCAGCACCCAAGCAGCCCTCGGATTAAATAACTTCACCTACTTTCTACGATGGGCTGGATTTTTTTTATTCATCCTCTAGTTTCAGTGCACTAGAATGTGCCTCCGCAGCAGCTACGGCCTCGAATATCTCTGCATCTGCATCAGCATCAGCATCCGCATCCATATCTGCGTCGCCGTCAGCATCGACATCGCCATCAACTTCTCCATCGGCATCGACATCACCATCACCATCTCCTTCCCCGTTGACTCTCTGCAAAGGAGGCGATACTTGAACAGGTATCGGCTGTCCGTCCCCCGTTCCACTTTCGCCTGGTGAACCACTTCCAGAGGCTGGTTTCCGTCGTCTGCCGTGATCGTGGCTCTGTTCTGCTCGTATAAGGGGGACACTCTCATTGTCCATGGTTTGAAGGGTGGCAATAGCAGGTGGCGTGGGGCCCCGTCCGCGCCGTTCTCGTTCTCTGTCTTTGTCCACTAAAATTGGGGCTGAGACTGGGGCTGGAGGCCCAGAGGGCCTCAAGTTAGATTTGTCTCGATGTCGATCCTGCGGGTGTGCAAATGACGGTGCCGGTGAAAGGAGTTGTGTGCCACCGGGACCCACACCCCCCCCGCTGTGTGATACTGGCATAGTATCAGACCTGTGCACAGAGCGATCCGAATTTTGTGAGCTATTGAGCGGAAGATGAGATGACACACGAGCAACGGATGAAGTAGAGGCGCCAGCGTGAGGGATAGATGCAATCGAGTGTGTACTGGCTTGCTGGCCGTCGAGCGTTCCTCGTCGCTCCACACGCTTCATCTTCTTACGACATCTGTCGCAGACGGTCCCTGGTCCCTCTGGTCCTGGTCCCCATTTCTCGACACATTTTCCATCCTTGTAGCGACCAGGCAAGCCACACTGCCTGCAAATCCGCTGTCCTTGAGCATTGGTAGGTGGGAAACTAGTTGAGCTAACGGTGGGTGGAGCATACGGTGCCGTACCGTTTTGACCTGAAAACCGAGAGGTTATTTTTACTTCTCAAAATGCGACCAACGCGCTCTTCAGAAGGGCAGGACGGTGCTTACCTATCGTGGACGAACTTGTACCACTTCCACCACCAAATTTACTTTTCTTCGTTGGTGCACCAGTAACGGGTGGAGCGAATATATGTGTCTGGTACGTAGTTACCTGTCCAGGCTGCGTCAATGGTCCTGGAATAGGACCCACGGACGCCTCGGAATTCATCGCAGGACCAGTCATACCGCCAGGAACAGACCCAGGTGCAGGTGCTGGAGGACCAACAAGATGAGACTGTGAATGCGTTCGGGGATGACCATGTGAGCGATAATCCGATGCGGGTGACTCAGGACGGGAGTGCTGTTCTTGACGATGGTTTAACGCAGACATATGCTGCGGTATGGGCCCAGCACGAGTGAGCGGAGGCGATACTGCCTCAGGACCAGCACGGCGAGCGCGGTCATTAGTTGATGCTTCCAGCAGCATCTCATCGATACTGAGGGAGCCTCCACTCGATCTGCTCGAAGAGCGTGACAGGTGTGAGCCAGCACGCGAGCGAGAGTGATGATGGGGACGGGGATGAGCAATTCCAGGCTGAAGTGATGTAAGGGTACGATGAAGGGTTTGATCAGGAAGATGGGGTTCCCTGGACGAATGGCTACGGTGGTGGGAGGGGTCCCGACCGCGAGACTCGATGTCTCGAGAAGCGTGCAAATGGCCTGAATGTGAATCCTGAATAGAACATAATTAATTACGTTAAGCGGCTACTTAAATGTAACATACTGAGATGTTAAAAATTTGTTCTCGTCGGGGATCGTAATCATTGTCGCGTTCGCCGCGAGATCGTTTAGATGGAGGTGGCCCACCAGAGGCAACGAGGTATCCGGACTCATCTAGACTGCCAGCACGAGGGCGAGTACGGCCTCTAGAGTTGGGGTTTGCATTGGGTGGGGGTGGGAGAGCTATGGGAGGAAATGGATGTGAGTTCTGTGAGTTCTGCGAGTTCTGTGGGGGAGCAGGACGGTGAGTTCTGGCACCTCCTGGGACATGGTGTCTTGAGGGAATTGCAGGAGGGATCACCATTATTGCAGGGTTTGATTGTGAGGTATGCTGGGAGTTGACGGGCACAGGGGACGGTGGAATTTGGCCTGGCAGAGGGATAGATGTAAGGACAAGCTGGCCTCCACCTTCTGCAATGATGCGCGAGTATCCTGCACGGGCGTCTGCAGCACGTAGTTCAATGACAGAAAGGTATCTGTCTAACTCTGTCCAGGACTCCATGATGATACGTTTCCTTGCTTCTGCCTCGTCACGGGCCATCTCTGCACGCTCTGCACGAGTTTCGCATTCCGCGATGACTCTGTGTGCAGCATCGGAGAGCTGGGCATTTGATGACGGCGTGCCATTCGACGGGGGAGAGACGGCCTGGTAGGCGGAAAGGAGACGTTCTACTTTGTCAAGCCGTTTTCGTGTCGCTGTTAGTTCTTTTTTGAGAGATTCTGATTCACGGTAGCTAGTAGAGAGAAGAGAGGCAAGTTGGGAATTGCTGAGACTATGATGGGAACCATTTGGAGAGGTAACTGGGTTGTTTGATGACAATGGGGGCGAGGTGATGGTGGATAAAGGTTGTGGGGAGACAGACATCTAATGAGACAGCGAGCGTGGAAGGAAGCAGAGGGTGGGTGTCGCGTGTGAGGTCGTCGACGCCGTGTCGGACGGTGTGGGGAGGTGGTTTGTCGCCGTGCTCGACGTCGCAGTCGTGAATGCCGTTGTGGTGAGAGAAAGGGAGGAGGGGTGTGGCGGGAAAGCGGGGCAGCATCGGTGCAAGGGTTGATAAGACGTCGTTTATTTGACGAGGCGGCAACGGCACGCTGTCTGCTTGCACCGGATGTCGGTGTCCGGTCCAGTTTCTCGGCCGGCGATGCCCACCCGAATTTGCCATATATGGAGGACATGCACCCCACTCCCTCGGCACTGTCGCACTCCGTCATCACAAGACGCGGGCCAGACCCCGGCCACTATTTCATCCCGCCCTCGTTTTCCCCCGACTCTGCCCCGACACGCCGCCCATTGCCCTCGACGCGTCCCTCTTTACCCTCGACCACGTCCTCGCTGCCCTTTTACTCCTCCTCGTCGTTCGAAACAGCGTCGACGCCCTCTTCCTCGCCAGATCCCAATCCCAGATGGCCCACAAACGCGCGGTTGTCGCTCTCGTTAGTAGGAACGGGGTCCCGCCTCGTGTCGGCGCTCATATGCGCCTTCTGTCGGAACTTTTGTCATGATAATCAATCTCCCCCACGCCGTCTCCCGCCGCATGTCTTTCTCGAAGCGCTTCCCTGGGGAAATCACCGCCATAACACACATGGTCAGCACCAGCTTCCAATACACCCGGCTAGCCTCGTGTTTGGCGTGTCTTTATTCATGATCCAAAATGACGATGGCCTGGCGTTCAAACTTTGTAGGCGCATTTTTTCTTCGCTCTCTCTGGTTTTTCTTTACATCGTATTTGCCACATTCACGCTCTTCGTATACCTCAATTTCTCAATCATTCTTCCAGATAATAGTCGGTGATGCTATTCGCCAAACGGGTTCCCAAAAACTCCGTCTCTGACGTGCCGTCATGCATACAACCAGTCACTTCAAGCTCCATTCACATTGCATACCCACATCTTGTCAATGAGGCATCCCAGCAGGTCTATAACGCAACCAGCTATATTTTGCCATCTGCGTGTGACCATCGATGGTGTGCACATTCCACCATTGGCAATGTTCAGCGTCCCGGCTTAGGTTCTCGCACCCCTGCCGCACTTCGCATCCAGCAGCTGCTGAAGTAAACTTGTCAGCTTACTGCGCTGCCTAATAAGGCAGCCAACTACGTACAGCGGAGGGTGCGCCAGGTGCCAGGCATCACAACGTGGTTTCAACGCGGCATCCTATTCCAGGTAGTTTCTTCATCATCCTTCCTTCTTGTCCCCTGCTTTGAGCCTTTTCGGGTACAGCCTCGTCGGTTCAGCGGGTTTAGTGGACTTGGCGTCAGGCGCGTTCCTAAACCTTAGCCTCTGCGCAATGTCATTCGGTCATTCCTGCCTAATTCGTATGACCTTCCCTCACGATCACTTCCTGTTGCATATCATACCTTATGTAGTCTTCCCCCTTGTGTGTGTCTCTTCTTCAACATGTTTATGGTCCTCGTTGGTTTGTACTTTTCCCAATCCTCCCTTCAGCATAGACCTACTCAACATGCATAGTGAGGACGATTGCAGCGAGGATAACGTGTGCTTAGCTGAAGCCGCACCACCTTGTCCAATTCGCCGTTTACGCCTTCATCTTCTCGAGCAGCCGCATCAGTGTATCAATAACCCTCTGCGGACCGATCGGAGCTGGTATTATAGGCCCCATCTAACGTTGGGGTAACCACTTTGGCGGGGCTAGTGAACTGTTCGCTCTTCATGCAATTTTTAGCTCGAAGCACTTCACGATGCCAAAATACCTCCCTCAGCCAACTTTCGTGGTGTTGACTTGTTTTCAGCATCTCGAAATGGTAACCACGAGATATAACTATGTCTTACGTTGCTTCGTATCCGGCCATCTTAGTCACGGCGTATGGCACCTTCCTAGTATCATAGCATCGAGTTCACCTCAATACACCAGTATACTTAACGACGATTAGTGCCCCCGATTGCTCCTTCAGACATCGAACCTTAGGCCAGCGCTCGGGCTGTAAACTGTATACCTGCATTTCTTGGTACAACCCTCTTTCACGGTGCCTCTTCACCTAGGCATAACCTCCAATGATCCACCCGTCGTAGGCCATGGTGGCTTGCTAAGAGGAGCACGCTAGTCCCGTGCCATCGAGTATGTCTGGTGTCCTGAAAGCGCTCTTTCACAGAACCATGTTGTCGTCTCTTCAAACCTTATCGCCTCGTTGTAAGGCATTGCTAATATCGCGTCAGTATCGGGCATGTGACCTATAATCAGCAATTCTCAGGCCATCCCATCCGGTGCCGTTTCTCTGAAGAATATTGTAGAAGGCAACGTGTTCAAAGGTTTGTGACACGTACAACGTGTTATGCCTTCGCCATTCAACACTGCCCGGTCCGCGCTCGGTCAACGTCACTCATCAGGTCATGGCTTAATCGTAGACAACAGCTTTCGCACGTAAGTGCGTAACTAATACTAATAATTACTTATGGGGTTTGCTGAAGCTCTCCCCCGTTGTTCAGAACGTCCAAAATGAAGAGTAAACGAGGAAGTAAGCCTTACAAGGACAGACGTCATTGCTACAATGCTGTTGTAACTTGGTTTAATGTTCCCTCTTACAATTATTTCGCTAATCATTCATCTTGCACTCAGCCGAGGTATTCTTTGACAACGATGTTTCTCGATAAGCCTTAATGTAAGGCACGACTTGGTTGGGGACTCTGGATAATAGGACTTCCGCTATTAAACGTTGCGCCGACTAATATCCATCGAGAAAAGCATGCGTGCGGGCCAATTACTGGTACCCTCATGTTCACCATGCATTTGGAGCGCAACATTTGGAGCAATGAACTCCTTCATATTGCGTGTTGGGCTTATTTAAATCCATTTCCAGGCCTATTAATAGTAATATATGTGATAATCTGAAGGTTCTTCGTATCTTATCCTACACACGCCGCAATACCTTTGCGTAGGTGTGTACAGTTATGAAGGACATGCCACATTCGTAGCCCCCTTATCGCGAGACGAAGTTGTGCAATGACTCGTACCATGACCACTCGTAGTGCTTAGTGGCTGAAGATGGTGTGCATAATCGATCCGGTGAGCTTTCCCTCAAAGTATCGAACGATAGGATTTTTCATTTATCGGCTGCTGTCCATCGCCTGATTCTGAATGTTTGCAGAGACGTGAGATAATGATGGGAATATCCTTTGTTTCATCCCATGCTACGATAAAACTTCGAAACTAGCCAAAATTTCGCTGACACTTCATGGAATGCGTCGATTTTATTTACCGAAAGCTACTGGTGAGTTTTGATACCAATGCTGCGGTAAAAATAATCTGTCAATAGTGCTTCCTTAGGTTGGAAGATTCACTCGCGATGCATCCTATTCAATTCTCCTAAGCATTGTGGGTACCATCCCTTCTGTCAATATACCGTATAGTTACATCATACCTGACGATGTCAGTCAACCAACAGTTTTTCTCTCAGAATTTACGTACAACACTGGTATGTATTGCGTTTTAGTATATGTGGCAATTTCGTACTGAGTCTGCGGGGTATGACGGCGCCTTGGACGGTCTATAAAGTTATGTTCAAGTCTGGGTCAAAGAACGACGGTACGTAAAATTGTGAGACCCCCTTCCCCCTAGAGTAATACTAAATATGACTACAGTGTTGGGTCTTCTTTTTATGATTGACGTTGAACTATCCTCAGATCAAAGGCACTCAAACACGACCCTCAGTTCATTCATAGAGCTGTTGTTTGAAGGTCACGGAGGGAAGATATGGAATCCGACTATAACGACAGCGATATTACCTCCACTTCCTGCGATGATCAGGAAATGTAACTGGACAACACCCTAAATTCTATTAACATACAGCCCTTCCCGTGATTGAAAACGGGCGACAGAAGATCCCCTCGTTCTGTCTTGATTGCTTTTGTGAGTATAGTGAAGAGCATGTCATCCTTTGTTCTTCGATGACTATCATTAAATATAGTCTTATCCCGTCCATACTCGACAGATAATCTCCCCATATCAAGTTCATCATGCTGCCAAACCAAAATCTCGATGGCACTTGACCACATCTTCTCCAATATATTGCGTTTGTGCCAATAAGAACAAGTGACCAAACAGAATGGCCCTACCTGTCATCGAATTGATCATCAGCATCAGTTGTTGTCCTTGAGAGCCTCGTGATAACTTCTAAAATTTGCAGTGCGCGACTGCACGACAGCGGTTGAACACTTTTCGCGATCCTCGGAGCTTGGTGACTCATGATGACCTGTCAAGACGGTAGATGGACTCTCAACAGCTATGCAGACAATTTTTTCACTATCCTAGCGTTGGATAGTGCAGGTTATTGGCTTCTAACAAATTGCTGTGGTGAGCAAAACCTAGCACATAACCAGTTGACATGTGTAGTTGAACTGCCGATGGTGGGCAGATGCGAAAGATTCTGACTAGCCTCTTGTAAGCTTCATGAGTTTATGCGACCTAATTAAGTTCTGAAATCATAAATCATGTGACAGTGCGCGTTCAAAGAGATACCTTCCTTCCACCGATTGATATGGCCATACTGTGGGATGATGCGACGCAGAAGCGTCGGGTGTCAGCAGAGATCGTATCAATGTACGGGAGAATTCCCGGGGACTCACGGCCAGTCAAGGAAAAGACAAAAAGACCCGATGGCCGAGGATAGTATAGGAAATTCCTGCTTTTCTGAGCGCGTCAAGACTCGGAGATGGCAGCCATAGAAGGAAGATCAAACGGAAGGAACCTCGCACCTAACCTAACGTCAAGGACAACCGTCCGCGTCGAAGAAGCAGGAATGGCGGCCGCACAATTACAAGAACCGCTGTAACTGCGATAGTCAAGGAAAGCACTGCAATGACACCACACCGATGGGTTGTTCCGAGTCTCTATTTCAGTTGGACTTGAAGTGGAACCACGAAGTTCGTTGTGTTTGATAGCCAGATAAAACTTTCATAACTGCACGGTTCAATAGTTTGTTAGCAGCACAACGACTAGCTGATGTTGATTGCGAGCTACAGGTTAGTCTAAACCAGTTCTAGAGCAAATCTTCGAGTTGTCCCATACCTTGTGGATAACGTTATCTTTCGTCATGGTGGCGGTGTGGCGAATTCCAGTAAATATCGACAAATATTACCGACACGCCAAGCCACCAACTGCACAAAATTTATTGAAGTGCTGCCACTGGCACCACTATGATCAACGATAATGACGCCAGGGACCTTCTTGTGCCCATTGATATCTTCTCAAGTATATTTATCTTGGTTTGCACTGCCGCACGAAAATATACGCGTCAACCTTAATGCATCCCGGGCCATAGGTCACGTTATACACTGTGAGGGAGTTATTCGGTTGACTCAAGAATAGGCCGTAGCACGCGCTGTCAAGGACTAGGTAGAGTTCCATGGCCATCTGAATATTGCAATATCATACTAACACCGTTGCACAGAAGATCAGACCTTCTGTCTACTCCGAGTCGGTAATACAGGCGGGAAAACCCCATCTTGGCTTCTGGCGCCTTCATACACCGTTTCATACACCATTTGTTTCCATTTGCCACTAGTGGCCTGTGCAAACCACTACTCAAAGGAAATGCCATCAACGTACCAGTTTCTCAGCCGCTGTATCATGTTGATGAAATCGTGGTCTTCTAGATTCAAAGTCTTTCGCGGGTAGGAAAGAGCTATTCGGTATCGTAACGTAGACTTTTTCGTCATGCCGTTATGAACTTTAACAAAAAGCTCAGATTGCAAACTGGTAGTACACTAAGCCTCTTTCTTCGCACAAGAAAAACCATGTATGAGTTACTGTATTGCCAGAACGTCCTTTGTAGTAACTGAATATATGTTCGTGAATCATGCTGATTACACCGAACAACGGCTGGACATCGGATACAGGTCATTGGTGAAAGAATCCAAATCCAAACTGAACCTGGAGCCCCAAACTGTACAATTTACACTAGTATGGCCTCTTCCCTTGAACCAGAAGGCAATCATAGAAGGCCCCTGTGATAGTACCCAAGCCAAATAGTACAACCGTGCAGCCTAACCGTGGTGGTGCTGAGAAGAACAAGGAATAAGGTGGGAGACAAACACGAGATATTATGATTAACAAACTCCAGGCGAGTCAGCTATGTATTCTGCTCTCAGGGCACCAGCCAACCTCTGAATGGCAACTTATAAGAAGTAGAGCCCGCCCCTTATCCATTGTTTCTACTCCTTTAATATTTGGGACATGTATTATAAGAATCTTGAATATTTCAAACATGTAGCATGAGCTGTAACAATCCTTTAAATTACAACATTTATATAGCACTGACCGTAACCATAATGGAATAACTTTATCGTCATTTTTTCACGACTGGCTAACAAGGTGGTCCGTTGCTTGCTTGTACGTGAGGACCTTGTATTGTCTCCGCGTTTCCACTATCATAAATACGCTGATAGCACCTTTAGTGCCGCTAAACAGCATGGTCAGAAAATGGTGACCATGCGGAGCAGGAAGTAAACTAAGTTAGATTACAGTAAAAGTTGGTCTGTAACTTACTTGGAACGGAAGCAAATACACTACAGTATGTACGTACCTGATAGATCGCGGAGTGCGGGAGTGGAAAAATAATGGCGGCGAATGGCGGAGACAAAGAGCCGGACTGCAGGAAAGGAAATTTCGCGTTGCCAAAGTACTGGCAACATCCACGAAACAAGGCATACTAGCAGCTCGCCGCCGTCAAAGGTATCCGCTGGTACGTTGCGCTGGTGCGGTACCTTTCTCTTTATATTCTCTGACAGATGGGCCTTGTTCTCTGCCGTAGCTTCTGATTCAAGTGGAGGAAACCACCGTTCAGGATGAGAAACTCGGTCATTTCTGCTGATTTACACGCATGTAAAACACGTGTAGGGTCATTCCGATAGTTTTGGGAGTGCATGTCCAAGAAATCTCACCACTCGGCTGCGTGGGGCTAGCTTATCGATCGAAGGCCTATCCTGGTCACAAGTGCATCCAGCTGTTCCCTAATCTGCAACGGTGCGTGCAGTATTGTATTCTCCAAGTATGAACCTTATAAGCTTAGCAGAACAGCGACCAAAGCATCCTGTTTATTTTTCTGTTGTTCCACGTGCTTCTCCCCCATCGCTTGCAGTACTCGACCATCCCAGAATGGCCACTAGCAAATCGAGCGGTCAGTGTCTCGTTGGCGGAAAAATGTATCATGATATGCCTTCTCCCTGGATTTCTTAGCGGTATTTTTACCCCAGATAGAAAATTGTCGCCCATGCCGATAATTGCCAGAGGTACCAGCAATTCCCTTAGATTTACCAGGTGTGCGCTGTGGTCTGTTGTACAAATTGATTCAGACGTATGCATAGCTCTACGGTTCTTTGCTCATGCTACTCCATATGTATGGATCGTTTTGTCTTGCATCGATATCCACTTCTGACCGTCTCATTCGCTGCTTCTAGCACCCAGGCGGCCTACTCAGGTTCCCACTCGACCTTCCGTCTAGACATGCGGGCGATCTACAGTGCCCCCGGTCCGTTATCTAGTTTGCATACCGCACAATGTGAACCACATCCACGTCTTCATCATATCTCCCACCGTAAACCTACTGGCCGTACCTTACGGCTTTCTTAAACCTTCCGGCGTTCCGCCGATAGTAGCTAGCAGGTCTCCTCAATCATTGCCGTCGAATATCCACACACAAAATCTTTCAAGATTGAGAGGACGAGGCTGTACTTCATTACGCGGTGATTTCCTTGTTCACTTTCTCCGTTTGTAACAATGCATAGATAGGCGCGCACACCACAGCATCCCAACCTGTTCGTGTCTATTACACGCTCCTTTGCATGCACTTTCAAAATGGAAGTGTTCCGCCGACCACTCAAAGGGACAAATCCTGGACTCGCCGATCGCCGTCCCCTCCATTGCACCATCTTCATTATCGTTCCTCAGTCGCCGCCCACTATTGATGCAATGATTCTTTACTGTGGGTATGTCGTTAACGTATATTTTAGGTTTTCGTTTTCTTCGTATGTTATCCCCATCCCCAGCCCACATCACTACTCCACGGTGAGATATCATCGCTGATCAACTCCTCCATTGATGGCAACACCAAAATATCGTCTGATACCCTAGGTTTCTTATCGGACATCCACTGTCACTCTTACCATACCTGAGCGCCCCGCGCCGCAAGAATGAAGGGTGTAGCTACTTTGCGACGATAGTATACCGATGTCCTCGGGTTTCATTGCAACGAATTTGCCTTGGAAGCGTTGATTTGCTGTTGGGTTTTTTTCGTTCGATCACCCAGTAGGTCCCATACTCATCCAATGTTGGCTACACGGGTCACACCGATGCATTTGATCAATCCTTGAACACCACCCACCGCCTCCACTTCTATTTTAGTCTTCGTCGTCCCTGCTAGTTTCATTTCAAACCATTCATTCATGCCAGCGCTCTGGACCTATTTGTCTCAGACTGTTGGGGCACGTGCTTACCTACTCTCTAGACCATGGTGCTCTCAAAAGAATCCTAGTCGACATCGACAAACCTTAATCAATCATATCTTATGCAGTAATCCCTCTCTTATGTATATCCCCTCCGACTTGTGCGGGGAAAAGGAATTCTAATGAAGGCCTTTTCAAGAAAACTAGGGGACAGGTTACTCCTGCACCAAGCTTAGGACCTTAATGCCTTTTGTGCAATCATCAATGATCGGACTGAATCGAGAGCACACTATATTCCCATGAATGGACACATGATGCTATAACTCCTATGGCTGCGTACAAAGAGCAAGTGAAGGTTACATTGCCACGATTGCGGGCTTCTCATGTGATAACGCATCGCATGGGACCTCAACCCTTTTGGGCACCGTTCCACGGTGGCTTATGTTACATGGTAAGGATCGAGTAAAATTTTATCTACAATTTCAGCTTAACGTTTACATTAACCCCTATCCCAGGACGGTCCAAGCAGTTCAGTTCAGCATCTCCGACACACGATTCGGAGCAATAAATAAAGTACCGAAGTGATGATCTCTTTGTTGCTGCGGGTCCCTGTGCCAGGATAATGGCCGCTACCCTTTTTGATTTCGCAGGAATCTAGCTGGGAAAGACAGGAAATGTAACACCTTCTTCTGTCTTATCTCGCATCATCTTTTCACCCTCATCCAATCTGCTCTAGTGTTGTGGTCAAGTGTCAATCAAACCTGGATGTTGGAAATGCACGGGGACGTGTTCATTCTCAGCCTTTCAGCTTGATTCCCGAACACCCCATTCTGAAATCAATCTCAGGGGCTTGATGTAAGCCGTGCTAGTCAGCTTATGCCTCAATGACATATAACAATCGGCGATCCAGAAGGATGAGCCAGAGGATCTGTATTTGAAATCAGGCCCATCTCTCGATTTTCAATTAAGAGGCTGGGCAAGTTTTACGCATGCTGGCAATGTATTGCCTATAGCTGTAATGTCGAGAATCCTATTTTCTATTCACTGCCAACAACAACTAAATCAATACCTCCAATTCTTGTCCGCTTATTGTATTTACGTATATGACAAGGTTGGAATATCACAGAACTAGAGATGCAGTGAAACTGCACTAAGAAACACAGGTTTATCCACATGCTTATGGAGAGCCTTATCTATATTACACTCCTTTGAGATTGATATAGCGGCCCCACGCTATCTTTCATTATTTTCCGCACCGACGTACGAGGATTAAGACCGTCATTCTGATTTACCCTGGTCTTGAGGCCACACTATGATAATTTCATGGCAGATTCGCTCGCTATTGAAATTTTAGCGGTGGAAAAAGCATGCTTATGCGGTATATCGGTACTTAACCATGGAGAGTGGGCCAACACGGACATTCTGACGGATAGGAAAGAGGTGAACGGGCGCCGACTGTTCAGTGGGTCATGGTGATAATGTGCGGTATACACTGCGGAAGAGTCATTCCTCTGCCTTTTGGCAATCCCGTGGAAGCTCAGCATGACATTCAACTATGAACATATATGAACTGTTGACGGTTAAGCAAGCGTTTATTGTACAGCAAATGATGTCATTGCTATTACGTTCCGCAAGGGGACAAAGGAGAAGAATCTACAATTGCTCGTGTCTATGGTCTAGCATGACAGACGTAGATGGAACAAGGCTACAAAGACAAGGCTGGAGACGAAGGCTACAGGGGACAAAGGGCGACGTTGACTGGAAGGGGATGGTGGCGGGAAAGAAGGGAAGGAGGTGTCACGTGGCTAGCCGCCAACCGGATAAGGCCAGCTTAGGCATTGTGACTCGCAAAGAGGGTTTAGTGGTAGCGGCTCGGCACTTTGCTCGTCGTTGTTGCTCCTGACCACAACAACCAGCAGACAGAACACCATCCTCAGCATCTTGATTCTTTCTCTTGTATTCTCTATTCCTATCTTTCACAAACATCATCCTCTTTATTATTTGCATAGGGCCTTGCATTCATTTACACAGTCCTAAATCCGTTATCTTTCAATATCTTAGCTTTTAGTATTCTTGCTTTCTTTTCTAAACTTACAGTTTAATGCCATCAAGGAAGAACAGAAATGCAAATCCCCCATCCCTGTCCTCCAACGTTTATCCAGCATACACCCACTCTCTTGTTCCACAACTTGACACCTCTTCTCCGTCCGTGTGGCCACCAGAGCAAATCCACGAACCTCATCGTCCACCAGACAAGCCAGATCTGCTAGGAGTCATCGAGCCCGAGGTGGAACGCGTGGGCGCGGAGGGCATAGAGGAGCATATATTGGATGTAGAACATGAATATGGCAGGGTCACCAGCCACGACACTCCGCCAGCTCACAGTACTACTGCTTCTCCATCTCAGCTCCACACACTGTTACTTTCCGCAGATGATGAAGCATTTCAGTCGAGCCCAGGCCACGTACGCTCGCCCGTTCTCGCTCGGTGAGTGCTCACTACTTGTTTCATTCGTGTATACTTGCTCTTTCCTATCACTTCTTTTATTATTCCAATCATATCTTGTCCGAGGATCGAAGGTTCAGAATTCACTTTCATTTCACTGTGTGTGGGAGTAGTATAATCTGTGCGGTACAAGTACCTATCTTATCTGGTCACCCGTTCACCGAGTCGTCACATCAGTGCAGGTGTGGCTAGCACCGAACGAGGAGTCATACACGTGCATGCTACTTTGTTAGAACCCCATTTCTCTCTTGCCTTGCACTTCCATGATCCTTGACTGAAACTATTAATTGACTCTAACTGACTTCATTGGCACAACCGACTAACGCTCCTTATCCGAACAGCGAACCTACCATGCTCGAATCGTTCTCCCGTACGCTTCGTACCTACGTCCCATCCTCGATCCATATTCCCGCAGCAGCACCTTCCCCGCCACTTGTCTCACGCCCAGTATCTTTCGGAAGCTTCATGCTCTCTCCCGCTAATGCCAACTCCAACGCCACAATCAACGCCACCCACCCCACTGCCGGCGCTAAAGCTTCGCACAGGGGTAGCATGCGCATCCGTGGTGGTGGACAAGTAAGCCCATCCGGTGTCAGCGCCCTGGATGACATATCCGGCTTTGAGGGTGGCCCTTTTGGCAGCGAAGAACCATATGACTCCGGCGAGGAAGATCAGGACGCGTTTGAAGGTCTGGTCCATCGTCAAGTTACTGTGTATCCTACCGTAGACGAAGGCGATGCTATTGTGTTCTCCCGTTGGGACACCATGAAAGCTGGGTCTGTGTCTCGGTATGTTGTGCACCAGTATCAGTATCATCCTTCCTGACCCCCGTTTTAGTCGCCTTCTTCTCGTAGGCTACAATCGTGGTTTTCAAATCTGGGACTGCACCAATCTGGCAAGCGTTTCTGAGATTCTCAATTTGTCAGGCTCAGCATGGGGAACTGTCACATTTGCTGCTATGCTCGGAAGTCCTCGACTTCACTCTCATACGTACAAAGAGGCACTCAAGGACGAGAGACCACTAGTTGGCATTGTGTATGTCTATTTTTACCCGTGTTTTTTCTACCCGGGGCCCGTATATGTGCTAATTGTATATGGTATAGTTCGAGGACTGGAGACCGCAACGCTTTCTTCGTTTACTCCTTATGTTCGCACAGGGTAGTTAAACACTTCGCAATGCACGACGTAGCGTCTTTTGTCTCCAATGAATGGGTTACTGTTGTTGTAAGTCTCATTCTTCAGAGATCGCTGCCTCTGATACGCGCGTTATTTCAATGACTAACATATTCCATCAGAGTACAACGAACCCCCCAACGCTTCATATTCTTTCTTCGTCTTCACTTGCGGTTATACATACTATTCCAGCATCTTCAATTTCAGCTTTCACTTATCCAGCACCTACATCAACTATAAATTTGGGTACCAATCTATCTATAACGCCAACTATCACTTCACCTTCAAAGGCACATACCAATTCTGTATTATTAGATTCACCACGACGTAACTCACATTCTCGTTCTTATTCTCGCCCTCAATCAAGGACTTATGCCCACCGCGATGATTCTCAATTCGACCATCCCGGTTCTCCGCATCTCCAGCAGTATGCTGGAGCTCATTCACCGTCACGTCCTCATCCCTCAGAAGCTCATGGATCCCCAGCTACACCTACTCAGCATACAGTGCATCCACAGCCGATATATGCGCTTTCACATCGCCTCCTTGCATTTGCTTCGCCAGCTCCTACATCCCATGCACCACCTATTGACGCTACCTCAATTCCCTCTACACTTCCCACCCCCGTTTCCTCGCCTGGAGTATCTCCTTCGCCTCCACTCACAGCTCATCACCGGCGTTCATCTTCATCCGCATCTGCTTTTGGGCTATCACAAGCCGAGCTGGGTAGTGCAGCACTCAAGGTTGGAGGAAGCGTATTAAGTGGGATGAAGAGTCTTGGTGGATTTGCTTACAATGCAGCTACAGAGTATGCGAAGTCACGTGGTGTCCCTGGCTTGGGGCAAGGGCAGCCATCGGGCCACACAAGTGGAGGGCGTCACATTGGTGGAGGGCGTCAAGCAGGATCAGGAAGTATGCTTTTTTCGCGCAGCGCGCCTGCTGCGACTTCCAGTAGCGAGTTGTCAAATGCAGAGGGTGAAACCGGGACACCTGGCTCTCCAAGTTTGGGAGCGGGCCGAGGTGTCAGCACCAGTAAAGGGTCTTATGTTACCGTACTCGATTTGGCGCCGATACTTGGCATTTCCACCGGAAAACCCAAGGACAGTACTAAGAAGGGACCGCTGCCAATTGCACATTTCGCAGCGTCCAAACACCAACCCGTCGCTCACCTCGCTTTCACTTCTGATGGCACCTCTCTCGTTGTTTCCCCACGCGATGGACAAGTAGGTCGCATGTTCCAGCTACGTCCTTCTCCCGCTCTGCGTAAGAGATACGATGGAGCTGGTGGTGTTGGTGAAGGAGTATGGCATGTCTATAACCTTCGTCGAGGACGTACGTCTGCTGTTGTTGAGGATTTAGAGGTTTCTATGGATGGACGGTGGGTAGCTTTAGGCACACGAAAGCGCACGGTACACATTTTTGCCGTGAACCCTTATGGAGGCAATCCAGATCATAGAAGTCATGTGGATGGGAGAGTAATGAATGTGCAGGAACTCGTAAGTGTTACTTTCTTCTAAGCGTTTGTAGTGGTCCTCATGTCTATCATCGTGCCCTTGACATAGCAGCCTCTGTCCACTGACGTAACTCCTCTCGTGCGGTTGCGAGCTATCAAAGCTCCTTCTCCTGATCGCACACCTGTTCCTCTCGCTTTCACATTCCTCGCTCCTACTTCCTCTGTCCTTCCCTCATCCCTATCGCCTTCAGCGGACGAATATCGCCAGCCTCACCATTCACGCAGGCCAACGAACTTCCAAGATGTCCTTATCTTTGACCCTAGCGACGGTGTACTGTCTTTACGACGTATCACACTTGAGCAGCGCCCGCGTGAACATTCTCTAGCGAGCCTCGGGACTAGCATATCTTTCCCTGGTACGAGCATTTCTCTGCCTGGAGTAGGCGCATCCGGACGACTTGGAGCACCACCTCTTCCGCCTAAGACTGCTGTAAGTGCGGGTGGAGGGGGAAGAGCATCGGGTCTTACACAGATGATGGAAGCAACTAGCATGGAACTTGTGGGGAAGGAAAGTGTTGTGGCTACATGGCAATTAAGGAGACAGCAAGCTTGGGGAGTTATCAGAACTGTTATCAAAGAAGCTGAGGGAGGAGCAACTAAATCCGTAGTGCAGGGAACAGGAGCAGCAGGGTTGGTTGTCATATTATTTCCTTCATTGATATTGGCTGACCATGTCGTTCTTTGTTCACAGCTGGCTTGCACAAGCTGAGCTATCAACGAGTTCGCGCTCCCCACGTATACTTCCCCGTTCCGTTTATCTGACTCATCAGTTTTCTTTCCATACCCTCGGTGAAGATTATCATGCCCTCATCCGCCAATACCACTTGGATATCTCCGGCTCGCCTATCTCAGTTAGGCGAGCAGTCGAGATAAGCGCATATACGGGCGGCTCTGGAGGTGTTGGTGGGGTCCTTGAGTCTGAATCTTTCATAGAGGGTTTCGCCTCTTCTGCACGACATCATTCCCTCATAACACCATCCTCTTTTGACGAGCCCCTTGCATCTGCCCTCTCAGATGGTCTTGAACACCCTTCACGCGCACCGCCTATTCCGATGCTGCCAAATGGGACGTTAGGATCAAACCCACGTTCCTTCAAAGGGTCGATACCTATTCGTAACATGGCGGCTGGCATGGCAGAGGGGATGAGCGAAGGCTTTGGGAGGATTAGGAGGGAAGTTTATAAAGTACGTTCACCGAGGCTAGGCCCAAGGAGCGATGGCAGTCTATCTGCTGGGTCTGGGTCTGGCTCAGGTGGGCGCATATCTAGTGGGCATGTGAACCTCAATGTACCGCTGGAATTTGATGAAGAAGACGAAGATTTCATAGGTGAAGAGGGCACGCTGGGCCCTGGCGAGCGTGCAAGGGAAATTGCGAGAGGAGATGGGCTAGACGTGATATCGCGCAGCACATCACGCGGCGAATCCCATTCTGGAGCTTCGGCCTCTGTATCTACGCCTTCAACAGGTACGAATTTGCTCGAGAGCGAGCATCGTGATCATCATGGAACTCATGATAACCTTACGCTTGGCCTAGGCGGCGCTGATGGCGGAGAGGATGACCTGTGGACTGGGTGGAGTGTTGAGGATAAGCAGGCTATCGACGAAGCCGAGCAGTTTGACGATGTCGTTGGATTTTTGGACGAGGAACAGACGCCTGGAGTGCAGGCAGAGAGGAGGATGAGAAGGCGATAACGTCGTAGACAGGTAGGGGGACCATGGACGTCTTTTTTTCCCCTCAGAAGGCACGTTGTCTGTGGTCACGCGGACGATGAACGTATATGTTTGTATCATACAGGAAGAAATTATAACGGTAGGAAAATTCAATTGTTCGTGGTATTACTTATATATATCGAGTCTTCTACACCCAACGCTGTTTTATATATTATTGCCTGCATGTGCTCTCTGCAGTGCAATTGTAATGTCATTGAATTGGTATTTTATCACCGTGGCTACGAGTGACAATAAGTATCAATGTTGGAGACATATTCACATAGAGCCAGCTTGGAGACGGAGCCGAATTTGTAAGCCACCTGTCAAAATGGAATCGAGTCGGCCCACTTTGCTACCGTGGACGTACATCACTGCAGCTCACAGTTCTTCCTCCACATTTTTTAGGTATCGAATATCCCGCATTGTACTATTGTCAACAGGCCATCAGGCTCACGGGGTACGAAAAGAATGCCGCGAGGCTAGGATGTCGAGAACGACAGGCGAACCTGTATCACGGACTATGGCCATCCACGACCGCACCATCCTTTCTTCCGGGAGCGAATCAACACAATCTCGATTCTACAGGCGAATCTAACCTTGGCAAGCGTCCAAGCTGCCGTATGTATCTTCGTCCGAGTCGGAGTTCCAGGCCTGGCATCAGCATCCAAGTTTACTTTCCTTGCGTAGATTCGCACTAGTCAATGTCATAGTAGGCTCGCGTTTCGGACTGGGGTGGCCGCCTCTTGTAACGCTGATCATCCATTGCCAGATCGCAGCCGAAATCACGGAAAAATCGGGGAAGCTACACCACGTACGGCCATCCTCTTGTCTTTTCTCTGTTACTGAAGCTTATGGAAATATACTTGTCCAACTCAGTTTAGACCATGCGCTCATCTTTTTGTGAGTTGTTTTTCCTTTTGTTATTTCATCGTGAGCAAATGAAGGTTTTGATGACATTTGACGCTGACTGAGACTCTGCGGTTTGGCAGGATCAGGGCTGCCCGCCGTGTCGCGAAACGAGATTCCATTATGAATTCACCATCCGATCAAGTTGAACGCTCTCAAATATAATTTCGAGCCAAGCTCAATAACGGCTAGCCAATCGCGGCTCCGTAAACTGTAAAAGCAAATCCAATACATTCCAAGTAAACCCCCTCTCTCTCAAAAAAAACTAAATATCACACACACCTACACACAAAAGCGACGAATGGCCTGCTATGGATTAGTGAAGCGTGAAAAGAAAGTTGAGGCCTTTTTCCCATTGTCCCCCCTCACGAGGCGTGCGCACGCATACACAGCCCACCCTTGAGGGGGGATCGCATCTGACCCGATGATCAAGGCCCATTTCTAACCTGATTCCCTTCAAAGGGTGTCGTGCGCATAGTAACTGTCACTGCCCTCCCCCCTCGTGTCCATGCCAGCGCAATAGACGACTAGCGCACCTCCTGCAAAGAAAAATTCCACGGGCACGGAGCTTGCACCACCATGACGCCATGACTCCAACGTGCAGGTCCTCGGGCCAATCGACAAACCCGAGCCGAATAGGATGGGACATGAGGGAGGAAGGGAGCCTACCTCAATCGCGTCGCGCAATGCAGTCAAACCGTACGTCCGCGATTCTTTTTTTTCTTCTTCTTTCTTTTCTTTTCTCTTCCATGTTTTTTTTTTCATTTTCATTTCATTCCGAGTGTTGATTTCTTATTTTGAAATACAAGCCTTCAGAAGACCCGAAACCAGCATGTGATTCATGGGAAAAGATCCATGATTGACAGCTGCACCCGTAGCGCTACAGCTCTACGATTGTCAGGGGGGGGGAGAGGTCGCCGCACACATATGGCCCCGTGCTGGGTAGCGTGACCCGGAGTTGGGATCTGTTGTTCATGTGGTAGCCGCGGAGAAAGGACAAGAAGGAAAGGCCGACGAGTGGCGGAGTAAGCTCTGACGTCCCCGACAGGCGTCGCGGCCAGCTTCCTCCACCGCCCCCCCTCCTCTCTCGTTCCGTCGTTCTGCCCCCTCAAAAAACCACCTGAACTTCGTTGGCTTCCTTTCACGTCAAAAAGTCAAAAAAAAAAAAAAAAAAAACGTCACGGCTGCCAGTCTCGGTCCCCCGCCCCAAAGGCCCGGGATGAACGCGCTCCTCTCGAGCTCAAGCTGGCACAAAGCCCACTACGGCTAGTGGAAGGAGTTGTGTGTATCTACGGGCTTGCCTACAAACGGAAATGAAAAGAAATGGAACGGCGCATCATGGATAGTTTTTTTAGCCAGATTATGCGCAGATCTCGCAGCGCTAGGGGCCGTGCCGTTCGCACTGCCATTTTTTTTTTAATTTACGGGGTGTGTGTGTATGTGGAATACTAGAAAAAGAACGAAGTACAGCATAGCATCAATAGCGTCAGCAGCCATCAGTATCATCACCAGGACATCGGGACATCAGCACTAAGCAAGCAGACGGCGGCAGCAGCAGCAGCGACATGAATAGCCCAACCCCCAAGTTCCGACGATCCTGTGCGCCTGTTGGGCCCAAAAGGACGAGTATAGAGTAAGGAACAAGGTACTCAAAAAAGGCGCACCCACACGCTTGTCGATGAGATGCGCAAGGGTGCAGAAGTCACCCGTCGCTGTAAAGGCTGGATATCATTCGCGATCGCCATCATGGGCCCCATCTGACTTGGGCGGGTGAAATGAAGAAACCCAAAAAATTTAAATTTAAATATAAAAAAAAGGTCACGCAACGCGGAAAAAGGAGATCACAAGAGGCATCACGATGGCATGAAATCATTGATGCTGGGTCTGATTCACTCCCAGTCCGTTCTGTGGACTGCAGACCGCACATCGTAGCGCATGTACAGCATTACTCCAAGCTGTGCGTACGGCAGCATGGCTTCGAAAAAGGGACGCGCCTGAATGAACGTTCTTTTTTACCTTTTTCCTTTCCAGCTTATACTGGACATAGACATAAGTGCACAGTGTTGCCGTGAAAGGTCAAGTCGTATGGGGCGGCAGGATCATCGCATCATCGGGTTGGCAAAAAACATGGCGGAACGTTGGGCGAACTATCATCATGCCATGTCATTACCCTCCGAGGCGGGCGTCAAGTGGGGAAAGTGAACGACGTCTTTCGCTTCGTCCTATTCCAACAGACGGATATAATTATTTTATTCATATTACAATTCCGAGTCTACAGCTACAATCATGATCCAGTCATCTCGACCTTCTTTCCGATTCTTCTTCCCCCCCCCCAAAAAAAAAAAAAAAATAACAAAAAAAAAAAAAAGTCCATGAGCACATGTAACGTAGTGTCTATCAGTAACTATCAAATAGCATAACAAAAAAAGCACGAGTGGCAAATAACAGTATCAAGATAACTGAACAGGACGTTGGGTTTAATAGTCCTAGCAGCGTGCGGCGCCGCACGGTCTGCCCGTGAACAACCAAGCCGTCACGCTTAGAGCGCGATCAAGAAATAAAGAGATATTTAATCCGAGTAAATAGAGTTGATGTAACAAGAAAGATGAGATACGGAGCGGGGTGAAACGCATACATGCCTCCTATGCCCGTCCAGCAAAAGCAGGCCGCAGCGCCGTCGACACCCGTTCATCCGTGCACGAACGGGCATAAGCAGGTATAGAGGGACGATAAAGCTGGTGCGTTGGAGACGAATGGGCCAACGAAGCACGGGCATGAGCATACGGAGAAGACGAATGCGGGTAGGGCGAATGGCGGGAAGCTCGGACGTTTGATTCGGAGGCGAAACCGTGTGCGCTCGATAGGCGTTCGCGGTGATGGTGTGCCCGCGACGAGGCGCCGTCGTCCTCTGATTCGTCTTCTAGCTCGTCCTCTTCGCTTGGGTCGTCAACGTCCATGCCTTCGCTGTCGCCGCCGTCGGTCATGTCGTCGTCGTCGCGGTGCTGGGGCGAGGATATGGAGAGGTTGCTCAGGGGAGGCGAGACGAGGACGGCGGGATTGCCACGATTCGGATGACGCGCATACAAGGTCGAATTCGGGTGGAGATGCATGTGCTTCGCACCAGGCGATGAGAGTGCCGATGGCAACGAGGTGGCGGACGACGCAGGAGAGAAGGAGGATAGAGCCGATGAGGAGGGCGAGGAGAGGGACGAGGGGTTGGAGGCTGGGGAGAGGTTTGCAGAGGATGCGGACTGAGGGAGGGGGGAAGCGAGGGAGAGGGAGTGCAGAGAGGCAGGACGTGCAGTAGCGCCAATGCTTCCGTTTTGGCTTGCACCGTTCCTGGAGTGATTTCTCCAGTGCCTGCGCATGTTTGAGTTGACGTTGAATTCGCGGCCGCACCCTGGGAAGGGACATGGGTATGCTGTGGACAGAAGGAACGCTATGAGTGATGGAGGGAGAGAGAAAGGAAGGGAGAGTACGCACGCTTGGCGCCTGTGTGGGTGTTGACGTGTATCTTGAGGCTGCTTGGACGGTTGAAGCGCTTTGAGCAGTGAGGGCACTGGTGTTTCTTTCCACGGCCGTCCCTGGCGTCCCGACGATCGCTGTCGACGATGCGGATGCCATCGACGACGGTGTTGGCTGAAGAGAAGTGGTGGTGAGACCTGGTGCGCCTGCCATCGCTGCTGGTTATGGTGGAGGCGCGACCTGGGGGGTCTGCGAGGGAGAAAGAGATGATGGAGGAGGAGGAGACAGAGCGAGGGTTTGGTTTGTGGACGAGATTGGCGGGGAGTGCTGCGTCGTCGAGGGCTGGACGCCTCGAGTGAGCTCTGTGGGGTGGTTGGGCTGAGGGTGGTGTCGAGGCAGGTGAGGGCACTGGAGGGGGGACGGCGACGCGGAAGGCAGGGTGAGAGCCGTTTGCGATGTGGTGGCTGATGTGGTCTACAACTAGCTTCTGACCTCATCTACGCCTTTTTA